TCAACTAAACTAACAAAAATTCACAAATCAAAAGAGAACACAAACCACAAACCCTAAAAACGACTTCAAGAAGCAAAACAACATCGAAAGCCAAAAACCAACATGCGAAAATAGACGAAGCTCGAAAGATTCAACCGCTAAACAAACAAAACAAGCTCAGAGTGGTTCAAAGAGACTCGAAAGGAGAAGACTTTGGAATCTCACCTTCGCTATCCAAAGGCTTCAAAGCACTGAGCTTTTTTTTTTTTTGGGGTTCTTATTTATTCCGTTCGAATCAGAACAAATAATACCAACGCTCCGATCTCTTTCTATTAAGGATTCGGACGCAAAACCGGTTTTTAAATACAGTTAATTGCCACGTCGGACTTGTGAACGGTTCAGATTTCGTGTTCGATACTCTCGTGGATCGGTGACGGTAGACAAAACCCAACTTCCGGTATAGTTTACTTATCATGAAAATACATAAATCTTTATTTGAGATTATCCATTAGATTTAGATTTGCCCCAAAAAAAAGAAAAAGGATTAGATCTAAATAATTTTTAATGAACTTATGATCCATTTTAATAATGTAAAGGTAATTTTAATCGTATAATATTTGACAGTTTTTTTCATGTATGTTTTAATGAAGTTTTGATCGATATTTAATACCGTAAATAACTTTTAGCGGGTATTTAACGGTTTTTTTTCTACGTTTTAGCGGGTATGTAACGGTTTTTTTACGTATAATATTATGCATGCTTACTTAATATGGAAATTATCTTTATCAGATAATAAATAATTTTAGATGAAGCCATGAACAATATGTAATAAATCTTTATCAAAAAAAAAAAAACAATATGTAATAAATAATGTCACATAATTTTTTTTTGTAACACCTGAACTTTTATATTAAATAGTATAGGGATGATACAGATAGTTAGTCAGCCAAAAAGGTGGAATAGAGTAAAGTGGATACAAAGATCTAACTCAAGAAGCATGTTTAGATAGTCTTATCTCCTCTAGCGGTTGATATAGCCCAAAGACAAGGACGGAAGTTTCGACATCCAGTGACATATATCGTATAACATAATTGGGCCTGTTCGTTTGCAGAGTCGCGCGATCTCTCCGGCGACACCTTTTTAAAGAAGAGAGCGACTCATTAATTCAAGGAAGAAGACACTGGCGACAGTCGCTGATTCATAATAAAGCATTAGTGTGGTGTCGCTGTTATTTTCGGCGACTCCGGAATCATGAAATTGGAGTCGCAGCGATAGGATGAATTGAAGATGCAGGGGAGATGAAAGGGAGATGAAAGAGAGATAAAGCCTTTTTTTCAATCGCCGGTCTCTGTCGCAGCGTCTCTGCAAACGAACAGGGCCAATAACAATGTCCCCAACATTATTATTACTACCAGTGTTAGTTGATAAGAATAATTAGTTCTTGATTATCTCCTTCAAGCCATACCTATATCGCATTCTATGAACCCAAATCACTTGTAATATATGGAGAAAACCAAGTGCTTTCGCCTGTAACGAAGAGTTCGATGATTGAAGTTTTGCACATCCCGCCAATATCTCTTTTAAGTAAATTCTACAAATGATTATTTCAAGTTGAATGGGTTGAAAATATTAAATTAAAAATATATGGTTGAAAATCATTCAACTTATTCATCTCCAAAAAAGTAGTTGAATGAGTTGAACATTTTTGTTGTATAGTTTGTTCAATTTTTCAGTTTTTTAAGTTGAATGGGCTGAATCTATTTTTCAACTCTTTCAACTTGGTATTTTGTGTCAACCATTTATGTTTAGCGGTTAAAAAGTTCTCTCTTAGAACTTGACATGGTAGCAGCAACTACTTATCGATATTTAATAATCTAAACTAATTTTTATTTGTAATATGTTTGACGATTTTTCACGTATAATATTGTATTTAAATTTGATGATAAAATAATTTTGTATTTATTATCGTGAAAAGTAAAATATTTATTTAAGACTATCCTTATTAAAATATATAAATAATTCTCAATAAAGTCATGATCCATTATCAATAATGTGAAGTAATTTTTAACCTTATTGCATTTGACAATTTTTCCATATATGTATAATAATAATAGTGTTGATAATGAAATTAATTTTGGTATTGACTATTTTTTAAAAGGACAAGATTTCTTTCTTTTTTTTAGATTTAATTTAATGGTAATAATATTAGAAATAACTGAAAAAGAAGAAAGTTAAATTTTCTTTTTGATCTATTTTTTTCCTTCTTTTTAATTCTTCTGATCTTTTATTACTTATTTAGCTAAAAAAAATAAACAAAACAAAACGAAAATAATGTGATAAATCTAATCCTTTCAATGACAGGTGTTTGTGGCGCTTTCTTTCTTATACATAGGCTTTGATTGGTAACCACTTTACAAAGCGGTACAAAGCGTTACAAAGTATACAGTTTTGACAGTTACCAATCACAAAAGCGTTACCAAAAGCGTTACAAAAAGTTTTACTCTCAGCTTTTTTGTACAGCTTTCTCGTACAGCTCTTTCTTACAGCTTTGCACTATTCCGGAAAAGCTAACAGCTCCAACTAACAGCTAACAACTTTTGATTACCAATCGTTCCCATAATTCTGATTAGGCGACATAATGACCAACTTTCTTGTTAGTCATATACGGCTTCATATCTTCTTATTTTGCATAACTGTTTCGATTTTCACAAGATCAGCAAACTCTCACATTTCTAAACAAGATTCAGATTGTGGAGGATTCCTATTTGCTAGGTACATACCAGATAAAAAAGTACTATGTTAAGTCATAACAAAGTGCATGATGATCGGTGTGGTGGATGGTAATTATGATATGCTTGTTTGGTTAGTAAAGTAGTTATGGAAAAAGTGTTTGTAAATAACCAGAAATATTTGGTATATATTCTAGTACCAAATTAATTTTAAAGAAGTTATATGTTTGTTTACATGAGATAGTGAAGAGGAAGAATATATATACTTCATCAATAAGAGCAATATTGACACGTTGTTTTTGCATAGAAGAGGAGTTTTGGGAATGCTCGGAGGGTTATGAAGAAATTACAAATCTTTTATTTTGCTTTATAAGAGCTTTCAGGAATCTATTACACAATCTTAATGCAAAAGAATTACCAGAGTTAATTAGTACTCCTAAACCCCTAATTAACTATATATATCCATCAATAAAAATGATTGACATATATATCCTAAAACCCTAAACCCTAATCACCAAATATCTAAAACAATACGAATATATTAAAATGTTGGATTTCCTTTGTACATTTGAAATGAAAAATAAATGGGATTTAACGATGGTGTGATCATGAGATCTATCAAATTAAATTACATTCGTCTTTTAATAGATCCAATGGAAATATCAATCTCAATAAGATTATCTTCTTCCATATTCACATCATCAATCTCTTCTTCTTGTTCTTCTTCAATCCTAATTCTCTGCCGACTTTCATTAATGTTTCTCATTGCCGCTATAGTCTCTGCTTCTTCTTCACTCACAAGAGCAATCTCAATGAGACCATCTTCATCCTCATCATCCTCATAGCCTTCTTCTTGGGATCTCTCAGCCAAACATAGTTTTGTCTTTTTCTTAAAGAATCTTAGAAAGAAAACAGAAGTGGAGAAGAACAAGATTGCCATGGTTATTAGGAGAGAGGAGACTCCATGAGAGTTCAAGAAACAGAGGAAAGCTACAGATGAAATTAGGGTTATAAGAAAAAACAGCAATGACAGCTGTAAAAGAAAGCAACACCAAGAAAAATGCTTTTCATCATCATCAGATTTTTCCACCATTATGGAAACTTTGTTTAAAACAAAACAAAAACAAAGACAGAGCTAGTTATAAAGAGAAGTCTCAGTATCCATTGATGTTAATAATGGATCTTTGAGTTATGTCTGATTCAAATCTTTAAACCAAAGTTTGGATGTTTGGATCTTGATTTAAGAAGAGAGATTAAAAGGAGACGAATCTGAGTTCTTGAAAAGTTTCAGACAAGTCTGAGAGAGAGAGAGAAATCAGAAAAGTCAGAGGAACCAAACAAGAAAGCTTTATTTGTTTTCTCACACTTACATAATTACACCTGCAACTATTTTTTCGAGAAAAGGAAAAGCCTTGGTTTTTGCATGTACGTATTTGAAAAATAAAACACTTTGAAAAATCTATAAAAAGCTTTGGAATTTGGTAAATCCATGTGAAGCCCACTAATTAAGGATGCTTGTTTTTAGTATTAAATATCTTTTAATATCTAACAAATAGTAGTAATATCGTTTAAGAAGAATTCTTAACCTATCATAAACAAAAGGAAGTAAAACAAACGATTATTCACAACGTCCAACACCATACGACTAATGTGGTTAGTCTTACAGAGAACAAATTAAGCTTTATTGAAAAATACTAGTTTAATCTTTTTTCTAGAAGTTATCCACTTCATAAGTTTGTCGTTTTTTTGTTTTGGTTGTCAACTAGGATTGTCGATTTGATTTATCTAGGTGGCTGAAAATATTCGACACATGAAATGATTATTAGTTCTTCTGATTGTTTTAAGAAATTAGGGAATTGTCACTTTATCCTTTAGGAACCTACCTTTGTCTCACAAAAGACTCCATTTGTTTTCAATTGTAATCATGAGATGATTAATGATATCATATCATATAGTACTGTACTAACAAAACAAATCTATCTAAGAGAACAGTCAATGAAACATATAGTTTTTGTTCACAAAGCACAACGCAACATTCCATTAAACCAAATTCATCTAGGATTTCCACGTAAACGAGAAAGATTTTTTTTAAAAAACTTCTACGAATGAGTAACTGACACGTGGCCGAATTCCGTCCATTGATAGTAGATTACAAAAATATCCCTCCCATCTCCTTCTCCGCCGTGTCAATTGCAAACAATCGAATCCGATTCGATTCGCCTCAACACCATCATTATTTTGATTCTCCCTTTTTCAAAGCTCTAACATTTAGGGTTTCGCGAGAATTCAATCAGGTGAAAAATAATCGAATTATTTTAAATTTGATACTCAAATTCACATTCAAAAGCCAGAGAGCTGAGAAATCGAATTATTTTGTGTGAATTGTTGTTTTTTCGGAGAACCCATGAACGTTAGTCTTCAATGGATACTCCTGTAATGCAGACGAATCTTCCCAAGGTAGAAGACGATGATGAGTGGGGTAAGTAATTAAGTCGCTTTCTCCCGGAAAATTTTGAGTTTAATCGATTCAATTGCATTTGTTTATTGAAAAATTAGGGTTCTTTGATTCAATCATTCCAATTTCTGTATCTTCTTGTGTAATTGCAAATCTTGATTCGATCATTATTTGATTGGTGGCAGACACTGATGGGTTTGTGATTCCAAGCTTGGAGATTGGAGAAGAGAATGTTAATAATGATTCTGAAGTTGAAACATCAAAACCTTCTTCTCCTAAGGTCAGTGATGTCTTCTGTATCAGAGGAGTTTTCAAATGTTATCTCTTATCTCTCATTCTATAATTGTAGATTAAAGCTGAAGAAAGCATCTACTTAGGACCACATGGAGCTCCTCCCTCGCAGCTACAAGATGGTAGTAGTAACACATCTAGCCGCAAGCAGCGGTTTAAGCAGAAGCTCAAGGAAGCAGACCAGAAAATGAGCGGCTCTGGTCGAGAAAACAAAATGGCCAACTTAAGAGAGCTTGTAGGCAGCGGCGGCATAGAAAAAAGAACTAATGTGGGAAAAGGTGCTTCAAGAGACTGGCTTGACCCACATTGCCACGAATCTCAGTTCGAGAAACGACGACTTCCCTAACGCCCTTTCTTGCTATGCTTACCGGGGAAAAAGAAACCGCTCTCTTTTGAAAACGCTTTGTATCAATGAAAATACCAGAAAATTTTAAAGCAAGAAAGCAATTATCATCACCTGTCCTTTGAGAGAAACAACCATGAATTCTTTGGTCAAGACTCAAAAGAACTCTTAAGAGTAATGCAAGTAAAGCTTATAGGACTTTTTTAGTTTTGGGGTTTGGTCATGGAGCATAACACCATTGATGTTAAACCAGAGCTTCATATGTATAGATGTATGTAAAATTATACACTCAGCATCCAGAACAATCAAAGAGTGAGGGTGAGTCATTACATTACAAAACACAAACACAAACAAACAAAATTTCCAAAAACTGTTCAATCTCTTTGCTTTTTTGTTGTGTGCAGGTATAACTTAACAAAGATTCTGATTCATCTTGGCAAGATGATGATGACAATGAGGCTTACCTTTGAATCTGAGACGTCGTCTGAGCTAGAACGATGTCAGAAGTTGTTAGAGTTCCCGATTCATCGTAATCAAGTTGCTCGAACTCATCCATTATCCCAGAAATATCTTTCTCATCAATCTTACCCATTTCTTTCAGTTTATATACAATAAACTCTGCAGCTCTGCAACAAGGAAGAAAAATATAAGAAGAAGAAGAAGGACAAGACGGAAACAGAAGAGATAATATGTCTGATGTCTTACCCAACGACTCCATCTTCATCAAGATCAGCGGCTTCGAGATCATTGTTTGTGATTCTTCGCGTTAAAACCCATTTCACTAACGCCCTCTGTTTGTTTTCCGTATTTAGCTCAGCTACATAGAGGAAAAACTGAGCCAAACAAATGGTGCTCGTCAAGATCCAAAACACAGCAAAAAGGCGTCCTGTTCCCGAGTTAAAGCTCTGATCGCCATAACCCAATGTAGTAACTGTGGAACAGACGCAGTAGAAAGCTGCGATAACCGGCATTTTCTCAACCATTACAAGGAAAATGGTACCAACAAGGAAGAGGACTACAAGGACAAGGCATGTAGCATAGCATTTGTATCTCAACTTGTTAGTATGCAACTCCTTGAGAATGTCTGTTGGACCGAAGCTTTGACGCAAATGGAAAGCCCTAACGAGCAAAGTCTCTTGCTTCTCCACCAGATAATCCGCTGCTCGACTTAAAAGGTGACCCACGAGGACCATTCCCGAGAAGACAAAGGCACAAGCAAGTAGCCTTGAGGCGGAACTATTAGGGACAAGGTCACCGTATCCAACAGTTGTCATCGTTACTATACAGAAATAGACAGCATCTAACACAGGATTGGTCTTATGACCGGAGATCTGGTCTCTCACGAGGTAGAAACAGAGAGTACCAATGGCTAGATATAAAGCCAAGAGCATGATCACTTGCCTGAGATTCGGGTTTAGATCACTAAACATTGGGATTTTACTAGGATGAGGAGGCGGTTCATCGATTTTGACATCATCATTGTACATACAATCACCACGAGGAGCGCTTCTAGAGCGACGCAATCTTCTTTTTCTTGAAGAAGAAGTTCTTGAGTTTAGGTTGAAATCTTGAGCCATGGGATCTAACTTCTCCGTAGGTAACAATGGTGTACGAGCAGAATCGCTCGACATGTCTATATTGAAACCAGGTAAGTATGGGATTTGAAGTAGTTTCTAAGATCTGCAGATCAATCAGAATCTCTTGTCAAAATCATTCATAGAAATAGATTGTCAAATTATGAACATGAATCAAAAATTTCTGAAACTTTCAGAGTATCCATAAATCAATCAGTCATAGTCTTAAAATAGATGAAACAAAAACCTATTCCAACATCTCGATTTGTCAAAATGGATATAAAAACTTACACCAAAACAGACATCTTTTGTCTAAAATCCTGTTCTGAGAAATCAACATATGGACCAAAGATTTTGATTTTCGTAACAGAAACTTCTCAGAACTTAGAAACAGATTCTGAGTTACAGCTAAAGACTAGACCTTTAACAATGAAAAAAAGACGAGTTTTGTGGGGTGGGAAGAGTAATCAATCAGACACAGAATCCGAAACTGAAGGAAGAATTGAGACATACCCAGAAATCAAAATAAGCGTTGTTGTCGGATCTCGCTATTGTTCTTCATTGATGTTCTCACAGTTGGCCAATTCTCTTCGGTGCTTACTTCTAGTTTTTTTTTTCCCTCTTCTATTTATTTTTTAATAATATTAGTTATCCTCTTTCCTTTTTTCTTTTGGGTGAAAATTATCATCTTCTAATCCAATAATTTTGTTTTCCTTTTTCGAAATATTAGATTTTGATTGATCTTATTCATTTTCTTAAAAGGAATTTTCTCATTAGTATTGTTGATATCTTTAGAAAAATATTTTCTTTTTATATAGAAGAATTTATTTATATAAATTTATTTTAGATCTAACAAAAAAAAATATTTCATTTCTTATTTTTCTTGGTTTTCTAGATTTCTTTTTTTTAAGCCATTAATGTGTAATATTGTTTACGTTTTCTAGTTAGTTATACACTTACAAGTTACTACCACAAGTAAAAAAAAAAAAGTAATCTAAAGAAGACGAGAGACAATATAATGGGGTGATAATAAGTCGATAGATCACACTTTTTGAATGTTATACATGATACATCAAATATGTTATTAATGCGCTCATGATGATACATATGTGTGAATTCAAACCCCAAACACAGAGAAATATAACACACATTATTTGACATTATTCTAAGACATTACTAAGTGATTCATAATTTGATATATATGGATATTTAACATAATTCAAAAACATTCAACCATCTTGTAGGCTCATTGATATGCAAGACTTCGGTGGAGAGAGATCTGAGATAATTTAGCACCAACATAAACCCTAAAGCTGATCAGGCCAGAGAAATGATTCAATTGCAAAAACCCTTTTGTCTTCAAGAGATCCTTCGAAGGAGAATCCATATTGTTTGAGCAGCAAGTCGAGGCGGAGATCATCCATGGCTTCGTAATCAGACTTGGAGTATTTAGGGTAGTGAAGAGGAACTTGAAATCCGCTTGGGAATTCTTCTTTCTTCATCATCTTTATATTTTTGTTGCGGGTGCTTTGGCAGTTGCTGGTTTGATCCATGTGGTTCGAGTAGCCGAACATTTGAGTAAAAGCCGTGGTAAAGAGCAATTTCATTTCCATTGTCTTGGTTGATTTCAAGATTTTACAAAATAAGGAAGAAAAATAAGATTTGAAATAGAGATCAAGAGTAGAAGAGGAGAAGAAGAAGCAAAGATATTAAGCCAAAAACCAAAAAGAGAAGATCCTCAAGACAAACTCAAACTCAAAGGCAAGCTTGGAGCTTGGTTGTGGTAAAGGAGAACCAAAGACTAGTATATATATATAGAGCGAGGCAGGTGAGGTAAGACACATGTATTTTTTCCGAAAAATAAATTAAAATAGTAAAATAAATATTTTCGATCACAGAATAATAGTCATTTAAATTATTGTATCATAAAAAAAAAAAAAAAAAAATAAATAAATAAATTATTGTATCATCAAAGCTATAGTACGTATATAGTTTTAATCAAACAAAAGTATGATTATAACGAGTAGTTATTGTTCTAAACCTAACCTTTTTCCTTTTAATGTAAAAAAAAAGTATGATCATTCAACAAAATGTGAGAACGACGGTTGTGAGCTACATGCACCAGAAACCGCATCGGCCAGTGATGGTTCATGCATTCATGCACTCATCATCTTATGTGGGGACAAATATGAAACAGTTGGAGTATAGTTGTGGCTTGGTGTGCAAGGAGAAAAGTAGGTGAAAGTATTTATTATTTATATTAAAGAGGGAGGCCCATTTTCTAACTAGACAATCGAATTATTTGGAGCCATTCATATGTGTTTCGTGTTTGTGTGGTGGTAGTGATGATGTGTCTCTTTTTAAAGTCTCTAGTCTATGCGTTACAATTGAAAATATCTTCTCTCATTTGGCAATGATCATCGTTTTCAGAGATTTTTTGGGTATAGACTTATTCGGTTGATAAAAAAAAAGAGAATGAGAGTGAATTTGTACCAAATTAGAAATTTTAACCAGAGAAGTTTCGTCGTTTGCAATGAGTTTTTTTTTTTTTTTTTTCACTTCCAAAAATGTTCCAAGTAGAAATATTAAGGGGCGCCTATTCCTGTTGTGTTGTGTTGTGTTGTGTAAAAGAATTCGAGTGTTGTCTAGTTGAGACTTGAGGCCTATTTGGTCCGATTTCTCCAACTCAAACTAACCCAAAGGCCAAAACCCAAAGTCCCAAACCCAAAATAAGCCTAATTGCAGTCCACAAGAAGTTTTAAATCCGGTATGGATTCTTTACTTGAACCGAACCCTAAACCAAACAAGATCCCAAAACTCAAATAAGTCTCTTGCTGGCTGCTGCTATGCTAAACTCTAGTTCTCCATTCACAATCATCTCGAATCCAAAGCTAGGTTTTTGGTTTGGATGAACCAAATTGGACAACCATACTTCACAAATACTAATTTTTCTTACAAGCATTCTTTTTCACGTCTGCATAAGAGACTTACATGTTCACAAAATCCATACTTACAAAAGTAAAAAAGAGGGAAAAATCTCAAATCCAAAACTAAATCAAGTGAAAATAAATACCTGACTTATTGTGCTGTTGTCAAAAGTAGGTACATGTTGAGAATAACTTTGAGAGTCTATTGATCAATGTTTTTAAGGTTTCAATGAAGACAATAAGAAAATTTCAGAAAAAAAAACAAGCTCTATGATTTCAATTGGATCGTCGAGATTCAAGTAGAAGAATTCAATTTCCACACAAGGACTTAATAATCAGCTTGAAGAGTCTTCTGCAGGCAAACCGAAACAACCATCGGACCAGCCAAGTCCCCCAGCGCGCAGCCTGCATTAAGGACAAAAAACAATACACATCAATGTTCCAAAAACTGAAAATTCTATCGAGTTATCTGTGCATTTCCAATAACAGGTATAGTGAGGTGAGCTTACCGATCCATTGGCCCGTGGAGGGACGGATAAGGCAAGAGCATATACCGGCTCCAATGGCAGCAAACACTAAGGAAGCCCCACATCGTACTGTGATACCCACAACTTTGTTTCCGAGGTCCTTAGCTTGCTGTGATATCTCGACTTGTTCCTCTTCTTCTTCCTCGGGTTTAACATTCGGGAACACACATCTGTATATTTCAATGCCTACTTGAACTACCCATGATGCTGCAATTCCCAGGAAGTGACCTGCATAAACACAGCCAAAGACAGAACATGCATATAAGTTTCAGGAGAACTACACAATGTCTGATCTGAAAAAGAAGGCCCATTTGATGGGAAGGTCACCCAAGAGATGAAAAACCATTTTTTTTTTTAGTATACCTCTAAGAGTTGTTTGGCTGACTTTAAAGATGTATACATGTGTCGGCAACCCTCTCTGAGCCTTGCGTAAAGCCGACTGAGGCGCATCTGCATAATATATTTATTTTATCCGCTCTATTAGTTCACCGAGCTAAATCTGTCTACTAACTTATATTATAACGCAAGTTTGTTGTGGAAGCAAAGTAATGGAAGATGATGTTACCCTTTAGAAGTTTCCATGCCATACGCTGTGAGACATAACTCAAAGCCAGCCTTTCAAGGAGTCTCCGAGTGGTCACAACTGTGGTCTGGATCATAATACCGAAATTAGCAGTTTAAACCATGACATCATGAAGCAACTACAGATGGTAAGAACCTTTAATCCGTACTAGACAGCAAGAGAAAGATCTGGAAATACTAACCTCACGGGCAATTTGCTTGGCTGACTTTTTAAGAGGAACAATCAAGTCTGTGCGGCGGTTTTCTTCTGCAGCATTGTTTAGGAAATCATCATCGTCCTCAGAAGCCGTTTTAGGCTCCAAAAGAGGCAAATAAAACATCAAGAGGGATCTCACTGTAGTCATTGCAAGTGCCCTGAACTCGAAGGCCGAGAAAATTGGTTTCGGCTGGATATTGTATTCTTTGGAACTAGAAATATATGCAAGCGGTTCACGCTGCAAAACATCCGCAGACATTTTTCGTATAGCACCAAGGTAGTCATCATCAATTCCAGCAGCGGCATCACAATAAGCAACTCGAGGCTCAAAGGAACTGTAACATAAGCAATCTGAGTCATTGATAAGTTGAAACTGAAACGATGAAGTGCTAATCACCGAGAGAGTATCGACAAGAAACACGAATGAAATCTATCAAGAGATCTATATAGAATAAAAACAGAGCTGGTAAAATCCCAACACGCTCCGACATCAAAAACCAATCTAGAACTATTCATTCATGTTATAATCTCACCACAATAACCTATACTTCAAACAGGATTGCAAAATATGATCTTTACTAGTAATTGACATAGCCTTGGATCAGTGTGACCGCTAAATTAAAACTATAAATCTGCAAACTTTCTTATTCAATCGAGCAATAGAAGATGATCAATTGTGAATTTCTAAACCCTAATCCAGAACAAAATCAGAAAAACTAGTAATCAATCCAATAACTCTATCCACCACGATCCAGTGAAAGTCAAACAAATCCAAATCCGATACAGAGAGAGAGAGACAATACATACCCGAAGAGAAACCTAGACGCAAAAGGAGCAGTGGCGGCAGCAGAAACAGCGGCGGCGGAGGCGGAAGAGAAGGAAGATGAGTGAAGACTGTGCTTGGATTGAGATTTATTCAGTAGATCTAAAACTATAGCTATTCCCGCCATTACTAACAAACCAAGCTTGATTCGATCGAATAATCAATCTCTCTCTGCCTCAATTGAAGTAATCTTCTTCGTTTGTACTAATTCAACTTTGTAGATTTTCTCATTCAATTAAAAAAATAATTTTCTCGAGAAAAGTAATGATTCTTAACGTTCTCTGTTTTCTCGGTAGCCAGAGAGACGAGAGAGAGAGAGAGAAAGAGAAAAAGAAAAAGAAAAAAAGACAGAGATCTGTTTGACTTCCCGTTGACTTTCTTTATTTTTATTGTCGGCATTGGCCATTTAAGGCCCATTAAAGACCCATTAAAGGCCCAATAACTTCCTGATATTTTCGTCATTTCGTCGTAAATGCACAATTTTTCTTCTCTCTCTTCTTTCACCAAAGCAGCTGCTTTTGCCAAACCCCTGTGACTTTGAGAGAGAGAAGAGAGATCATCCATGGGTTTTCTTCAAGTTTACCTTAATCAGAACTCATTTTCTTCTTCTTCTTCATCTCCGTTTTTCAGCTTTTCCTTCTTCAAATCTTCCAAATCGATCTTCGATTTTGTGTTTTCGCCGCTATTCTAAGCTTCTAAAGTTTCACTTTTTTTTTTCTGAATCATTTGTTTGTTCTGTACAATCCTTATTAGAGGAATCGGATTCAAATTTGAGATGCCCATTTCGTCTTCGTCATGCTTAAACTGATTACCGCAGTCAAAGTCGTATCTTGGTGTTTGGCGGCGCTCTCGAGCTTAGATCAGTGTTTCCACGGCTTAGTCTCTGATCTCTCGACAGATCTTCAAAACTCTCCGCTCACTGGGTTCTTCTCTGCTTTCTCTAATCCTAACTTCTTCTTCGTACGGATTATTTGATTTCTAGAAGCTGGAAATCTACAGAGACTTCGACGATTTAGCTTTTGTTGTAGGAAGCTGGAAAAGATGTTGATCAGAGTTATGCATTAGAGTGATTTGCTTTAGGATTTCCACGGCACAAGGGATTGATTTTAGGGGTATTGTTTGTTCATTAGAATAATAGGTTTTTAAGGGTTTCCACTGTCATTTGGTATATAGAGATTGTTGGGGTTGCTTTAGAACTTGATTTGAGATCAAAGACTATGACTTTGAACTGGCATCGACGCTTGTTGTTTTTCAGTAGTTAGTTCTTTATCTGATGTAAAGACGGGTTTGGGGCGTTTGATGCTTGCCTGATCATTTTCATATTGAAAAATGTGTGAGAATGATCATCATTTTGTCGAGTGGAAAGAGCATTTTGTCTCACAAGAGCGAGGGAACCGTGTTGTTCATTACTTCCTGAAGGATTCTGCGGGTGAATCCATCCTAGCTGTGGTTGGTACTGAGAGAAGTGTTAGACACATGTTCTATGTTGTCTCTGAGGAGTTTGTGCGTATTCATGGTTCGGAGAATTCAATTCATGCGGGCTTTAAATGGAGGTCGAGAAGGGAAGTTGTGGATTGGCTCACTTCAATGCTGTCTAAGCAAAGTACACAAGGAAACTGGTCGAGTATGAATTTATCTTTATCTTTTACCATATGGGACAATTTGTCTGTTGAGTGGAGAAGGAATGAGTTCCTCCTTTATGTTGGTCTATTCTAGCTTTATAACTGATTATTCTAAAGCACTTGTTATATTGTCATTTACAGAGTCACCAAAATGTGAGTCAGGGGAATCTAATGGATCTCCCGAATTTCCAAGCAATGGATTTGCTGCTCAGCGAGCTCAAGCAAGTGAAGAGGTGATGTTTAGCTGCTTGTTACGCCATACAATTGTCACTGCATTTTACTTTCTTGTTATACTGATGAGGAAATCTCTCTCACAGGTCCGTCTTCCCATAAACTTAAGTTTTCACAGTTGGGAGATTATGTGGTCAGGAACTCCTTGGATGTGTGGTAAACAGCTCAAACATTACCCATCATTTTGCAGAAATGGGACAACAATAGGGGTAAGTTGAAGTCTTGGCATCAGTGACTTTGAGTATATCCTTTCCCTGGAGGTCTAGTGCATGCATAGTTCGATATATCTTGACTGTTCTTGTGGTTTGGATCTGTTAAGATCTTGATCATGGATGGGACTACTCACTTGGAGGCGTATTTCTTCTTTTGGATTTTCAGGTTCAATCTTTTGTCTTTGTCATGAGCAAAGGGGAGGATCGGTACGTTGCATATCTGGAAGATATGTACGAGGACAAGCGTGGCCTAAAAAAGGTCAAGGTGAGGTGGTTTCACTACACAAAAGAAGTGAAGGGTGCAGTTGCTCTCAAAAACCCAAACCCAAAAGAGGTTTTCATCACCCCTCACTCACAGGTTATCAGTGCAGAATGTGTTGATGGTCCTGCCACTGTCTTGACCCATGAGCATTATGAGGAGTGTGTGGCTTCCTTTCCTAATTCTTTATTGGCAAAGGTATACATGTGCTATCGGCAACTGAGGAACAGCAAAGTTAAACCTTTTGACTTGAGTAAATTGCGTGGATATTTGGACCAACCGATTATGTCTTGCTTAAGTTCTATGGAGGCTGGTCCTGTAGACTGTGCGATGAATATAGAGAAAGATGAAGAATGTAGTGAGGGTGAGAATGTAATGGTTGGTGCTGAGAGGAGCATGAAAAAACGAGCAGGAATTATGTCTGGCCATCTGTTAACAACTTATGAATCTTCATGTAAGAGACTCAAACTTAATGCCTCGGGAAAAAGATTTCCTTCCCCAACTGATGTTCAGAAACATCCTTGTTACAATGGAGTGGTTAAGGCTGATGCAAAAATAGAGTTTCTGTGTCAAGATAGCGGTATTAGAGGCTGCTGGTTTAGATGCACTGTCCTGGAAGTATCAAGGAAACAGGTAAAACTCCAGTATGATGATATAGAGGACGAGGATGGATATGGAAACCTTGAGGTATATATTTGCTTCCACGGCCATTGGCTGTCTAAATTTAGTTTCTGGAAATGCAAGCTATTTCAATCTTATGTTTGTCACCTAATTGTTTTTTTCTTCCCCATTGTTTTGTGTAGGAATGGGTACCGGCTTTTAAATCTGCTATGCCTGATAAGCTTGGTATAAGGTTGTCCAACCGCCCAACAATCCGGCCTGCTCCTCCAGATGCTAAAACATCATACTTTGATCTTACAATTGGTGAAGCTGTTGATGCATGGTGGAATGATGGTTGGTGGGAAGGTGTTGTAATTGCCACTGGCAAACAAGGTGCTGAGGAATTGAAAATATATATCCCTGGTATGATTTAGTGTGTTCCTATATTCATCTTTTACTTTCTAGTTGCCTCCACTTTCTCCACCGCTGCCTTACGACTAACATGTGTTTTGTTTTCATGGTGTTAGGGGAGAACTTATGCTTAACAGTGCTCAGAAAGGATATTCGGATTTCCAGAGACTGGGTGGGAGATAGCTGGGTTGATATCGATCCTAAACCCGAAATACTCGCTATTGTATCTTCTGATATTAGCTCGGACGCCAAGCTTTCCACGTCGTCCACTCTTGCAAAAGACACCAAGGCAAAGCCCATTGTTATGCCAGATATTGTTGAGGAGGCAGAACCTGAAGGTGACAAAGCGGACAATTACCTTTTAGGAGAACAGAACAAAGAGCATAAAGATGATGGGGTTGTTAAGGAGGATGATGAAAACAAACTTTCAAAAGAAGAGGATAAAGAGGTTGGAAGTAACGAAACTAATACCTATGTCAACTATGAAAATACCGTGGAGGACCACAAAGAAGATGATGTTACCCTTAATGATGAGAAGGCCCGCAAATCAGAATCAGTCTTCACCCTATCAAAAACTACTACCACGCTGGTGACAACGTAAAGATGCTTGCTTGAAGTCATATATAATGATGGTAATTCTGGTACGTGCCACATCTCAGGAAACTTTGATGTTTCTTTTTATGTATATATATATTGACATAGTTTGCAGAAAAAGTGATTCTGGGTTTGACTTGGTTGGTGCTGAGGAGAGAGGAGTAGGTAAAGGTTGTATAGAAAAATTGAAGAGGCATGATTTTGGTGGTTGCATTTGTTTTAACCGATCATCTAAGCATAGGATTATTTAGTACTGGTTGTTTTAGGTTTTATTTATGCAATGTTATTAGGAGAAAATGAAATCCGTTTCTATTTTGCCTATTTTCTCAAACCTCTTTGTAAAAAGTAAAAACCACTTCGTATCAGCTTGTAAGAAATTTAGTTTATCTAAAACCAAAACCTGGGTTTCATTTACTCTTTGTATGAGTTAAAGCATGCAGATTCTATTTCTCTCTACTCAGATTCAAACTAATTACAAATGTATAGAGTATAATTAGATCATCATCTCCTGTTAGCTAGCTGGACCTTTATGTCCGGTTAAAAATGGATTTAGAGTCTCAGCCATTGATCTCCATATATGAACTCTCTGCCCAGAAAAGGCTTTACTTCATCTCTGGTAAGAGTTTTCGACCACGGTACTCTGCCTCCTCTCTCTGCTCCTCTTCCCCTGCAATTGTACTCCCCAAACATCACCTTGCTGCAAAAGAAATTCGTTTGATGTTGTTTTAAGAGAGAAAAGCTGTAGTTTCAGAGATGAATTTTCAATTTTCAAGATCCTTTTCTATTACCTTTGCCTCTCAGGGTGTTTCCAGTCACTCCAGCCCACAGGAGTGATAATATCAGCTATGAAACAGTTTGAATAAACAGTTCTCGAGTAGTTTCCCCAAGCTCTTCCCAGGTAAATCTGCCCAGTACCATTGATATCACAGTTCACAAACGAGAACCCGGTATCTTCAGTCTCCGAGTCTCTATGATGAGCCGCAATCGCACCATATCTCTTTGCGGTTGAGTGGATATCACAGTCCTGTAGTTAGCAAAACCCATATCAATATTTTTACAAATGGATTTCGATACAAAGGATTTAAGAAGATCAAGCGAACGGGTTTTGCCTGGTAAAGTGATTTAGCGTTGCCAAAGATGAAATCTACATTTCCTTGGATATAGCATTGGTAAAAGTAGTGAGATCCATTGTCATCAAAAAGAGTGTCTTGTGATCCCAAAACCCTAACTCTATAGAACACAGCTTTGTCCCCAATGATCCTCAACGCCACCGCTTGCTTCCCTTGTTCTCCCGCCTCCGCCACCACCGTGTTCTGCCTCAATCCGAAACAATTCAAAATATAGAAATTCACAACGCACATAGACAAAAGAGTAAGAGAGAGGGTTTTAGGACCTCAAAAGTGATGGCAGTAGCGCAGAAGAAATCAGATTCAATGGAAACAGAGGCTGTTCTATAAGTGCCGAGTTCTCTACCATCGCTATCGAGGTCTGAAGCTTTATCGCTCCAACTAATCACAGTATCTCCTGCATAACTCTCATTACCTATGAACGAAATATACGGTTTTGATTTCGGCACAATCACCTTCTCCCTGCAAACAACACAGACCAGAGAAGAGATTCTAAACAAAAAAAAACAGAGTATAACAAAGACAAAGATTCTTATTTTATGGTTTTACGGACAAAGATTCTTGAGACCCACGATTTTATTTAATCATCTGAAAAAATGTAGACAGAGGAAAGAGAAAGAGAGAGACCTTGTAATACAAAAAACTACCCACGTAAGCTTATGCTTAGATTATCCCACTAACCCAAGAATTTAGCTTCAACTGTTTTTTATTAAACCAAAAAAAATAAAAACGAGATCTTCGGAAACAAAACCCCACACTCTCAAAGACGTTTCTCAAAGATTAAAAACATAAAAATAACAAAACCAAACACGGTTTATGTCTTAAATTTTTATTTTATTTTTGAAGTTACCTGTAAATCCCAGGAAGAATGAAGATTTTAACTCTATGTGAATTGGAATCAGGAACCATATCAACAGCTCCTTGAACTGTAACAGAGTCTCCTCCTCCGTTTTTATCAACCACTATCACTCTGCTCACGTTAGTAGCGTTCGCGTTTGCTTTTGCGTTTGCGTTTGTGGTTACCCAATTACTATTCTCCTTAAGGCTAAAACTTCTCTCTGTTCTTCCATCTTCCACAACTCTCAAATCTTCCCAGCTTATGTAATTCTTCAACTCATTATTACCACCTATCTGCAACGCACACGAGCTCTTTAAACACAACATTACCCCAAAACAGAGCAATAAAACGGCGGGAATAAAAGCGTCGACTTTCATGGGGAATGTCTTCTGCAGAAAAAGTTGAAATCAGAAAGAAAAAAGTTAGTGTGGTGAGGAGTTTTTTCGTGCTTTGGGAAAAAAAACGTTTTAAGGTTTCTTCGTGGGAGTGAGAGAGAGTTAAAGAAGAAGAAAAAAAACTTGGCAAAGTTTACGTTTTTGTATTTCTTTATTATGATTTTTTGTTGAGAGTCTTTGGAGGTGAAAGGTCGTGTGAGAAAGATGAGTTTAATAAATACTTGGAGCCTCTCTATGTCTTATGTATGCTCTTATAACTCCCTCAAAAATAAACAATACCATCATTATTAATTATATATATCATACTTATCAAAAAAAAAATTATACATATCCTCGCTGTCAAAAAGATTTAAGTTATATTTATCCTCAAAATTAAATTAATTTTTTTCTTCTAATCTCAAATTAATTTTTTTAATAATTGTATTTATTTTGTTTGTGATTATCTTCTTATAAATTAATACTTTTTGGTAACATTTGTTAATAAAAAGTTTCAGAGAAATACTGTGAGAATCTAATTTAAATACAAGAAAATGAACGTGTTTGAATTTCTAACATGCAGTTCGATCTCCATTGAATACTTAACATATGTTTTTTTTTCTCTCTTTTGATATTGTTTTTTTTTAATTAGAAGGATAATTTTAGTCGACTATTTGTGAGCAACATATTTTATTAGGATAAGTTTTATAAATAAACATATATTTTTGCATTGATTGATCAATATCCAATACTAAGATTAAACTACATATGTGGAAGAGAAATACTCATCTCGAAGAAATGATTTCTGTTTATTTAAAATAATATTTCTCCTGATTAATACACAAGTACAAAGGTTATTTAACGTAAAATCCAACTCTATTTATTTGATTATGTTTATGTTTATCAATAATAGTGGTTGTATCTCTAGATATGTTTTGCTATTAAATACATTTATCAGAAAATAAATAGTTCTGTAATTAGTTTAAGATACATTAATGTTCTTTTATGATTATTTGGTAGAAACTTCTTTTATGTGGAAATTAATTGTGCTCCATGTGTTATATACATGTAATTGAGTGTCTGACATGTCACAGACTCATAGTTATGGTATCACGTTATTATAGGATAGTTTTAGAAATGTCTATAATCCAAATTACAGGTTGATATTGGTTTGACTACTTTTCTATCGATATTAGACAATCAAATATTGACTATTCACTATTGTCCAATTGTTAAACAAGAATATATTTTTATTTACAAAGATTATATCTATACTATTAATTGGGAATCACTAGATATTAAATAACCTTATAAAGGGTAAAATATTACATAAGATGCCATTAAGTTTTAGTATTTTTAAATAAATTCATTAAGGGTACTATAGTTATCAAAAAATTAATATATTTGAATAAAAAATAAAAAATAGTAAAATTCTTTTAAATAATTATTAGTTTCCAAAAAAATTAAACTCATTTTCTCTATCTTATTAATTATGAACGAAAATATGAAATTAATTTCTAAAAAATTGTCAACCAATGAGAATTGAAAAACTAAGATTTGATATCCAACTAAGATTTTATCTAAACCAATCCTAATAGACTATTCTATATCAAAAATAAAAAGAAAAATAATATCATTTTTAATTCAAAATTAAAAACACTATCATTTAAAAAGTTTTATCAATGGAGAATTTTAAGTTTGAATTTGAAATATCGTAAAAAAAAATTAAATGCAAATATTTAAGATTCAGTTTTGTTATAATATTTTCACTAATTTTGAAATATAAAACGAAATTTTATTTCAAAATTTCTAAAAAACGATATTCGATACTAACAAATATTTATATAACTATGAAATAAACTCAAATAATGATAAATTTAAAGTAATTATCATTATGGTCTTCGTTTAGAGCAAGTTTCGGAAATATCTAAACAATAGATTGTACATATTAATTTCGAAATATTTTATGTTTTATTATTCCTTTTCAATCGGATCTTCCTTAAATAAATCCATGATATATTACACAGTTTTCGAAATAATGTGAACTAATTATATATTTAGCATTCAAAACAAATTATGCAGCAATAGCATATCATTTTTATAGATGTATCTCAAATTTTTATTTTTAGTCCAAAAAGTCGAATTAATTATGATTTAACAATGAAATGAAAAATATGCAAAATTTACCTAAGGAAAGAAACATTAATAAATTTGTTAAAATATATTTATAACTTTAACAACGTACATATTAATCTGTAGAACTCACTGTATATATTGTATTTACACCAAACTAAAACTGAATCCATATGTATTAATAATGAACGAAATTCAGTTGCGTAAGTGCATAATCAAACTAAAACTGAATCCATATCCTATTAACATCTGTAATCAGACTGTTAGAAATGTTTCGATTAGCTTAGAAAATAAAAACGTAACATCATTTAACTTTTGCAACTAAATTCGTTCGGATCTTAAAAATAATTATGCACTTACGCAACTGAATTTCGTTCATTACTCTAACTTTATAATATCTATACTATTACAAAGTTCACTAACACAACAAAATATTTTATATTTTTAAAATCTATATAACAATTTCTATAAAAATATCTTTGCATGTACGTGTGGATTTAGATCTAATACACTCAAATATATATCATAAAAACAACAAAATAATTTATAATAAATTAAAATTTGCTATAAATTCTTTTAATATATGAAACCCCGCACGTACGTGCGGGTCAGGATCTAGTAAAATTATAAATGAACTTATGGGAGAATTAAGTACGTATGGAGCATGAGTATGAACTATATATAGTATGATGGAGTTATTGCTAGTTCTTATTGTTAAATGTTAACCAATAAGGCAATAACCATCATTAATCAATAATCATCACCATCTTTTTCTTCGGTGCACAGAATAGTAATAACCGATTGAAAATGAAAAGATGAAGGCAACTTAGAGGTATGATTATAGAAGAATAAAATTGCAAACATGATTTTGGAGGGGTTTAGCGAATTAGTTTTAATCATTTCAGAGTTACGTTTACTCATAAGAGTTACGTGATATGCAAATGTAAAGATTTTATTTGGTAACCTTTCCAAATAAAATAAAGAAATCGTTTTACATTTTTATAGGTTAAGTTTTTCGCTGGTAATCTATACTATTAATTGGGAAGCACTCAAACATAAATAACCTTATAAAGTGTAAAGTATTACAAAAATGCCATTAGTTTTAGTTTTTAAACAAATTCATTAAAAATACAATAGTAATCAAAAAATAATATATTTAAATAAAAAATAATAAAATTCTTTAGAAAAATTATTAGTTTCCAAAAATTAAACTCACTTTCTCTCTCTTATTAATTATGGACGAAAATTTAAATTTTTTTCTAAAAAGTTGTTAACCAATGAGAATTGAAAAAGTAAGATTTGATATCCAACTAAAATTTTATCTAAACTAATCCTAATAAACTATTTTATATCAAAATAAAAAGAAAAATAATACCATATCAATGGAGGATTTTAAGACGGAATTTGAAATTTCGTAAAAAAATTAAATACAAATATTTAAGACTCAGTTTTGTTATAATATTTTCACAAATTTTGAAATATAAAACAAAATTTTATTTCACAATTTCTAAAAAAACGATATTGGGCATTCATTTAGAGCAAGTTTCGGAAATATCTAAACAATAGATTGTACATATTAATTTTGAAATATTTTGTGTTTTCTTTTTTTTTTTCTTCTCAACCGGATATTCGTTAAACCAATCCATAATATATTGCACACAGTTTTCGAAATAATGTGAACTAATTATATATTTTGCATTCAAAACAAATTATGCAGCAATAGCATATCCCTTTTATAGATATATCTCAAATTTTAATTTTAGTCTAAAAATCGAATTAGTTATGATTAAAAATGAAAGAAAAATATGCAAAATTTAGCTAGAAACATTAGTAAATTTATTAAAATATATTTATAACTTTAACAGCATACATATTAATCCGCAAAACTCACAGTATATATTGTAATATTGTATGGTATTTAAAGGTAAGCAAACAAGAATATGAAACATAATTTTAATGGAATAAAATGGAAATAGAAATTACGAGACGAGATGGAAGGAGAACATATATTAAAAATCAAACTAAATACCCAACTGATATGAGTTCGGGTTATGAGCACTATATAAAATAAATTTGTTTACACACATAACCGTGCATGTACATATGTTTTCAGTTACACATACTCTATTTATGACAGATATGAGACCGTAATATTTTTATTTTACGTGTACGTGACAGGTAATGGGACAAAGAATTTATAACAGATACCGGACTGGGTATGTTTCCTGTTCCAAAATAGATATGCCTTTCTAATATACATGAAATAACCCAAACTAAAATCGAATTCATATCCTATTTAACATATGTAATCAAACTGTTAGAATTGTTTTGATTAGTTACGAAAATAAAAATGTAACACCATTTAACTTTTGCAACTAAATTAGTCCGGATTTTAAAATATAATTATGCATTAACGCAACTGAATTTTTTGTTTATTACTCTAACTTTATAATATTTATATTATTACGAAGTTCACTAATACAACAAAATATTTTATATTTTAAAAATCTATATAACAATTTCTATAAAAGTATTTTTACACGTACGTGAATCCAGATCTAATACACTAAAATATATATCATAAAACAACAAAATAATCTATATTGATTTAAATTTTGTAAAAAAAAATTTAAAATATGAAACCCCGCACGTACGTGCGGGTCATGATCTAGTTATTTGTAAAATAACGGAAGTTTTGTGTTCATGTAATGTAAAAAACAAATAAATCGGTTTACATTTACGGTTTATACATTCAACCAGGACAATTTTTTATTGTTTGGCACAATAAGTTATTGTCAATAACTATAGACTATAGTTCACACTTCACACTTTCAGAAGTTATGTTCAAATTTAATTTGACATATTCATGTTGAGTAATTCAGAAAACAAATCAGCTAAATATTAACCAAAAGTCATGAAAATAATTAAAATCAATGTGGAATTGTAATTTAAAAAGACTATTTTTGTTAATTTTTCAATATCATAAACTATTTAACAAAGAAATTATTGAAGAAACAATATAAAGTAGAAGTAAAAAAGCACACAAAAAACTCAATCTACATCACTTAAATCTTTCTTTCACCCTCTTGTTTGCAGAAGGATCAAACACAACAATACTTCATAAGAGATGTTCTTCTTAGTATTTACTATATATATATACTAGGCCAAAAAATACTACACACAGATTGTGTTTCTCTTCTTCGTGATTCATTAGAAAGAAGAGGAGAAAAAGAGAGTAAACCTTTACCACAAAACATTGCAGAACTTGAAATGTAGACAAAACCTGGAAAAGATTGTTGAAACTCTCATCTGGTAAAACAAATATGATGTCTGTGCCAAGCCGGCTTCTCTGGATTTTCTTGTCCTGAAAAAGTTTTAATCTTTGCAGTATCGCGTTTCACCAGAAGTTAATGGTCATTCACAGGTTCTGCTTATGAACCTCATTTACCGAATTTGAAGCAAGAAACTAACCAAAGTGTTGACTTGTTGTCGGTAATCAAGAGCAAGAGATTTCCATCATCATACTCTCTTGTCATACTTGTTTGCAAACTCCTTGAGTAACAGCCTCTGGCGAAAGGCGAGATACGTATCTACACTGGTTCCAGCCCATTGCTGACAAAAGCTTTCATCATTTGGAACTAATGAACTAAGAGGGAACGGCCCTTTCCGCACTTTCTTTAACTCAACCAGGAAGCGGTGGCGCGGGCGTATCCTTTGATCCAAGGACAAGCTCAAGTACATTGGGTATTTGGTCAAAATGTGCACTTCATTATTGAGCTCATTGACCAAATACATGTACTTAGGCTTTAGATTATCTTCTAGCGAAAGAGACAAAACCTATTAAGACCAATTTGAGAAGTGTTTATGAGATCATATATTCTAGTTTAGATTAAGTTTAAGAAGAATATAGCAATCTACTAACCTGTGTAAGGCTAGTCAAGACTTTCAGTATATCAGAATTGCACATCCCAATGCTCCTAAGGAAATTGATTCGAGGCAAGAACCCGTCATCGATACTGTAGTGAAGAAGCTGCGGATGTTTCTTCACCATCTTCACTACGCTGTCTCTAGGTGCTCCCAACTCCTTGGAGAGGAACATGTACCGGGTGTTCCATGTTATGTCGAGCCGCTGAACCAGAATCTGAGGGCTTAGTTGCACAACCTTTCCAACATCGGTTTCCTTTATCCCAACCTCTTCGATCAGATACCTTATAGTGGGTCTCAATGAATTCTCTACACTGTAAGAGAACAGAGACGGGGTAGCAGCAACTATCTGTCCTATTTTGGAATTAGGAATCCCAAGACCCATTAGAAAGGAAATGTGAGCTTTGAGATTGTTCTCAACTGTGTATTGAAGTATCTGTGGTTGTCTCAAGAGCATCCTCTTGATATCTCTGTGTTTAACACCGACACTCAACAAGTAATCGAGTCTCTCTTGCGCTGATAAGACATTAATCTGAAGGGATGGCATGTGTCTCTCGTACATTTGAACAAAGTGTGATTCTTTCAGACCAAATGTGCTCAAGTAATCCAGAAGTGGTACCCATTTCGGATCTATATCGATCTCTTCTGAGAGTCGAGGGTATAGTTTCTCGACATATTTCCTCGAACTCACCTAATGAAACACAACAAAAACAACAATTAAGTTCCTTTCTCAACTCTATCTTTGTCTCCACTAGACGAATTTAAACAAATCTTTCACCTTTCCTCGACCATCTAAACGCCAAGACTCCCTCTCCTTCTTCTTCTCAGAAGAGACATTTCGACTAATGCCTATATCAAGATCATCTTCATCAGTCTCACTTTCTTCATGTTTTTCCCAATTTTTGACGATCCCTTTCTTCACACCTTCACAAACAAACCCACATCTTAGCAAATCTAAATCAATATGAAAGCTCAAGTCTTTTCATTGCAAATGCAGATTCAAATCAAATCTCAAACAATATGTCAAGAAAAGACAAACCTTTCTTAGCAATGGTTTGCTTCTGTGACTTAGGCTTCTTCTTCTCATACTCTGTAACCTCAGCGAAGTCATCCTAAAAAAATGAAAAATAAAAACCCAAATTTCACTCTTTTAAACAAGTTTCACTAACTACACATAGAACCCAGAATTCAAAAAAAGAATCAAAGCTAAAAAATGTGCTCAAAATCACATAAATCTTATAGCTTCATGAATAGAAGAGAAAAAGGAAACTAACATTAAGCAACCAGTCATCATCTTCTTCATCACTCTCATCATCTAGCGCTTCATCTTCATCACTGTCATATGGAGATAACGTTTGCCCATACCTCGACTTCTTCTTCGGATTGATTATCTTCGGGTTAGAGTGCGCGTACGTTACGACAAACCCACGAGTCTTTCTACTTCGCCGTCTCGTCGCCGGCGAACATTTATCAGAACCCAAAACAAAGAGAGGTGATTCCGACGGAAGAGTGAAGAGAATTCGTGGGTTTATAAAACAGTACAGTGAGAAACCCGCCATTTGCGGTAGGAACGAAAAAGAAGATAATGTTAACAGAGTAGAAGAATTATCCAATTAGACCGATTGCGAATATACCCTAAAACCCTAATTCCAAAAAAAAAAAAAAAACATTAATGGCGTTTACTGTTTTCCGATTACATGACGTCGTTTTAATGTATTTGAGAATTTTCTTTTTTTAATTGGCAGTTTTTTTAAAGCCACACGATGGTTTTTGTGGTTGGCGCGAATCCGACCCGAAAAACGTCGACGTGGCCCGAATTTTTTACATTTTCATCGGAGAATTTGATTTCTGAGTCATAGTGGCGACAATGGAGACTTCTGCTTCTTCTTCTTCACTGTGTCGAGTTCCGTCTCTGTGGACCGTTGGAACAAGACCACGTCAGATAAAATCTACCGCTAGTTTTGTTTCTCCGGGAAGAAGAAGAAGAAGAAGCCACGGCTTGTTGATGATAAGTAATCGACGGCTCAGAACGACGTCGGCTCTAAGTGAACTGGCTGACACGGTGGCGGAGACAGGCAAATCGGAGATTACGTGGCAGATTATAGTTGGAACTATTGGTAATTAATTAGCTGATTAGTGATGTGATTAATAAGTTTAATATGTGTTTTTCTTATAAACTTAATCAATGGATCTTGCAGCTGGAATCATACCATTCGTTGTTGCAGGTGTTGAATTCAGCAAAAGAATAGTATGTGTGAACTAAACTATGTGTATTACACACTTCATACATATTTGGTAGTGTACATTGAAATGAGAGTTTTGGTTTCAGATTGCACAGAAGAGATGTGAAGAATGTGGAGGAACAGGACTTGTTTTTAGAGACAAAAAATATTTTCGTTGTCCTGAGTGTGGTAACTTCAATTTCTCTCTGTCTTTCTTTTACAATTCCGACAACATGCAAGAAGCTTGAGTGTTTGATTGTGTTTTGTTTGCAGGTGGGTTTCTTCCATGGCAGTCATGGAGAAGATTCTTTACAGGCTGATGTTAATGATCTTTGCAAATAAGATTTTCTTGAATACATTTAAAGATTTGTGTATTTTTTTACAAAACATTTTCGAAGTAAAAAAAACAAACAAATGTGTTGAAAGATTAAGACCAGTACTATCTCTATCTATCTTAGTGTTTGTGTCATGATATACATACATACATATATAGATAGATCATAGAATACAGAGAACAATGTTATTCCATTCCTAACCTAATTAAGAAGAATGGAAGTAAAGAGCTAGCCTTTTTGTGTTACTGTGGTTGGCTTGTGGAGACCATCCTCCTTTAGGGACCAGATTGTATTCTCCCTATGTTGTGTGGATATGGGTAAGAGGAAGAGATGTCACCGGTTTGAGCCTCGTTTGCGGTTTCTCTCAAACCGTTATATTGATGATTTACACCATAGTAGGATCCCATGGGAGGCCCATGAACAAACCTGAATCCAGCAGCTCCATTGGTTTGAGTTTGCTGTATAAATTCAGAACGAGTACTTGTCGTTGCTGATGCTCGTTTGATGTATGGTCAGGGCTGCTAGATGCGATTCCAACACCTATGTCTAGGCTGATTGTGTCGGTGGTTTCTTCTGGTCTGAATCTGGGTACTATGTCATGGTTGTTGTTAGACCTTGCGGTTGGTACATAACTAGCAGACTAAAGCATTGTAATTAAAATGTCTTTTACTCATTGATTACAAATCTAATAGGAATAACACAAGGAAGGCGTTGGATTCCTCCGCATTGTAATTAGAGAGTGCCAAGCAAGCTAGCACCGCCTAAGACCTTTAAGGCTTTAATAAGCCTGAAATAATTGCCTAAAGGAAAGTTATCCTTTTGAAAAATGTGTAATGAAGAGAACAAGAAAACTTTGCATTTGTATCTGCAGGCCCGGCCCGTTCATAAGGGAGCCAAAACATCTGCTTGCAACCAAATATAAAGACAAACTAGATCATAACCCCTGCTATAGCACGGGTGTGAATTTTTTTTATAAAATTAAAATATAAATTGGGTGATATAATCCACCCCCAATCAGAGATATAATCCATGGAATATGAAGAGATTGATGATTTTGTTTTTTGTGTTTTTAGAGTGAGTTAGAATAATGAGGCTTATGCTCCCTATATATAAAGATAAACGTTTATTGCTTTTCTTCTTTGATTCAGAATAGATAATAATGATAGATTTTGCTCATTCTCCCAATGCTATGAAGAGAAACGTATCAGCTTCAATTCAGAGAACCTAATAATGAATGTTTCATCTTGCACGTTTCTTTTATGACTTTTAATTTCTTTTATCTTTTAAAAGGGTTTATGTTATACGATGCTTGAGTGTTGTTGTTTAGGATAGGTTGGTTAGATTTTATTGTTTAGGATATCTTCTTAAACCCATTTTAAAACCCATTGACCCGTTTTTGGTTAAATGGATAGTGTGCTAATTGTCTTTAATAACCTTAATGAATTTGTTCTAAAATAAGCTTTTTGTAATGGCATTCTCATGTAATTTTTTACAAAAGAGAAGGTTAGTTAAGGGTTTCTTATAAAGTGTACTCCCCAAATAATAGTATAGGATATATCTATAGGTATTGGGATGCCGCCCTAAAAATAAGAAAGTGTGTTTTTCGATATGAACAAATACGTAAGATTAATTCATACCTAAACATTAAACAAATTTGAATTTCATACCCAAACTTTATATTTAGTGTCTAATTTGGAGTCGTAATTAACGGGTGTTAGTCAACCGTTACGATTGTTAAGTTAAATGACACGTGTTAGATATCATAGTTTAAAACGATGCTGTTTTAAGTGTGAGAGTTAAAATTTTATAACATTTTGCAAAAATCGGGTCTCGAACCCATAATGCATGTTTCACTCATTTGTGCAGTCCATTATCATTTGATCAACGACTATAGTGAAACGTCATGGGTTCGAATCCCGATTATTGCTAAATTTTATAAAACTTTAACTCCAACTTTTAAAACGACGTCGTTTTAACCCACGTCATCAAACATATGATATTTGATTCAACAACTGTAACGGTTGAGTAACATCCGTTAATTACAATTATGTATGAAATTCATTTTTTTAGATTTAGATATAAATTAACCCTAAATATTTGTTTATTGTTGAAAAACACATTTTACAGATTGTACTGATACAAAAATACCATTTTCCCAATAATTTGCTTAACACTTCCAAAAACAGTTGCTTGCTTTTAATTTTTTTTTTTGTTAAATGAAAACTTTATTTTTGATACATTAATAGATATTTCTTAAAAACTGATTCAAATAATCTGCAACGTTCCTGGGCGTTGTCGGAATCACCTTAATGTCACTTTTTTAGTTGTCACGAATATGTAGAAAGGAAAAAGAGAAAAGTTTAAATGCAAACATCATCATTCGATTTCGTGTATTCTTATTATGCTTTATATCAAAAGATTTTAAGAAAGATGTGATCGTACTAAAACCATAAATTAGATAGTAATTTTCAAGAAGGTCTGAATCTTGTGTGAAATATTGAAAATGATTAATTTGATTAACTGGATTATAACAAATAATTTGGGATTTGTTTAACTGGATTATATTGTATGGTTTACAATGAAGTTTTGTTTTTTAAAATATGGTGTGGTATTTAATGGTTTATTATATAAAATTTGGTTTTGAGAGTTAATAATTCATACGATATAAACATGTGATAATTTTATCGATCTCAGATTTTGATACGTGTAAAACAAAAATTCTATTAAAATAAATATTTTGAAAATAAGAAAATACATTAAAAAGTACTATTTGATAAGAAAAATATTACATAATTTGATATTGTTCACATTCACTGATTCACATGCAAACAAAGAAATAATATACATGCATCTGAAATAAATAGAAGAAAGATAACAAGTTGGCCAAAACCTTTAATATGTGAGTTAACGTGAACCGAAGAAGATAACAGTTTCACACTTCACATGCATCTTTGCTCTTTTTATAAACTAAGTCACAGAAATCACTTAGGCTTATAACTTATAAGGAGAACCTATATGGCCGGAGGCCACGTTTTTCAGGCAAAGTCATTCGAATTAAATGTACATTTTAATATAAGAATAAACAAAATTTATATACATACTACATTGTATAAATTTCAACAAGTATCAAATTTTGGAGAAACGAAGTACCAACTTTCAAAAAATAATCGGTCATTACTATTATGTTGTAACAACAATTTTAAGAAATTGTTATAAAAAAAAATTTTTTTTTAAGAATTTACAATATAAGCAACTATAAGTGGTTAATTAGGATTTCGATTGAGTCTGATATTTTATGGTTCTAAAAGATTAGTAATTACTAACAACCTTTTAACAAGAATAAAAAATAAATAAAAGATGCTGATAAAGAAAAAAAAAGATTAGTAAATATAGTAACGAAAGTGAAAAAAAAACTAACATGGATCTTTTGCCTTTTGATACGATTTGATTTTCAGTTAGATATGTATATATCATTATATTGTTTTGATAAATTAAAAATAGAAAATTATAAAGTCGATGTGGAAATAAATCCTGAACCTATTAATATTTTCTAAAACCGTTTCTTGTACGAAATAAATCCTGAACCTATTAATATCTGGATTAAAATATCTAAATTTTGGATATTTTCAAAAGGATATCGTATAATCCAGATATATTCATCTCATCTAATATCATGAAATTATGAGGTGAAAAAACAAAAATCATTCCCAACCAAAATTTGTTTACGTTTTCTACTTTTACAAGAAAGTCAAACATGCGTCCCATGACTAGCCGCCTTCGTGATTTTAATAAATTGAGAAACCTCCAAAATTCTCTAAATTAATCTTGATCGTCCAATTGATAAAAACCATTAATCTTGATCGTCCACTGGTCTAGATCGTTTTACTTCTTCTTGCGCCGAAGTTTGACTTTTTACTCTACGAAATAGATTAATTATATTCTTATTCTAACTGACTATAAGTTTATGCGTTATAAGTTCTGACACAAAATTTAACCCCAAATTTTATTTTTATTTTATTTTGAAAAAATCCCAAAAGAAATTTTTAAAACACAAAATGACCAAATCTATTTCAATTAATTTTACAATTTTCACTTGTAAATTTCATTATTATGTTAATATTTTCCCTAATAAATTCGATGTCAACGATGTGGTAAAACCTTGAAGAGTCCAATTCCAGATAGGCAAAGAAAAACAAAAGAAAGAATATTTACTGGTATATATATTAAAAATCACACACAATCTCCTCCGTTTCTTTGGTCTTCAAAAGCTTTCCCTAATCTAACACGCTCCGTTACGTTTTCTCCTTTACGAAAAGCTCAGCAAAAACAGCTTTAAAGCGATTTTAATGGTATGTCTTCTTTCTTCAATCTCTTAATGTGTGTGTGTGTGTATGTTATGACGTTTTAGTTGGAGTTTTTCCGGTTTATTAGGGTTCTTATAATACATGTTACCGATCTAGTTTTTTTTAATCTTCGATTTGATACTAGTACATGGAAAACTGAATTTCTAAGTGAAATCGTTTAGATTGGAGTACTAAAACCTGTGAAATCTTTGTCGTTGTGAATTCTGGTTAGTCGTATAATCAGAATTTTGACTCTGTTTTACGAACAGATGACTTGTGCGAGCTCCGATGACAATGACAGTGAAAAGGACAAGGACTCGGAGTCTTTCGTGGAGGTCGATCCGACTGGTAGATACGGTCGGTACGGCGAACTTCTTGGCTCAGGCGCCGTCAAGAAAGTCTACAGAGCCTTTGACCAAGAAGAAGGCATCGAGGTGGCTTGGAACCAAGTTAAACTGAGATGTTTTTCCGACGATCCAGCCATGACAGAGAGGCTTTACTCGGAGGTCAGGTTGCTCAAGAACCTTAAGAACAGTAACATCATCACCCTCTATAAGGTGTGGAGAGACGAGAGAAACAACACCTTGAACTTCATCACCGAGATCTGTACCTCCGGGAACCTCAGAGAGTACCGGAAGAAGCACAGACACGTCTCTATGAGGGCTTTGAAGAAGTGGTCGAAACAGATTCTCAAAGGCTTGGATTATCTCCACACTCACGAGCCTTGCATCATCCACAGAGACCTCAACTGTAGCAATATCTTCGTCAATGGCAACATCGGCCAGGTACAAAAACCTATCTTACTTATGCTAAATATTTTCTAGTCTTCTGTTTGTTGGCTAGTGTGATTGAGTTTTGTGTCTTGATTGAAAACCAGGTCAAGATTGGTGATCTAGGTTTAGCTGCAATTGTGGGGAAGAACCATTTAGCTCACTCCATCCTCGGGACACCAGAGTTCATGGCTCCTGAGCTATACGAGGAGAACTATACTGAGATGGTTGACATATACTCGTATGGAATGTGCGTTTTGGAGCTTGTCGCACTCGAGATTCCTTATAGCGAATGTGATAGCGTCGCCAAAATATACAAAAGGGTGAGCAATGGCCTCAAACCAGAGGCTCTCAACAAAGTAAATGATCCCGAAGCTAAGGCATTTATTGAAAAGTGCATCGCGCAGCCGAGAGCTAGACCTTCTGCAGCTGACCTCCTCTGCGACCCGTTCTTTGATGGGATATTAGATGATGATGACGAAGACTGCGAAAACAATGACAATAATGGAGCTTGTCGCATTGTTTCTTGATGATTGTATACAATGACCCTTTGTTAATTTTTGTCCTATGGTTGGAGCTGTAATTTTTTACATTTAAGCATTGTCTCATTTTATTTCCTTAGGACTTTTCTCTCTGTTGTACATAACTTTTGATTGGACAAGGAAATTACGTAAACAGTTTTTCCTTTCAGTTTCTAACCGACTCCAAATTTCTAACCATGAGATACAACCGCAAAATTCATATAAATCACAACTACCAGTCGAAGAATCCCACAACAGGTCTCATTGAGGTCAATGCCAGTCTGGATGTGTATTTACTATCAGACGTCTGGAATGAAAACGAGACCTCTTCCTTGTTCGCTGTTAACGTAAACGTTATATACGTCAAAGGTTGGTTTCGTGGCACGCCAAGAGATTCTACGCCGTCCCATGGACTTATCCGGTTCACTTTCCTATGTAATATTCGTCGACCAAACAACAGTATTTGATTGGTCAGAGAGGACGATGTTGGAATTCCACACTCGGATGGTTCCTATAGGATAGGAGAGAGGGTTGTCTCTGTTTGCAACCCATACATAGGTTCTTTCGGAGAGTTTCTTATACCAAATACCGAGATACCAACGATCCTCATTCGGGGAACTGTACTCAGGTTTGAAGATACCAAGCTCGAAGACCTCATTATGAGAATTGAGACACAATGGTTTCGTTGCTAGAGATGGTAAAAGGTTCTGTAGAAATCAAAGAAGTACCGTAGCTGAAGAATACAAGAAAGGATGAAATGAGAAACGAAAAACAGTACGAAAAACTTGTGGCGTCTTTGGATTCCGGTGTAGCTAGCCGGTCTCTTCTTGCCTTTCTTCCTTTTCAGTTTTGGTGTTGATCCGGTCTTTGGCCTCGCCACGGAGCTTCTGTTTGTTGGTTTCCTCCTCGGTCTATCCATCATCGATTTTCTCCTGCTTCCGGTTGCTGAGAGTGAGGATACGGATCTGTGACACAAGTGGAGGCTTCCTTAGCATCAATTTGCTTTGCATTTGTTGCTTTAGGTTGTTCGTGTGGCGGTTGGGCTCGCCGTGAGTGGCTTTCTTCGGTTACGGCGTGTCACCTCTGCTTGTGGAAGGACGTTGGTGTCAGTTTCGTCTTCCGTCGCTGCTAGTTTGTAGCTCCTCGTCAGGTCCCTTTTCTTTGTTCCGGTGGTTCGATAATGGTGTTTTCATTTCTTGTAACAGTTTTTGGAGGTTGGCGTTATGCATGTGTGGAGTCTTTTGGAGAAGAATTAGAGGCGGCGCTTTGGTCTATGTGGCATCGTTTATCCGTGGGAGATGGTTCCTATCGTTTGTATAGGAATGGTGACCGGAGGTGGTTTCTCTGGTTGCCCGTAGATGCTCCTGTAACCATCGGGTTTTTGTTTTAAGTCCGCTGTTGTCATTGCGTTTTTGCGTTAGTTTGCGGAGAAGCTGTAGGCGCCTTATCCAGAGGTTTTGAGGACGGGCTTTTGTTAGGGTATGCTCATGGCAACTAGGATGGGACTCCAGCTTTTTGGAATTGTGAAAATCACGCAAATTTCTGAGTTTGTCTTCTCGGAATCGGTGTTTTTTCTCTCGTTTCCGCTATGGATTTACATTATCCTTCTTTACTGTTTTGTTATTGTCTGTTTATTCTTTAGATTTTATTTTTTTCGCTACTTGTATTTCATGTAATTTCTGTCAAAACTTCGAAAATGATATCAATATTTCACATTGTTACCAAAAAAAAAAAAAACAGTACGAAAAAGTACCACTTAACCATCTCATATTCGTCTGTCCATAGATTTTGGCCTGGTTTGACACTTTATTATTTTAACTTACAAGTGCGAACACACCAAAAAAATCTTTAAAATCGCTAATTTTTTAAAATTTACCATTTACTTCTAAAAAATGCTGATTAATCATTGGAAATCAAAATAATATGCAATATAACTACTTTTCAATGACGTATGAGTTTATAAAATTTTGGTAAATAATTTGTTATATCGAAGTTTTCGCGACGAAGAGTCCAAATCTACTTTTAAATTTTTTAAAATATAATGTATAAGACTGTAACAACGTTTGTAATATACAATAAAGATTATATTATATATTATTGTCGACTTTGTATGATTAATCTCTATTTTTTGGAAATTTAAAATAAATTAGCAAAAGTTGCGATTTGGAAGGGTTTTCTTTGCAAAAACCCTTTTATTTATTTTATAAAGTTTTGTCAAAATGTTGAAGAGGACTTGAGAAGAGATTTTTTTTTTTTGGATTGAATTAAGCAGTTATATACTCTTACACACGTCATGTCTATTTACATCTGTTTTTTTTTTTTTTTTTTTGACGTCTAAATTTATTATTTATTGCAAATTATGAGAACTGTTACATAGAAGATTCTACAACAGACAATTCCTTCCGACCCTTATTAGATCCACGAGAGACGACACTTCCTTCTCCATGCTCTTGACGGACACCTTCAATGATCCACGACCTGACGACACTTCTCTCGCTCTCTGCATAGAATCCTGGCGAACGGCTATAATTGTACATCGCTGGAGATCTTCTGCACACTTGCCTCCTTTAATCTGCAAATTTATTAATAAATCGCAATATCTGGAACTCGAACCCCAAACTCTTGGTGTAGAAGCATTAGTTAACCCTTGGTCAACCAATGGACCAAGGGGGCTTCCACATTTACATCTGTTTCACAGCTTGAAAATGCTCATTACATTGATCAACTTTTACAATTTTGGAAAATTATTATGAAATTTCAAAAATGTTCTTTTTCTAATACCATATTTAAAAATGTGTCTTTCCAATAACTTAATAGAAAAATTGGAGATCTACATAAAAATTTGTACAATCTTATAAATGCACACATAATCTATCTTTATATGTATGTAAAACACTAAAACCTTCTAAAAATGAAATAAATATCTTATAAATACTTTATAAAATCTTTAAATACTTTGTAAAACTATATAAATACTTGGTTCGAATCTCCGAATAGTATTACTATCTGAAAGCACCTTACAAACCTTATAAAGACTTTATAAATTTTTCAGATTCAATAGAAGACATTTTTAAAAATGAGGACAACTGAAAGAGTCATTTTTAAAAACTCATTTCTAAAAAAGGACACTCTAGAAAAGACATTTCTCAAAAATTTCTAAAAATTACAAAAATAAAATTGTTGAATTTCCGATTACAAATGTATTTTGTATCGTAATCATAAAACGATCAGAGCTTCCTACCAAAAAAAAAAAAAACGATCAGAGCTGAACTGTATGAAATATGTATTAATGGTGTGTATAACAAAATTAGGTAAGAAGAAAACCTTGAATAGTCTAATAAAAATTTGTCCTTGCAAGTTGATAAAGCTTGCAACAATTTTAAATGAAGAAAGAAAAATAAAAACAAAGATATTATAATCTTTTAAAGACAACTTTGCATGAAAAATTTAAAATTCCAAAAAGTTGGTGTCCTTCGCACAATCACACCACACACCACCATCACCAATTCACCATCACCATCACCATCATGTAACACCAAAAAAAAAACAGTTGTTTCAATATAATACTAATCATTAATCATATAAAATTTCTAATTTAAAAAACTATTCCTAGAAAATAATTATTTAGACCACCTTTTAATTATCATTAATTAGATCGAGCTTTCTTTTTTCTCTCTCGAGGTTGCCCTAGCCGTCCAAAAGCGCCTTCTTCGTTTTGCCCTCTCCGGCTTCCGGTGCTCCTCGCCGGAGCTGTGAGAGGGCCATAGATTCTCGTTCTAGCTTTGTCTTGTTTGTGTAGTTGTCCTTTGAGTCTCCTTTCCGCTAATCTGAGATTTCTTCCGATGTAAAGGAGAGTGATGGCGCGTGGAGGTCGTATCCATGTTTTGCGTTTCAGATCTGAGTAGTCAAGAGGAAGTTGATGAGCATTGAGGGGCTTTGGTCTGCTCTCGCTTCAGGTTCTCATGTTTATGCTTCAGATCTACCATTTGTTTTTGAGAGTTTTGGCTCTCTGTTTCCGGAGGTATATGTCTCGCCTTCTCTTTTGATGGGTTTTGTTCATTTCTCCTTTCGGTTAGTTGTCTCTCAGTGGATTGTTCTCTAGGGTTTAGTTCCTTTTCTTTCGGTGTCCTTCATTGGTCGGTGTAACTTGCCTTTTGGGATTGCTCTTTTCAACTCGACGGGTTCCTTTGTTGTGCCCCTGCGTTTGGTGTCCGGAGTTGGGATTTCTTTTCCAATCGGATTTTGCATTTGGAGGGAGTGTTTTGGGTTAGTTGGTTTGCTTTTGGGTTTTTTTCCAGTTGATGCTTCGGGTCCGTGCTGTTATGCTGATTTGGGATGAAGCAACGAGAGGCAGAGGTTGTAGTTTATGGTTTAGTGACTGTGCGGTTTAGCTGCTCTCAAGGTTGGCTTGGTGGTTCTAGTTTCAGTGGTTCGGTCCTTTTGATTGGAGTTTGGCCGGTTTCTATGGAGTATGCAGGTTATGGTGTTGTCTTTGAAAGTACGTCGTGGTCACGACGGTTCCTCAATCAGGTTTCCGGGTTCTGGTTTGTTTGGCTTTGGTTTCTCGTGGTTCTTTCCGATTCCTATCCAGGCGGTGTGAGCTTTGTTATGAGTTTGGTCTTCTTCCAGTCCCCTTCATTAATTTGACAATTGGTGTGTTTTCTCTACCTGCTCCCATTCCAGCTAGTCCCTTCTTTGCCCCTCTTCTTGTGCTTGATGTTATCTTCTATTTGGAGTTGATACCAAAGGTTTTAATCTTTCGTTGGGTAAATTTGATGTAAGGTTTCCTTTCCTTTGGGCCTTTTTGTTTCCCTGTAATTTAGGGCTTCGCTTCCCTCGTTTGGGCTTTGTCTCCGGGGAAATCTATTTCTTCCGCCGGCATTTGTAATCTCACAATGTATCTTTCCGATGTTTTATTAATCAAATCAGATGACAAAAAAAAGACCACCTTTTAATTTATGTTCTTCTTCTCCCTCGTTTTCTCCCATCTAGCTCTCCATCTCTTCGAGATTTCTTCTAGCTAAAAAAGAAAAAAACAGGCTATATACTTAAGAAGTTTCCTATTTATTTGTGATTTAATAATTCTATATTCAATATTATTTTGATGGAAATGCACTGTCATGAACCCAAATAATTTTGATGTTTTCCTGATTTATTCACAACATATAATAACAATTTAAGAAATATATAAGGAACGAAATAACTAAAAGTGTTTGTCTGTAAAATTGTCAAAGTACTCCATTAATTTTTGTTCCTGTCAACACAGTACTCCAAAATCCAAATATTTCAACTTTCATGAGTTGATGATTGTTTATAATACATCATTTAAATACTCCATAAACATCATTATGCCAGAAAGATCCTTTAGGCTAGGATTTGCCTACACACAAGACAAGTTGTATTTAGGTCCCTGTTTTATCCCTCCAATGAACGATTTTCTTTTTTTAATCGTATACTCCATTACAGTTTTAATTATTTTATTTTAAATTGCACTAAAGTTTTTTTAAGATGTCAGGATACAATTCAGAATCTCTGACCACTAAGTTAGATTAAGGTGCTTAAGTATAACATTTGGTTTACTATATACATTTACACTGTTTTGTTGTTTTAAATGATAGAAAGGTAATGTTACAAAAACATTTTTTACGAAAAACAAAGAAAAATGAAAGAAAACAAAATTCATAGAGCTTGTAATAAAAAAGGTATTTGGTCATCATCGACTCATTTCCAATAATTTTTATTATTTATTTTCTTTCGAGAAAACAAAAATATTGGGAAGAATTCGTCCAAGAATAAAAGTCACACAACTTTAAACAATATTATAAAACTGTAAAGTGTTAAAAAAAAGTATAAAAGTTTTCTATTGTTTATTTGAATTTTTAGGTAACATATAAATAATAGGGATATTATGGGTCTCCATGATCATGATAGTAGTAATAGTCTAGTCTTAATTCAAAAATTATATTTAACCTCAACTATCTCAATTACAATTTTTTTTTGTAAATTTCAAACATATTAAAAATTAATAATAATTAATCAAATATCGATATATATATATATTAGTATAAAAAATTTAATAAATTAAATAACATAAAATATACCAATGCATATACCTAGTTATGTGAGATTAACTATTGTTCTCTCTCTTTTCTTTTTAATTATCAAAGAAAGAACTCTTCATTTAAAGGAAAGGTTTTTAATAAGCCTTAGAGATTAGAGAGAGAGAAGATGTTGTTTATTATTATAGGATGAACAAAACATCCTCTGTTTCTCTATTCATCTTTTTCTCTACATTTCCTCATCTGGGTCATCTCCAAAAATGGTGATTTTTTTAAAAAAAAACTTTCTCGTCTTTAATAATTCTTCACGTTGCTGGGTTTTTGGTTTTGTGATTTGATGATGCTTTTTTTTTTTTTTTTTTTCAGATTTGAAGATCACCCAAATTCGCAATTTGATTAGGACAACAACAACAACAACTTTATTTATCTGATTCCGTCTTATATTTTCAGACAACAAAAGTATGTTGTTTCAAGTCTTCGATGTTTTTCAATTTCATCTCTCGCTGTGATTCTCTCCTTACTCGATTATTGTTTTATTGGGTTTCTCTGAATTGGAGCAGAAGCAACAAAAAAAAAAAGATGGAATCGGATCTGGGGAAGCTCTTCATTGGTGGGATTTCGTGGGATACAGATGAAGAAAGGTTAAGAGACTATTTTAGCAACTATGGTGATGTTGTTGAAGCTGTGATCATGAGAGATCGTGCCACAGGACGTGCACGTGGCTTCGGCTTCATTGTCTTTGCAGATCCTTGTGTCTCAGAGAGAGTGATCATGGAGAAACACATCATCGATGGCCGCACGGTTAGTGATTTGAATCATCTCTCAATCTTTCAGCAGAATAAAAAAAGTTCAGATCTTTAAGATCTTATTGCAACTTTCTCCATTGTGCATTTTGCGTTTTTGAATGATTCTGGTTTGGTTTAGTTTTGTTTCTCGAAGTGTAAAGATCACTTTTGTTCTTTCAGGTTGAGGCGAAGAAGGCCGTGCCTCGAGATGATCAGCAGGTGCTAAAACGACACGCTAGTCCTATCCACCTTATGTCACCTGTCCATGGCGGTGGTGGTGGAAGGACAAAGAAGATCTTTGTTGGAGGTTTACCGTCTAGCATTACCGAGGAGGAGTTCAAGAACTACTTTGATCAGTTTGGTACAATTGCTGATGTTGTGGTAATGTATGATCATAACACGCAGAGGCCAAGAGGTTTTGGCTTCATCACATTTGATTCAGATGATGCTGTTGATAGGGTTCTTCACAAGACCTTTCATGAGCTCAATGGGAAACTAGTCGAGGTCAAAAGAGCTGTACCTAAGGAGATTTCCCCTGTTTCTAATAACCGAAGCCCGCTTCCTGGCGGTCTTAACTATGGAGGCGGGTCTAATAGGATTTCTGCTAATAGCTACTTTAATAACTTTGCTCCTGGTCCTGGTTTTTATAACAATCTAGGCCCTGTTGGTGGTCGGTTTAGTCCTATTATTGGTAGTGGTAGAAATGCGGTTTCTGCTTTTGGCCTCGGTTTGAATCATGAGTTGAGTTTGAATTTGAATCCAAGCTATGATGGGACAAGCTCTACATTTGGGTATAACCGTATTCCAAGCAACCCTTACTTCAACGGTGCTTCCTCGAACCGTCACACCTCTCCAATTGGGCACAATAGAACCGAGTCTCCTTACATTTCGAACAATAGAGATTTATGGGGAAACAGAACCGACACTGCAGGTCCCGGTTGGAACTTGAATGTCTCGAATGAAAACAACAGAGGAAATTGGGGACTTCCTTCTTCTGCTGTTGGTAATGATAACAATGGCCATGGAAGAAACTATAGGACAAGTTCTGGACTTTCCTCGTCCCCATTTAACGGTTTTGAAGGTTCTATAGGGGAATTGTACAGAGGCAGCTCAGTTTACAGCGACTCAACGTGGCAACAACAGCAGCTACCGTCTCAGTCTTCTCACGAGCTAGACAATTTGTCTCGCTCTTACGGTTATGATATTGACAATGTAGGTTCAGACCCATCTGCAAATGACTCAGAAGTTTACAATGGAAGCTACAATGTTGGAAATAGACAAACTAATAGAGGTAACAAAAAAACTTAACTTTGTTCTTCTTGTCAATAGAATTTCTAACTTATGATACATTTTGATCGCCATCGAACTGTTCTGATCAGTGATTTATTTACTTGTTTAGGTATTGCGGCATAGGTTATCAAAACCAAGAAAACAAAAAAAAAGTTGAGAGATTTGTAGATTGAAAGCAACCAATTTCAGTTGCAGAGTTTGAAGAGGTTTTCTTCTCATGACAAAGACACCAACTTTGTTGATCACAGTGTGAGTCTTTGCCAAAGATTCTGGTTTGCTCTCTCTTTTGTTAGACCAAGAGAAAAACAAAGAACAGTTTTTTTTTTCTCTTCTTACATAAAGATCAGATCGTAGCAGCCAAAGATACTACAAGGTGGATTTAGATTTGCTTTCAAAGTTCTTCTTCTCAAAAACTTTTTTTCTTTCATAGAAATAACCAAACAAAAGATCGTATAATTTTCGATCAAAGATTCTTCAGAGTTCTGTGCTCTGTTTTGTAATTTTACTTTTTTTGTTCTTATTTACAAATTGAATTGTCCATGAAAACTTTGATTTCTTTTTTAAATTAGCGTGGGAAAAAATATTGTGTAAGAGAGGGATATGACTATTTTGTTGCATGTATCCCTAATGAGATATATTTACTTTTTAAAAAAGCTATTTTTATGTTTAGAATTTGTGCCTTTGTGGAAGAAAAATTTGTAAAAACTCTTTTTTTATAGATTTAGATCTTTCAGGTACATAGTAAACATTAATATTCCATACTCTATTTGGAAATAAACTAGAACAAATATAACTAGGTGTCTAGGTCATAGAATCCGTCATAGAATTGACTAAAATATTTTTTGAGAAGTTTACAATATTCCATACTCCATCCTGCTTAAGTTTACTAAATCATGTTTTGAGAAAATTACCAGCATTTTTCTTTCTTTTTTGGTAAACAACATTTTATTTTGTTTTGATACAATGTATATCTTTGATCGATATTTGATTAATCTATGTTTCAGTTCCAAATATTTGTTTATAAGTTCAAATTCAATAACGAAGAAGTTTTCATTTTATTTTAGAACTAGATCATGACCCGCACGTACGTGCGGGATTTCGTATTTTAAAAAATGTATTGTAATAAAGTTTTAGTAAATATAGATTATTTTGTTGTTTTGTTGATATATATTGTAGTATGTAAATTATAATATACTATATCAAACGTTGAACCTGGAAAAGAAAACTCAATATGAATACGGTATAATTTAAATACTTAACTGAGGAACATAAATAAAAAGAACTTCTATAAAGAGTGTTTAGAATCAAACAGGATAAGAAAATAAGAAGAACCGGAAATGAATGAATATAATATTTATAGCACCAAACATGATAAACATCCATACGAAGTCAGTTTTATTTTATGTCTTGAATTCCTTACGATCAAATCTCTTGCTTTGGCCAATAGACAATAAAAAAGAGAGATTAAAATGTGTTTAACATATGCAAAATTAAATATATGATAACGTTTATGAAATATATTTTCTTTGTGAATGGATCAATAAGCGACTTGTGAATATCTAGTGTTGACCCTAAAACCAAAAACCATAAAAATATGCATAGGAGGTTAGTAAAATTAGGAGATAAACATCATAAGAACATGAAGTAATTTACTTTTAGATCTCCATCTATTGTTTAAAGAATCGATTTTCTAGATTAACTGTGAGATAATCAACGTGGATGTATGCATAATGATATTTAAATTATATTTTAATATTTTTTGAAAAAGAAAATAATCAAATTTAGAAGAATGTATATTCCAAAAGCTTGTAACAATTTGATACGAAATAAAATAATTTATTTGATTTGAAATATATTAAACTTTTTTTTTGGTAAGAAATATATTAACTTATTTGGCTCTAAATAAAATAATTTGGAGATATAGTAACTAATATAATACGTTTCAAAAATATATTTTCTTTTATATAATTCAAATTTAGTTTAGTAATATATATTTAAAATATTGAAAACTACCCGTTTTTAAAAAATATATTTTAATGTATACTGCAAATATTTTCTAGATATTTACATATCTAAAATCCAAAACTTATTAGTTGAATATGCTATATTTAAAAGGATGAAAGTATTTAGTTTAGATTATATATGATAAATATACTAAACGTTTTTTTTATATTTGGAAAATAAAATTTGAAATCTTTTATTTTTCCTGTGATTTAATCAGAATTAATTAGCATAGTTTTGTTAAGAAAATTTTTTACAATCTAAACTAAATAATAATTTGTTATTAAATTAGATTGCCGTTTCCAGAAATATCTAATAATATATTACCAAAATCAATAAGTTTACATATATATAATTTTGAATTAAATAGCTTGATTTATTATGGAATCTTCTTTAAACAATTTCTAAAAATATTAGGCAGTTATTAATTTATTAATTTTAATTTCGATTTTTTCAATTGTTTTTTTTCTTTCTTCAAATTTAAAAAAAAAACCAATGGCATTCTATGTAATATTCTACAACTTAAAGGTTTTTTATTATCTAGTGATTCCCAATTAATAGTATAGATTAGTAAACAACGAAATCAATATCATTACAGAACATGCCATAGAAACATCTAGGTCCCATTAACAAGAATCGGTCCAAAACTTTTGCGACTTTTAGGCCTCCTTGCAAAAGCTTTATACGTGAATGTTTTTTTTTTCTTACTCCAGATCTCCAGTGAACTAATTTTTATTCTACATTGCAGATTTATTTTACGTGAAAATTTTAAACAGCAACTTTACTAAATTTTCTTCATTGCCAATAATTTATTTTTTCTTTTTTATGATAGCATTTGTGGATTTGTTTCTTATATACACACACTATCTATACCATATTATAATTTTCAGAAATATAGAATTTTATTTCTTTATAATTATGACAGAAACAATTTAGATATTTATATCTCTAGCTATTTTTAATTTATTTAAGTTTCATCATAATGTAATTGAATATTGATATGTAACTAATTATCAAAACATTACAAAAGAGCTACTTGTCAAATTCTTATAAAACAATGTATTAATATTTATTGAAAAATCAATAATTTAGTCAATATTACAGTGACCCAACTAGTAAAAATAAAAAGTCACCCAACATTTTTCAAACTCATCAATATCGAGATTGTGTAATAAATTTTCATAAAGAAACTAAAATCCTCAACTTTACCTTTCTTCTCTCTCTGCCTAAAGATGGAGTCAGAGCCAGACCAAAGCTTCAAAGACCTCTCATGGTTTCTTCAAGCAATCAAAGACCCACAACAAACTTGCTTCAACCTTCAAACCCTATCTTTCTCATCTTTCGGAAAAACCACGCATTGTCAGTTAATAACAGAGAGCTCCATGAACATCAACGTCACTAGAGACAACCTCACTTCACTTTCCCAGATCTTCATCGAGCTAGCAACATCCTTAGAGACGCAGACATCTCTCAGGAACCTGGAATTCGAAGGAATCTCTTGGGAAATCGAGCTGTTGCAGAGCCTGGGTTTGTTGTTAGACAACACCTCGAAGATAAAGCAGCTTGCTTTCAGAAAGAACAGGTTCAGTGAACAATGTCTCAACGACCTCTCAGAGATTTTGAAAAGAAACAGTTTTTTGAAAGAGATTATGTTCGTAGAGTCGAGAATTGGATACAGAGGAGCTACGCTTCTTGGATCGGCTCTCCAAGTTAACGATTCGTTAGAGGAATTGCAGATTTGGGAGGATTCAATTGGGTCAAAAGGAGCTGAAGAGCTCTCCAAGATGATTGAAACGAACTCAAGTTTGAAACTTTTCTCCATTTTCGACTCGAGTCCTTTCACCGCCACGCCATTGATATCTGCTGTTTTGGGTATGAACAGAGAAATGGAGGTTCATGTGTGGAGTGGAGATCACAAACGAGACAGAAGCTCAAAGCTTGTTGAGTTCTTGCCTGAGAGCAACACTCTGAGGATTTACCAGATTGACATTTCTGGTTCTTGCAGAGTCGCTGCAGCCTTGGGGATGAACACAACCGTGAGGGCTCTAGATATGACGGGTGCGAAGCTAAACTCGCGGTGGGCGAAGGAGTTTAGATGGGTTTTGGAACAGAACAAGACTCTTAGAGAAGTGAAACTTTCAAAAACCGGGCTTAAAGACAAAGCGGTTGTTTATGTTGCAGCTGGACTTTTCAAGAACAAGAGCTTGCAGAGTTTGTATGTTGATGGAAATCGGTTTGGGAGCGTTGGTGTCGAGGATTTGCTTTGTCCATTGAGTAGATTCTCTGCTCTGCAATTACAAGCTAACATCACCTTGCGGTCAATTGTGTTTGGAGGTTCCAAGACAAAGATTGGAAGAGAGGGACTTACCGCGGTTTTAAAGATGGTGACAACAAATGAGACTGTGGTTCATCTTGGGATTCACGACGATGCGAGTCTGGGACCTGATGATTTCATACATATCTTCAAGAGCTTGCAGAAGAACTCGTCTATAAGACGGTTTTCGTTACAAGGCTGCAAAGGGGTAAGAGGTGATAGAGTATTGGAGGCAATCACAGAGACATTGCAGATTAATCCATTGATTGAGGAAATTGATTTAGCGAGAACTCCGCTTCAAGATTCAGGGAAGGCAGATGAGATTTATCAGAAGCTGGGACACAATGGTAGGAAGATAGATGAAGCAGAGATGGATGATTCACTCAAGGATATGCCACTTACTGAGCCAAAGAGCATTAGAGCTTTCCTCTGTGGACAAGACTATGCAGGAAAGACAACACTCTGCAACTCTATACTGCAAAGTTCCTCTTCTTCGGGTTTTCCGTATGTGGAGAATGTGAGAACTTTGATGAATCCTGTGGAGCAAGCGGTTAAAACAGTTGGTGGGATGAAAATAAAGACATTCAAGGATGAGGAGACAAAGATCTTGATGTGGAATCTTGCGGGGCAGCACGAGTTCTTTGCCCTTCATGATCTTATGTTCCCAAGCCCATCTCTCTTCTTGATCGTATTGAGCTTGTTTAGGAAACCGAGCAATAAAGAACCCAAAACACCTGCAGAAGTAGAAGAAGAGCTTCAATACTGGCTTAGATTCATCGTTTCCAACTCGAGAAAAGCGGTCCAACAATGCATGAAACCGAATGTCACAATTGTTCTCACGCATTCCGACAAAATCAATCTGCAATCTGAAAGCTTTCAGGCAACTGTGGGTTGCATTCAGAGACTGAGAGATAAGTTTCAAGCTTTAGTGGAATTTTATCCGACTGTATTCACAGTTGATGCAAGATCATCTCCTTCGGTTAGTAAACTCACACATCATATTCGGATGACTAGCAAAGCCATCCTTCAAAGAGTTCCTCGGGTTTATCAGCTCTGCAATGATATGGTACAGCTCTTATCAGACTGGAGATCAGAGAATTCAAACAAACCTATTATGAGATGGAAAGCCTTTGCAGATCTCTGCCAGTTTAAGGTTCCTTCCCTGAGAATAAAGTCCCGCAACGAGAACATTGAGATTGTGGAGACAAGACGGCAAGCTATAGCCACATGCCTCCACCAAATAGGAGAGGTGATTTACTTTCATGACTTGGGCTTTTTGATACTAGACTACGAATGGTTTTGTGGGGAGGTTCTTACTCAGTTGATAAAGCTTGATGTAAGAAAGCAAAGCACCGGGGAAAGAAATGGGTTTGTGAGCAGGAAAGAGCTAGAGAAGACTTTGAGAAGTAGTTTACAGAGTCCAATTCCAGGGATGACCTCAAAGGTACTTGAGCACTTTGATGTGTGTGACCTTGTGAAGATGATGAAGAAAGTAGAACTTTGCTATGAACAAGACCCTTCCAGTCCAGACTCTTCATTTTTAGTCCCATCGATTCTCGAAGAAGGCAGAGGAAAGACACAGAAATGGCAGATAAACACACACGACTGTGTTTATTCAGGCCGGCATCTCCAGTGCGATGATTCAAGTCACATGTTTCTCACAGCTGGTTTCTTCCCTCGTTTACAGGCAAGGGATCAAAAGCATTTTTCTGTTACTTTCATCTCTTTAACTCAAAACCTTACCAATCGTTCATATTGCATGCACAGGTACATCTTCACAACAGAATCATGGAACTGAAGAACCAACACGGGGCGACTTATAATGTTGAGAAGTACCTCATAGCTATAACGATCCATGGCATTAACATTAGAGTGGAGCTTGGAGGACAGTTTGGAAATTACATTGATGTTCTTGCTTGTTCAACAAAGAGCTTGACAGAAACTCTGAGGCTCATTCACCAGCTAATCATTCCGGCTATCCAGAGCAGCTGCCAAGGTGTAATCCTTCTTGAGCACATCATAAGACCACAATGCGTCCAGGATTTGACTCCACCGCGATTCCGACAAAGTCAGTTTGTTTCCCTCCAGAGACTAAAAGAAGCATTATCATCAGTTCCTGCAGAGACTATGTATGACTATCAACACACATGGGACTCTGTCCTAGATTCAGGTAAGACTGTTCTAAGAGCCGGATTTGATTTAGCCCGCAACCTCCTCTCTGATGATGATTTCAGAGAAGTATTGCAAAGAAGGTACCATGATCTGCACAACTTAGCTCAAGAACTACAAGTTCCCACTGACGAAAACCCCGAAGCAGATAATCATGTACCGGTGACCAATGAGCTGGAAAAAGTTGATCCTAGCTTCGGTGGAATCGCTAAGGGTGTAGAAGCAGTACTTCAGAGACTTAAGATTATCGAGCAAGAGATACGTGACCTGAAACAAGAGATCCAAGGACTGAGATACTATGAGCACAGACTTCTGATCCAGCTTCATCACAAAGTGAATTACCTTGTCAACTACAATGTCCAGATGGATGAAAGAAAAGTTCCAAACATGTTTTACTTCATCAGAGCAGAGAACTACGGGAGACGATTGATCACATCTATGGTTCCTGGCATGGTTGCTCTAAGGATACACATGTTATGCGAATTTAGACGGGAAATGCACGTTGTAGATGATCAGCTTGGGTGTGACGTGATGCAGATAGACAACCAAGCTGTGAAGTGCTTGGCTCCATACATGACAAACTTCATGAAACTGGTGACTTTTGCATTGAGGATAGGAGCAAACTGGGCAGCTGGGATGGGACACATGATACCTGACTTGGGCCATGCTATCGCTCACCTAGCCAACCCAGCTGTCATGACTGGAGCGGCCGGAGCTGCAGGAGCCATGGGGGTCGCTGCTGCATTGGGTAGAAACCGAGGCAGAGATAGAGATATTCAGGAACAAGAGCAAAGAGCAGCTCAACAGTGGCTCATTGATTACTTGAGGGAACAGAATTGCTCAACAGGAAGGGATATTGCAGAAAAATTTGGCCTGTGGCGAGTTAGATACAGAGACGATGGGTCCATCGCCTGGATCTGCAAACGGCATATGATCACCAGAGCCAATGAAGTGATCCAAGTTCCTCTCTAATGGTTGCTAGCTAGCTACAAATAAACAGTAAGAGAAAGTAGTTTAATTAGGCAAAACCATTTTCATTAAATTCTGTTGCCTTATGATAATGCTTTGAATCTTTTACTTATTTACTGTTGAATCCCTTATCTTTATTACCAAATGGTATAAAGACAGAAAAGCAACCTCAAGATCCTGTGAAAAAGACACTTCAACTAACCAAAGAACATCCAAACAATTGTTCTCAAGATTTTTTCAGAAAGCTAAATCATTGGATCCTTTGCCTCTCTCTCTCCCCACCTATGGGACCTCCTCTTTGATGGTCACAAAGAAAAAACAGGGCCAGAGAGTGACAATCACACCATATAATGATTGTACGAATAATTAAGCAATCTTAGCATTTATCACTATGTTTTAAAGATTCTTGTGGATGTAAAAATCAGTAACTCAGAAAATACAAACATGATTAGGCAGCAGAAGTTCATATAATGCGGACATAGTTCTAATAGAGTAAAGGCTAGTGATACATAATAATAACTCACATCAACTAAAGCATCAAGCTGACCAGATGGGAGATACAACATCAAATAGTACATTATAAAATTACATCATTAGGATTAGTCTTTCTTCATTAGAAAAGTCTAAGAGTGACCTGGGTTCTTCCTCTGAACTTGGTAAAACAGATGCTCAGAAGAAAGGCCTGCTCCCATAGAACACACGGGATCCGTTGTTGCTCTTCGGTGTTGGCTGCTTCTGAGAATCAGAGCTTGAATTCTCTGATTTTGTTGGGCTATCAATGTCCAGAGGAAGCTTCATCTTAGCCAGTGAATCAGTAAACTGTTGCATGCTTTTCATGTACATGTCGACTATATCCTGCTGCACCACCTTAGACTCTGGCTCAACCTTCACAGTGAGGACGGATTTCACAATCTTCTCCTCCGATGTCTCACCTGAAACCTCGCTCCCTGACTCCTGGGAACTCGCTTTGGAGTTCACGACAGAGAGATGTTCATGGTTTGGTGTTTCTGTGGCGGAGTGAGCTGAAGCATGGGGAGAAGCAGCTCCATTTGTTCCATTGCTGCTCTCAGGTGAATCTTGCTTCAGTATAGAAGTGACAGAATTGGTCACATGATTCTCAGCATCGGAAGTAACCAAGCTGTCAGAAGTTTCTGAGTCAATAGTGGAACAGGAGATCCCAAAATACTCGGAAACCATCTTCTCATTTTCATTAGCGACATTAGGATCTGGAAACTCTATCTTATCCAACTCACCCGGAGCTGATTCAGACCCTTCTGGATCCTTGGTAGTTTTATCAACAGAAATAGACGAAGGCATAGAGGGAAGAACCATCACTTCAGGGTAGGATCCATTATAGGAGAGTGACAATTGAACAAAACCAGCTGGCGAATGGTACAGATCAGTGGAAGAAAGAGAGAACTCTTTCTCGAGTTTCCCATTCTGGAAGAGCAGTTCCGACATAGGAACCAGAGTAAAACCAAGCAGCTGGTCTTCAAGATAATTCTTCACCCTGCTCATCATGTAAATCTCACATTTGAGGGAAGTGTCCAGAACCCTGACATCAAGCTTAACATTGTCATCAAATACCGGATTCCTCCCACCACCATTGATGATTTTGGTTGAGACAGACTTTTCAGGATCACTTGTAAGGCAAAGCTTGGCATAAACGTCTTGCTTGTGATATATACAAATGTTATGGATATCCCTTGCCTGATGGACATAAACCTCAAGAGTACCAACAAGGTCTTGCCGGCCACAACTTTTAGAATCTTTCCCATTGGAATTTATGCCATTCGATCGGTTTCCAGAGCTCTGCACAGAATTTGAGTTCTCATTCTCTGACTCACCAATCTTGAATGGTGAAACAACAGATTGTGGGGAGTCCATTGCAAAACCTAAGAAACAATCCTGCAAAAGATGAAGGCCTATTAGTATCAGCACATGTAGATGGAGTCTATTGTTGGCAACTTGCCCATCCAGAAGAGACATGACTAACAAAAGTGAACTCTGTGTCCATGATATGTACAACACCAAGCTGAGCAATTTGTTAATATACACCATGACATGGTATCTTCAGCATGCGAAGGGCTATTCTATAATTATGATTGCGCATATAAATGGAAGCCTAAGAACATGTTTACGGGATCTTGTGAAAATATATCAGAACGTAATGTAAACCGAATAATCAAGTTTTAAAATAAAGATTTGGGAAAGAAAACAAAGCTAGAAATATACCCCTGAAGTTTAACTAAACATAATTAAATCTCAAACAATGTAGTAGTTAAAAGCTTTTGAAAACCATATGTAAGAGATATGTTTATTAATTTGGCAACAGAAAAATCAAACACCAACCAAAAGGACAGTTTGATGTCAAAATCAGAGTTGAGAACTCAGAAGAGGTCTCTTTTTAGGCTATAAGCCTAAACTAAGCAGAGCAGAGCTAATAAAGGAATCTCAAGAACAGTGAAACGAACTCTCCTCCCTTAGATCCCAGCTCACATTAAAGTCACTTGTAATTCAAGATGGAAGCATCAACAATCAACACAGCCAAAATCCAGAGATCAAGTTCAACAATAAAGAAATTTTAACTAGAGTCATGTTTAGGGTAAAACAAGTCTTTAAACTCAAACTCTAACCAAGTCAAACAATTCATGAGCGGTTTCATACAATAAAGGAATCGACCTTTTCGTAATAACAACAAGGCATCAATTAACTGAAAGTTTCAAAATTTCTTGCTCGATCCGATCATAAAAGAAACTTAAAAAAATCCTGCCACATCTCGCAATCAACAACAACAGAAGTGGTAAATAACTACTTAAGAAAACTTGCCTAAATCCAAAACCAAGCTCTGATCCGCAACTTGGAAAACCAAAGTAAGAAGAGAAGGCAGCTGATTTCTCTAACAACAAGAACCCACAAAAAGAGAAACTTAAAACAAAACAAAAAAGGGTAAAAGAGACAAGTCGTAGTCGTGTAAGAAGATGATTGAAAGAAGAACAAGCATGTGGGTGGGTTACATAAGAAAAAGTTAGAAACCAACAAGACAATTTTCAAAGAGAGTTTTAAATGCAAACTGTTAGTAAGTTGACAAAGAAAAAAAAGATTGGAAATTTTTTGAAGGGTCGGCGGAAAGAAAGAGAGATAAGATTAGGGTTTAGCACAGTCACTTCAATGGCGGACCACTAAGGAAGGTGGGACATAGACTTCAAATTTTCAACTGTTTCGGCTGTGAAAAGTTAGATTGAAAGCTATAAGCTTTACCTCTTTTTTGTTTTCATGACCATTAGAAAAAATAGAGCTTTACAATAGTACTTCACGCGGATGAAATCACTTACAGAGATGTTTGGAAGATGGAAAAGCTGTGAGCTTTTTTTTTTGTTGTTGGCCTGGCAAAAGCGTTAATGGAGTCTTGCTGGTTCTTTTTGTAAATTTGCAAAGTTATTGGGAGAAAAAAGGAAGAAGAGAAGAGAGTTTTTTTTTCCATTTCAAATTCTTTATTGGTTTTAACTTTTTTATTATTCGGAGCTAATGGGCTTTGGGGCCTACACGTCAGTTTTTGGCAAAGCATATCAAGTGATTATCACATGATCTTTAACTTTAATTATATTTTGGCTTTTTTTTTTTTTTTTTTTCTGTTTTTGTAAATATAAATGGGTTAATATTGTAGATGTTAATGGAAATAAGGAATTAATTAAATATAAATGACATATATTAGTACGAAATTTTTCAAAAAATTTTATTATATTTTTGACTGACATTTACTGCATTGTTTTATTGAATGTTTTTTTAGATATATATTTAATATTTACGTGAATGAATATACAAATATTTAAAAAAAAAACTAATATTTAACATGAAAATAATGATATAGAATAATACATGAATATATTGTATAAATTAGATGTCTACATTTTTAACATGGTGGCGAATGAGTTATGCGTTATGCACATGATTTTTAGTTAATAAAATATATACTTCAGAAAAATAAAACGTAAAAAGATAGTATGTTATAAAAAAAAAAGATTTTTCGTTAAAATGAAATGCAATTATATTAAGTGTTTGTAAAATAGTGTGGAATTTATGAAATAAATAAGTGAAATTGAACTGTAACTAGTTTTTCTTCAACCATATAAAGTTATAAAGAATATATTGTTTTCTTAAGAAAATGAGTGGATATGAATGCATGAGTACACAAATTAAAGTTAGATATGATATTTAAAAGTTAGAAAATATTGGAGATGTGTAGAACCCACAAGAAAGCTAAAATAATAAAAAGATCCAAAAAGTGCTGATTTTTTAAATTTAAGAGTAACGTCATTATTCATGTGTAAATTAAATATCATTGTTTTGTTTTCTTTATTCTTGCAACAATTATTGGTTATATATGTATCTCTTGCCAAAATTTTCAAACTATAATTGCTGACATTATAACAAAAGAAAAAAATGTCACTATCATCTCGATGCCTACCTCTTTCCTTTTAGTTGCTTAAAATCTTATATTCCATTTATTAACGTACAAATCAACTTTTCTCCCAATCCCGAATTATTGTTTAATTATTCTCCCCACAAAATTCTCATCTATCACCACAAATTCAACTAATTACTTGTAATCATAGAAATCGTTATTATTGAAATAAAACTGAAAATTGATTTTGTACACGGATGGTAATTTGTTGGGGTCAACATGGACGTTGCAGCTATTCGTGTGTTAAAACAATTATATGACTGCTAATTTAATAAAGAGTAGCATTTACAGTGGGAAATAAAACTTTATTATCATAAATTTTCAAATATTGAAAGTGTAACAAGCCCATTTATGTTACGGAAATAAAACACCCATTTAAAAAGCCCAACACGTGAAGCCCACTTCAGAGTGGGCCCGGCATTTTCTCTTTTGTATTTTTCTTTTTTTTTTAAACTCCAACGGTCGAATCAACTCAAACATTCAAAAAAAAAAAAAACGCTACCTTTATCGTCTTCCTCTGTCTCTCTCACAACACATAACGTTCGAACCCTCTCTCTCTCTATCTCCTCTCTAGATCTAAAAATCTCTTCTTTTCTCAATCTCTGTTATAAAAACGATGAAGTCACCAGCGAAGATCGGAGAGAATCGGTTCTTAGGAAACCTTTCGTCTTCTTCTTTCCGAAATCTGCTTCCTAGATCCGTCTACGCCAAGCAGAAATCGATCCAAAATTCAGATACTAAGAGTTTCAGATCCAACGACGAGAACGCTCCTCCTTGTGACCCAAACATACAAACTAATCATCATCTCAACAACAACAACAACGATCTTCACTTGAAGAAAAAATCGCCTCAAAAAGTATTTCCTTCTGCGACCCAAAGTCTCCCCAAAGAATCTACTCAGGTAGATCCATAACTTAAGAATTAGGGTCTAGTTTGATACATTTCGATTATACATAGTTTCTTGTCTTTAGTTCCTTTGGATTTAAAGTTTCAGTCTCTGAGTTTTATATTCAATTACAACAGTTTGAAGCGAAGAGCGTACTCGTCACAAGAGCTAACTCAATGGCTAATGAGATTACAGAGGAAGATGATTCATTGGGTGACCAGATTCGTGAACTAAAGGTTTCATTTTTTGTCACATATTGGTGTTGTACTTGTGTGTTTGAATAGTGGTGTTTGTGTATAATGTTGGGTTTTGTGGTTTATAGGAGGAATTAATAAGAACCAAGTCTGATGGGTACAAACCTGATGGAAGCAAAAATGGGTACTTTGTGAGGGAGAGCTTGAGTCAATTGAGAAACAGCATCAACAAGTCTCTAGTCATGTCGTGTGAAAACAAAGAAGAATCAGAAAAGGAAACAATGTATGAGGATGATGATGATGATGTGATGGAACTGAGTAAACATATTAACAAGTTTCACACTTTCTGTGATACTGATGATTTGAGGGATTCTATTCAATCCTCATTTGCTAGTGCTTCAGGCTGTGAAGCAGAGTCAATGAGTGGAGATGAGATTTGCTCTGTTGATAAACACAAGGATGGGATTCACAAAGATTGTGCCTTGGCTGACTCTAATCCAAGCACTGTGGGAAATGGTATTTCAATCAGTTTACCACACCAAACACGTATTCTTGAAGAGCCACCTTTGTCAGAATCTCCAAAGATTAGGAATTTTAGGAAGAGCGTGGCTGCGTCGTCAAAGTTTCAGGCAAGTCCTAGGAATGTAATTGAGAGCTCCAACATTGGAAACAAAAAAGTTGAACACTTTGGCCCTTCTATGTCCAAGAAGCCTTTAAGTCCTACAGATTCTCTAGCTGCAAGTCTCCAGAGAGGACTGCATATTATAGACTGTCACCAGCGGAATTCGCTGTCAAACAGATCTTCTGTTTCCTTCTCGTTCGGGCATCTCTCTCTGAAGCCTTGCGATGAAAGCGATAATCTTAGTGCTTCGGTTAAACTGTTAGAGGAAGATAGACCAAAAGAAGGTGGATCATCGATTCTCCTCTGTCTTTCTTGCAGACAGAAACTTGACCAAGAAGCTGAAGTATGTCTAAAAACCCTGAGATGCATTTTCTTCCATTCATTTCAGTTTCTTAGTAGGTCATTCGTTTTGACTACTTATATCTTTTATTATCAGGGAGGATATAAGGCAATAGAAGAAGCTTGCGCGGATGAGAAGCATCTCAAGAACATATGTGTGGAGCAGGCTACCAAAATTGAGCAGCTTACTTGTCAGGTAAATAACTTATAAACTTATGGTGAGACTATTGAGTGTTAAATGTTGAACTTGAGTTTGCTGACACTTTGTTTTAATAATTCTTCAGTTAGACCAATACAAAAAGAACAATGCGCAGGAGCCAAGTAAGGTAAGCCAACAAGTTACAATTTCAAAGAAAACAAGCACATTAGTGAATTGTTTGCAAGATATGGATAATCAACTTTAGCTATGCTTATCTGTATGTGCAGCTAATGAAATCCGATGATGGAGAAGATGAGACAGAGGTCGTGAAGGAAACATATGAGACAAACCAACGTAGTGAAGAGTTTGGGAAAGTAAGGATTGATCTCAATGAAAAGGAAGCTCTTTTAAAGGAGATTGCAGAGCTAAAAAGTAAGTTGCAGCCTACAAAATCAACGGATAATCTGAGATCTTCTTTGCTGTTACGGTCTTTCCAAATGAGGAAGAGCACTGATTTTACCAAGAACATTGAGAACAACAACGATGCTATAGAAGAAGAACGTGAAAGGTGGACAGAAATGGAGAGTGAATGGATATCTTTAACAGATGATCTAAGGATGGATATTGATAGCCATCGTAGACACGCAGAGGATCTAGAGATAGAGCTCAAAAAGGAGAAAATGGCTACAGAGGAGTTAAATGATGCTCTTAGTAGAGCTATGCTTGGTCACAGTAGATTCATCGAGCAGTACACAGAACTGCAGGAAAAGTATGATGAATTAGCTGAGAGACACAGTGTGACGATGGCAGGAATAGTTGATGTGAAGAAAGCAGCGGCTAAAGCTGCTCTGAAAGGTCGCCACGGGAAGCGTTTTGCAAAAGCTTTTTCAGCTGAGCTTACTGCCATTAGAGCTGCGAAGGAGAAAGAAAGAGAGTTCTTGAAAAAGGAGAACAAGGGCCTCAAAATTCAACTGCGAGATACTGTTGAAGCTGTCCAAGCTGCTGGAGAATTACTTGTCAGACTCCGAGAAGCTGAGCAAGCTGTACAATCCTCTGAGGTAACTTTCAATAACACCTGCAACATTTTGTTTATGATTGGCTCGATTGTGAATTCTACATTTTGATTTTGCAGGAACGTTTCAGCATAATCGAAGAAGAGAATGACAAGTTGAAGCAGCAAATGGAGAAGTTAAAGAGTAAGCACAAAACAGAAATGAGCACAATGAAGCAATATCTTGCAGAAAGCAAATTACCTGGGTCTGCACTAGAGGCATGGTTCAAGGAGAATGAGCAAGAGGAAGAAGAACAACATGTATCATCATCAGAACACAGAACCGGTGTGGTTAGCTATGACGATTATACAGACGATCAGGCATGGAGAGCTGAGTTTGGAGCCATATATCAAGACCATGACCATCATTACTGATTCATGTCACAAATTGTTCCATTTCATTTCAAGAACAAAAAACTTCTTTAGTCATGTTCATGTACCAGACAAACCCATCTTGGGCAGGCCTGTGCCTCTCTATATATATAAGTTTCTGCAAATTCTTCATTAACATATTAACATAAAGGCCCATAATTAGAGAAGCAAGTGGGCCAAAATTGAGGCCCATAATGAATAGAGTGTTTGGCTACAGGTAAAAATGTAAACTCTTTGAAGATAAACAAAAACTCTGTTTCTAATTTTTGAAGATTAGGTAGAAATCGAAAGTGTCTTCAAGCTTCAGAGAGGTCTTAAGCTATGGCGGCTGAGAATTCTTCAAACGCCATTGACGTTGATACGAGTCTCGATTCTGATTCAAAACCTAACCGTGACGCTAATGATGTGACTAATCATGACTCTTCGAAAGCATTGGTAATCCCTTCTCCCGCCGTTTGTCTTGTACGTTTCGCCGGAGATGCTGCTAGTGGCGCCTTCATGGGCTCTATATTTGGCTATGGTGATGATTTCAATTTCTCTTCGTTTCTTTCTTTTTATTATCTCCATTGATTCTGTGTTGTTCTGAGATTTATTTGATTACAAAGTGATTGAATTAGAGGTTGAGCAATCGTTGATGAGACTTAGCTTTGAAGTTTCTATTAAACTCTGAAGTTTGTGTTTAGACTATGTTAACAATGACTGGAGGAAAAACTAGATTACTTGAGTTAAGGATTGATCAAACCGCACAAAATTTCTCTATAAACCTAGATTTTATGAGGTCTTTAAGGAACAACAATGGTCTAGGTAGACTTCATTGGTGTAGCTTTTATATAACAGAGCATTTCCTCGAGTTTGGTTTAGGTATTTTGCAGTCAATTTAGCTTTAGCTATTTAGTGTTGACTGCTGGAGAATCACTTTGTGTGTTGTTGTTTTTTTATGAAACTGTGATCGAACAATATATCTCACGGATATAAGTTGGTGTTCAGGTTCTGGATTGTTTAAGAAGAAAGGGTTTAAAGGATCATTTGTGGATGCGGGTCAGTCTGCAAAGGTGCCTAAATCTTAAGTTCATTGAAACTGCGTAAGGTTATCATTTCCTGTATGCTAATCGTTGAAAGGCAACTAAATGAATTGTGGTTTCTTGTTAGACTTTTGCGGTTTTATCTGGAGTACATAGTTTGGTTGTTTGCCTTCTGAAGCAAATACGAGGGAAAGATGATGGTGAGACTCTTTTAACATTTCTCCCTCTTAACCGTTCTTAATTCTACGATTTGATATTCACTCGTAGCATGACTTTGCTCCATTCTGCAGCCATTAATGTTGGAGTTGCTGGATGCTGTACTGGCCTTGCTCTTAGTTTCCCCGGTAAGAACTGAATTCATATCCCCGAATTTGCAAGTATAGTATCGGTACTATTCCTTTTACAATTAAGATGATGAACTATGTTAGCTATTTATGTTTAAAAAGAGGTCTCTATGTGAATTTGATGATGCATGCCGAGCTAACCCCTAGGATTGTGTGTTTGCAGGTGCGCCTCAAGCAATGCTACAGAGTTGTCTTACTTTTGGTGCCTTCTCCTTCATCCTTGAAGGGCTCAACAAAAGGCAAACGGCTTTGGCTCACTCTGTCTCGTTGAGACACCAAACCAGAAGTATCCAACATGATTTACCTCTGCTCTCGTTGGCTCTCCCAGTCCATGATGAAATCAAAGGAGCTTTCACTTCTTTCTGCAACTCCTTAACGAAACCCAAGAAGCTCAAATTTCCTCGTGCTCGTTGATTTTTTTCCTACTTCTTCTTATGCCTTTTGTAGATTTTGAAAACAGATTTTGAAAAATGGTTTTGCTGCATGAGCCAATGAGAAAGAGGTGTGTTACCTTTATTTGTTTTCATAACAAAGTTTCTAGGAGTAAGTGCAGAACTAATTTTGGAATTTTAAGTTGAAATTTTGAAATCTTCATATGGTCGTCTCTAAATTGTAATTTGATCATTGGCATTTTAAGCACTAGATCCTTGAGAATATATATTTTAGGGGTGTTCTATTCGGATTTCAGAATATATATATATATATAGTAATGATATTAGTAGGTAAATTAAAATTGAGTTTAGCATGATTTGAATTAATAAAAGAAATAAAATTGGATGGTATTTTAAGTTGATTAAATCTTGTATAAAACAATTTGAACACTAGTTAATTCTTTTGAAAGATTTGGTGTTTCATTGACCACAAGCAGTGGAGATAAGTGTGAAGGCAGATCCGCAGATGCAGTAGCAAATCAACTTGCAGTACATAAATGGTATACAATGTTCAGATTAAGTACTAGGATTTAATACCATTAATCTAAATACCTTAAAGAAAAACAAATTGTATCTTAGAAAGAAAATATCTTCTACAGTCAGTGTCTTTATAAACAGCTCTTTGGTCCTAACCAAAGTACTTTGAAACAGTAACTAATAACACAAACCATGTTGGATCCTCTTTCTTCTTCTTCTCAAATGGTCTCTCTTCTTTCTCTATCATCATCATTCATCATTATTGTAATCATTATGACATTACACATCATCATCATCATGACTTGGTTCCTTTTTCTTGCAGACTTGCGTTCTAAGGCTTGATACCCAGACTAGTGGATGGGACAAATCTATGCATAAGCTTTTTAAAGGCATTCATGGTACTTTTTATTTAAATCTTTCTTATTTGTTTTACTAATTATTATTATTTTAAAGATTATAGTAATGGAAATGTTGTTATGTTTTGTAATGATTTTGAACAGATGTAACATACACAATCGACGCGACGAGAGGATTAGCTTATCTCTCCGGAAAAATCAGCCCTGAGATTATTCTGAGGATTCGTAAAGCTAAGAAACATGCTCAATTAATCCACATGGATTATGGTCACGTTACTCCTCCTCCTCACGCCAATTCTCTAAATCTGCCGCCACCGTGGCCACAATTATCGCCGATGTATCAATCGCCGTCGGCGCCACCGTATATGAACTACCAACAATTTCCGTATACTGAACAACAGCCTCAGTATATGAACTACCAACAATTTCCGTATACTGAACAACAGCCTCCTGTGACGTATCCGTATTATTATTATCCTTATTACGTACCGGAAATGTTGTATTCTCCGCCGCCGCAGATACCGACGCGAGACGGGGTTACCGGCGAGCCACAGTGTCGGATTCTGTGAAGAGAATTTGGTTTGAAACGGCGTCGTTTGAGAGTTTTTCCACAGTTTCGACGCAGCGTAGTAGTATTACAATTGGTTTTGGTTTGGTTTAGTGATTTTTGAATTGGTTTGGTTAAGTGATTTTTGTAAGCTTGGCCAAACTTTTTCTTTGTGTTTTTTTCTGTTTTTTTTTTTAAGTTTTAATTTTTATCAGTAATAAAGTTTAATCACATTTCAATTAGCCCCATTTTTAATGATATACTGCGATCGTGAATCGTTGATTGTATTTTAAATTAAAGAATTGAAATTTTCAATTAGTATATCTTTTCTAAAAGGTCAACCGGTCTAAACTATATATTTTAGAGGAATGAACATGAGGAATTAAAAATTTTTATTTTTATTTTTGTTCAAATTCAATTTACGTCCCTATTTTTCTTGGCAATAATGTTTCTTTGAAAAAACTTGTTGTAAACTGATTTATATAAAACAAACTGAAACAGCATAAATGTGGGGATGTAGCTCAGATGGTAGAGCGCTCGCTTAGCATGCGAGAGGTACGGGGATCGATACCCCGCATCTCCATTCTTTATTTTTCGTTATTCATTTGATCTGAATGTCCATATTACAAAGTCTCTATTTTGTTTATCGACTGTGTAATTAGCAGAAGAATAATTAGGGAAAAAACCATGTGCAATACTTACTTTTAAAATAGGAATTGTAAAATAATAATAAATAACCATTAAAAGAAATCATGTTTAGTACAAAAAAGCAAAGCCAATTTACACCATTAACCCATCGAAAAATGATACAAAAATACAAAGTATCAAAATATTCCAAACTCACCACCGGTCACCCAGAGATTCGAACTCACTCACTATTTTTAACCTTTAGCAGCCAAGGCTCTTCATGATCTCCTTTAACTTCTCAATCACAGCCGTTGGTTCCGCTCGTGAGTTCGCCAGATGCATCGCATGATACTCCAATCCTTTCCACTTAGCTATGAGCTCGAAATGAGGTCTCTGAAACTCGACGCTCACTATCTCAAATATCGTTGTGTTTGGTGTTGCAGATACAATGTGAGTGAGTCCTGCTCCATGAGCTCCTATGATCACTGAAGCGTCTTGAATGGCTCGGACTTGATCTTTCATTGACATGTGTGCAAGCAAGCCATTCACAAGGTTTATCCCACATTTGGTCAGACCGGTGGAGCCAGTCGCGACCCAATGATGCAACGAGTCGAACACTTCTTCCTCGTTGATGAGCCGAGACTGGACTTTACCGCCGTGACGAGGATGGGCTAAGTAATCTTCACGGCGGACAAAGAGAACGTTATGAACAGAGGTTGTTGATGATGATGATGGCGGTTTTTCTAATGAGCGGTGTCTGTTGACAGGAAACCCGAAAGCTGCTCTAATCATTTCACCAAACTCTGATATCCTCGCAGTCCTTTTATCGTCCGGGTTTTGCCACAGATTGTGAGCTGATTCTCCCTTGCAGTCTATTTCTCCGGTCAAGCCTTTAAAAAGCGCAGTTTCATATCCCAATGGTGAAAGAATCGCGTGGCGGAAACAAACCGGTTTGGTGAAATTCTTTGCATATCTAATTCCAGAAAACAAAGCTGTCCATGTTTCTTCTAGCTGCGTCTGCAAAAAGGTTCACAACATGGATATGAAACTCATACTAGATTAAAGTTTATTCATCAAAGGAGGGAAACTAAAACCATAAACACACAAGAAATCTAAATCCTATAACCAAGAGTAACTGCAAGGCTAAACTGGACTTCCTGCTCATACAAGGATCATGACCATGAACAAGAAGAGGAGCATACCGTGCAGTGTCCATCAACGAAAACAACGTGTGGTCGATTAGGCAAACCGGTGACTCTAGAGGAAACATAAGCGCTATACCAATCTGTCACGGTATGGAAGAGATTTGCGTACTCGAATCTAGTGACAAGCAAGGTTGGTTCCTCCACCCACTGAGGCCAATCAAAAGCAAACCCAAATATCAATCAGCAAGAACGTTACATATATTTCAAGAACCTCAGAAACCACAACCTATTATGAACAGTGAAAATCTTAATTCTCAATTTCAATGATTCATTGCTGCATATATGAATGAAATTTGATCTTACAAACTCAAAAGTTTCCAATTATGCAAACTTTTCACCAAAACACAATCTAATTCGACAGATCAATCAGTAAAATGCACAAACCTCTTCACAAACGAAATCTTTGGTATCAACAGCACGAATCGAAGCAACCAAATCTCTCATTGTATGTCTATCAATTCCACCTTCTTGAATATATTCATTCAACATCTCATCATTCACCAGCCGCCGAGAAACCACACTGCCTCCTCCTCCTCCTTCTCCTCCACCAAAACGACGGTGTCTCTTAAAACCTAACCGTGAAGAAACCTCTTCCGCCACCTCAAACGCACCTTGTCGAAACTCAGGAAGCTCTTCCTCCTCTTTCCTCCCCATAACTTCCTCTAACTTCTCACCTCCTCTCGACATAACAATCCGATCCGGAACCATTCTCAGATTCCTTCCTTCACAAATCGAACTCTGTAACGTCTCACTGTAAAAACAACGAAACCAGCTTCCTTCTCTCCTCGGCTTAAGGAAGTCAACTCTCTTTGTAAATCCATTCCCGAAGTAGCCTTCGCAAGAGCCAGTTGGTAGATTCCTCTGCGGCGGCGTCCATGGGAGGTAAGAAGGTAAGATCGGCCACGGTTTCTGAATCGCCGATTGGTTATTCACTGAAACGTGAAACCGTATATGAGGATGTGACTGCTCCGGTGAAAACGACGATGAGTGAAAAACGAAGTAGATGATGAGAAAGAGAGAGTTGAGAAGTAACATATACAGAAAAATCTTCAGAATTTTCGGATTCCGTTTACTCATATCTCCTTAATTTGCGGTTTTTGAAGAGAGAGCGAGAATTTGAAATCTCTTTCTATTTTTAGATTTCCATCGATTTCTTCTCTCTCGATTCTGAAGTAAAGTCAATCGCCGGTGAAAGGTAAAACAGATTCAGGCGAGACTTCATCGGCTGTTTCGCCGGAAAATTGTGCTTGAAGGTGAAAAAGGTGAAGAAGATGAATCGGAATTTTGAGAGTCTGCAGATTTATTAAAGCTGAAGATTCCATCATTCCTCTCTATCTGTGTATTGTTTGGCATTTTGCTTTTGACTAAAAATTCTTATACCATTGAACCAGATCCAAATTAAATCAAACCGAAAATAAATTAATCACATAACCAAATCAAATAAAACCGGAAAGTAAACCAAACGTCCGCGAAACGTTTCCATCTTTTTGTCAAACACGTTCGTTACCTTTTTAATTTCCATTTCTCACTTTCTTCCTAATCACCGACTTCAAAAAAATCTGCAACTCTTCTGTTTTCTGGTAAGCCTTGGTAAATCTTTGTATTACTGTCTTTTAATTCTTTAAATTGTTGTTTTGGAACTTATGATGAAGTAAAGTGTTTTGCTTTAGATTCATGTAAATATTTGTTTTGAGAAAATTATTCTATAGCTATTCGTGTTTATTTTTGTACTTGATTTGTTTTGCCACTCTGTTATGAAATTGACTGACAAAAACGTAGATATTCTTCTCTGATTCAAAGTAATATAACTATTTTTAGATTTTTTTTTTTTTTTTATGTTTTTCTCCCAATATCGATTTTGAAGTTAAACTTGTTATGTAATTTTCTTGTTCTCTTTACGATAAATTTGATTTTACTTTTTTTTTTCTGTGAATTTTTTAAGACTGTTCTTCGATCTTATTTCTTAGTAATAATGGTTTTTGGTTTATCTCAATTGATACGACTTGAAATGCATGTATTAATCTCAGAAAACGAAAAACAGATAGATACAGATTCTTCCTTGTTTTAGAAAGATTTTTCTGAAGAGTTTAATGAGATTTATTTTCTTCTTTTCTAATATGCATCTTGATTTGTTAATAATCTTTTTTTACTTTATGAGCTTTATTAATGACGATGATACCAAAAATGAAAAAACTTCCATTTATCTAATTGGAAGTTGAAGGGGTTTCCTTTTCGTGCGCTCCAAGTTTTCTGTTATATATACAACAAAATTCTCTGAATGTAATGTTCTGTCTCTTTTGTTTGTTCGTAGGTGATCAATCACAAGTCTCCTCAAGAAGAAGAAGATCAAAAGAAAAAAAAAAAACCCGATTAAATGGATCGTTTAAGCAGAAAATTTCTTCTGTTTCTATTGATCATACTTTTAGATTCTCCATTAACATGCCACAGTTGGGGATGGTTCTCTTCTTCTTCTTCTTCCTCAGCAGAAGATACATATTCTTCTTCTATCTCTCGGTCTTACAAATCCAACCCGGACTTCTCCATGGAAGTTTTCAGTGATCAGAAGGCGGTTCAAGTCCTTGAAGACGCTGAAAACAAGCTTAAGCTTGTTGGTACAAACAGTTGCTGGCAAAATGCTTATAGTTACCTCTTCACTGGCTGCAAAGAAACGATTGCTACAGAAGAAAAGAGAAAGAGATTTGCTTGGTATCTGAGTGATTGCTTCATCAAAGACTCGGGAAGACCGGCTTTTCCCACATGTAAAGATGAATCAACAATGATGAGTTGCCTCAAGAAGCTTGATGATCATGAGCATAAGATCTATCTTGATTTCTTTCTTGAAACCAACACCATCTGCCAACAATTACAGTAAGAAAAAGAAAATCTGGAACATGAATATTTTTCTAGCTTTTATCACTTTTGTTTGCGAAATGGTTTCTCAATTTGCTTCTTTTTTTTGTATGGCAGGAGTTCTGCATTCAAACATGAGATAGAGAGGCTTGTGAATGAGCTCAAGAGTACAGCTCAGAATACAGAAGATAAATTGGATATCTTGGAGAGTAAATCTGATTCTTTAATACAGACCTCGAGCATGATTCATGATTCTTTAGGGTCACTAGATGTTCGGGTTCAAAACGTCGCTCATGTGGCAAACACCTTAGAAACTAGTGTGAGTGGACTGTCTCAACAAACTGTAGAAATCTCTCAAGAACAAAAGAACATTGCAGAATCACAGCTGACGCTAATGGACGGTCAAGCGAAGATGAAAGAAACGTTGAAAGATGGAATTGAGATGTTCAGCGATGCGTATACTAACATCCAAGAAGGAGTAGATAAGTTGAAAAGCGATACAAAGCAGATTGAGGTGGAAATAAGTGTACTTGGAAATAACCTATCAACCAAAATGGTAGATTTGCAGAGTACAACCGATGACATCGGACTTAAGGCTGGTAGTTCATTGGAAAAACAACAGAAGCTTTTAGACGGGCAATCAGTGGCTCTTGACGGTATTCAGTTTCTTACTCGGTTTCAGTCTGAGGCACTGCAAGAGAGTAGGTAAGATTTTCAAATACATAAGATCAGTTTAAAATCAAAGGCAAGACACTTTTCTCCAAGAGCTAACCGTGTTCTGTTTTCGCTGCAACATTGTAGGAATACCTTGCAACGTTTGAAGGAATTTAGTCAGGAGCAACAGGAAGATCTTGCAAAGCGGCAAGAAAAGCTTCAGGAGGTTCATGATCACTTGTTTGAAAATTCAAAATCAATGTTAGAAGCTCAGGTCAGTCCTCTTAACCTTAACAAAATTCCAAAGCAGTAGAAGCAAGATCACATGAAACCAATTTTTTAACAATCTGTTTTTGCAGGAAGCGTTTGAGGCGAAACAAGCAAATATGTTTGTAGCTTTGGATAAGCTGTTTGCTTTGCATAATGCGATGCTTCTCGAGTCCCGGGTGATAAAAGCGTTTGTCATCTACTTTTTGTCAATCTTTGTCATCTACATGTTTACAAGTACAAAACAAACTTATATCATAAGGCCAAGGCTTTACATTGGTAAGTGACCACATTCCAAAATATCTATCTCATGACACTAGAATCCATTAGTTTCTTAACAAACATTTTTCATTTCACTGACGCAGGTTTGTGCGTTACCTTAGCATTAGAAGTGGCAAGTTTACGATATGTGAATGATACAGAACGCCAAGCATGGATTATAAACCTAATCAGGTCTTTATTTGCTCTTCTTGCTTCAGCTCAGCTTCTTCATGCTGCTTTTTCATACAGGTATGATCAAAACGCAAAAAATATACTATAATGTTTTGATAAACCAAAACTCAAAAGATGATATACATATACTTACTCTCTTGTCTAAAAAATGCAGGGACTATGAAGTACTAAACCATCAAATCTTGTTAAGATTAGTTGATAAGGTTAATGACATGCAAAGCAAGAAAGATCTCTCGTACGATGAAGATACAGAGAGCGAGGTAGACTGGACATCTTGGGTTGATACAGATTTAACAGATGATGATGACAATCTTGGAGATCCTGATTACAAAATTCCACTAGTGATCAAGGACAGTCCGGTTACTACTTCATCAATGACTAGAAGATTGTATAATTTCCGTCCACGATAGCAAGCAAATCTTTCACTCAAGTCGAAACTACATTAGTTTTGTTTTTACATGATATTATATTATTTGGTTGTATCTAGGGCAACTTTACATTGTTCCCAGCCAGTGGATCAAAACTATAATTATATGGTATAGTTTTTGCAATAATGTATCCCATAGCTTCTCTGTTACCCAGTAATGAATGAATTTGTCAAGAATGCGAAATTGAACTCACAAAATAGAATCTCAAAAATGGATGTATCAGGCGTGCTTAAAGAGCTTCATGCTAAGCCAATGAAAGTAGACAGCAACCATAATAACTGGTAGAGTCAATGGAATCAAGAAGCAGTAGTGCTTATCATTCGACGACATGGCTGCAATGACGAATCCGAAGAAGGAAACAGAACCAATGATCACCAAGAAATATCCCCACAAGATCTCTGTCTTCGTTGTTAAACCTAGTCCCGAGAGCTTCATCGAAAGATCTGATCATCTGAAGAAAGTTACTGAATTTGTTGAATTTTCACTATTTGGTTTAAAGCCCATTAATTAATTTTGGATCTTTAAGTAGTCTAAAGTAAAAGCCCAATTATTTCAGGATTAGGACAAGACACCAATTTTGTTATGTTAATAGTTTTAAGGCATTCAGAAAAGTGAAAACATCCTTTCAGATTAAAATAGTTTTAAGGCATTCAGAAAACATAAACGTCTCATAAGTACTACTACAAGTACACACACAAGAGATTAAAAGAAGATTACAGTGATTAATGTTACAACAACAAATGAATCCCCATGATACAAATTTACGTCCAAGAATTTACTTCTTTGGCCAGAAATTAACAAAGATAACGAAGAATATGAACAGACAAAACCCCAACAGAAACTCATCACTGCAAAGAATCCCAAGAACTGTTAGGAGGAAAAAATTTCCTGAGGACTCAATCAATCTCACAAAGAAATTCTACTGGCGCGAGTGATAGGATCAATGCGATCACACAAGTAGAAGAGAGGCAAAAACCGTAGCAAATGCAGAAAGAAGAAGAGATTGAGCGACTCGGGTTTGTCCGTTGGGAGTCTTTTCACCTGTTGATTGAGGTCCAGGGGTGGTGGTTGGGGCTCTGGCTGTGACTGGAGGTAATGGTGGTTCAGTGACATCAGCATCTGTGATTACTGGGTTTGGTGCTTCGGCTGGAGGTAAAGAAGCAGGACTCACGATGGTTAAGAGGCCAGCAGGCTGAACTGGGATCATGTAAGGAGGCGGGTCTTTGCGGGTCAAGCACAAGTTCCCTGAGAAAGAACATAAAAAACAATCAAAATGCTAAAATGTTATAAAAATAGAAAACCTTTTGAGCCATTCTTTTGGTTTTAACTTTACTTTTGTATCTCGCGGCTGTGAGAGGGAAGTCAGTGATTGTTCCATTGATACCAGCTCCAGTAACATGCGAGTTTATCTCGACAGTTGCATCGGCGAAGAAATCCCATGGTTGAGAAACAAACTCGTTCCGGAACACTTCAACGTAAACGGGAAGCTGAAACTTCTGCAGCCTCTCCACTAGTTTAGTTTGTCCAGTGGTGAAACTTTCGCTGGTGGGGAAGACTGATGTTTTACTAATGACAACAGCATCCGCAAATTTCTTAATGTCTTCGATTGCAGAGTCGAGGATGTCGCGGATGACTTCTTCGACTTTGTACACTGTCTCATACCGGCTCTGTTTCTTGAATTCAACTAAGACTGAGCTGTTAGTTGACTGAATCATAACCCTTGTGGTTGTTGTCTTGTTGCTGTAACCAGCTTCTGTGAGTGTATCGAGAACTGCCTTAACAGCGTCGAGCCCTTGCTTCTCTCTCAGGTATGTTGCATTCTGAAAGAAACAAATCATACTCGTTGTAACCATCAAAAGAAATGACCAAGATCAGTTTTATTCTAATGATGGAAAAAAATCTAAATTGATTGTAGAACTCACCTCCACGCTGATCAAAACACCGGTGAGAGAGCTGGAGTTTTTTGCCAAGTTCAAGAAATCAGAAAGCGTAACAAACTTCCCGGAACTTTTCTCCCTTGGATTCCTAAACAAAGTGAATTCCCTGCTGTAGGGGTTTTCAATAGCAGCTGCAAACGGATGGGGGGAAAAGCATAATCAATGACATTTAAATAGATAAAACCGGTTTTGAGATAGAAGCATATACATCAACAGATATCAAGACAGATTACATAACTATCATCAAGGGACATGAAGTTGCAACAAAACGATATTTTGCATCTATTGGTAGCCTCTAAATAACTAGAAGTATAATTAGTATCTGCCATGGACACCCTGAAAGAATCATCGTGAAGCTAACAACTCGGTTATCTTAAGTACACTTTTGGAGCTGCTCTCTTCCCTTAATTCTTATCACCATAAAAAAGGTTTCAAGGATCCTACCAGCACAACACACTGCCTAGAGTAAGAATGCCAAAAGGAGAAGATAGTCTTAAGAAATTGTGGGGAAAACTTACGTCTCAACGTCTGAATCTCAGACCATGCCAGACTAAAGCTGTATATTCCAGGAAGTGAGCCGATCTCAGGAACAGTTGTAGAACGGTTTCTGAAAGGACTTTGGACAACGTTTGTGCTATCCCCAAGATTAATTGAACTTAAGCAAAACGGAATCCCGTCTGATGACAATTGAAGAGAACAATCAATAACATCAGCACCATCTTCGATAGCCTTTGTATAGGCCAAGTCAGTACAGCCAGGGTAGTCTCCACTTGCTCCATTTTTGGATATAACAAGAAAATCCACTGTGAATGACATGAACCATACAGAAGATTAAAAGTTTATACCGTTAGTTATTGTGACATGACATCAATATTGGTGCCAGTAAAACGCATATGAATAACTCACATACCTTGTGATGAAGCATTACTTCCAAGATGGGAGAAGCAGTCTGAGGAACAAGAAAATTTTAAAGGAAAAGTGAAAAATGGTTTCACTAGTGTAGTTGTAGTTTCTCCAGCAGTATTTAGAAGAAATATGTCAAAGGTCGATGTGATACAGAAGAAGAGATTTACTTACCAACAGCTGAAGATGCTGTAAGTGGAAAATCAGAAAGCACGCCATCCACGGAGAAATCTCCATTGTCCACGAAAGATAAGTACTCGGCCAATGGATCAAAACTGTAGTTGTATGCAATATCAAAATCGTTTGCAAAACCTGATGCATATACTTCTAATCCTGCTTTGTGAGCATCTTGAACAAAAGATGTATGGGGAAGTAAGTATTGGCTTACGACCGGCCATATGTAAGACTTGGGAACAAGAATTCCTGAAGCAAACGTCTTGACAAAAGTTAGGTTTCCCGCAAGAGATCCATAGGTTTGATTGGTTGACAGCTCAACATCATCTTTCTCGAGAAACCGGAACACAAACGTTGGCCCTTTGCGTCCAAAACGGCTACCAATATTCCGAAAGAAACTCACCTCAGGGGAAGAGAGATAGTCAATAATCACAGTTTTGGAAATTGATAGAAGAAAGCTGCTCATGCTCAGATTATGTTGAGCATAGAATGCGTCATGCTGAATAAAGAACAGACATATTAGAGTGAGCTGAGATCTTTCACTGCAACAAATATTGGAAAACAGCAAGAAACTTGCTGACATAAGAATTACCTGAACATTTAACCAAAAGCCCTCAGGTTTTAACTGCGTAGATATATCTTTAACTGTTGATATCGCGTAATTGTTTCCTTCGAATGCATCTGACCGCGATAATATTCCTTGTTTCACTGCACAGGTGAAAATGATTTGTATGAAAATACAAGCAAATTACACCTCAATGAACAGCAGCAATCAAATATAACAATACTACTCAATTTCAACACATATATTAGATCAAATGTCAAGACAAATTACCCCTAAAAACATAGATAAACTAATGAACATAAGATCTTTCAACAACTAGTATCCACTAGTCTATACTCAAGCTCAAAAAAGATGCTTGAACTTACAGAAAACGTTCGTCAGATCCTTGAAGTTGAAATCGATGGTGAACCAATCCTGAGTAGGGACTCCATTAAGCAAGTAAGAATTTTTCCGTTTAGGGTAAACATCTTGAATATGGGAAGCATTCATCATTTTGACATCAGGGAAGCAAATCCCAATTGCATCTTTCGTTAGTTGCACATCACACCAAAGAACAGCACCAGGAACACTAGTCTGCGATACAAAACTATAAGCATCGATACTTGAATCTGGCAACAACCCAGAAAACCCACCACGAGCAATGATACGAGGAGCATCTCCTACAAAAAAAATGGCAAATCAAGAAATGATTCAAAAACAGTAACAAAATCTGATATTGGAAACTTTAACGCTGAAAACAGAACACACAACATATATAATAAAAAAGTTTCGATTTTTATTTGGATGAAACTCAGAAAAACCCCAAATTTTTCTCTTCGATTTCAATGAAAGGATTCAAAAAGGAAGCACCTTTTATTCTGATTTCTTGATTCACAGTGAAGGGTATTGAAAATTAGAAGGAGATGAAGATAGAAGACACTAACCAGTGAGTGTCTGCCATGGACTTTTAGATCTTTGAGCAAAGAGTTGAGTAGATAGCAACTGGATCACAATGAGAGCTAAAAGTAGAAACTTTGAAGCTTGTAAGCCATGCATTATTGGATTATCTCGCATGTTTATCATCGGTAAAAACCTCAGTTGTCCCGGCGGCGACTTCACCAACTTCGACCAAAAACGAGATTTACTCAGAGAGAGAGAGAGAGAGAGAGAGAGAGAGAGAGAGCTTTTTGGTTTGTGGGATTCGAATTTATATGATCGTTGATTATTTTAAAAAACAAAATGACCTTTCAACTTTTTCATTTTTGACACACTTTTCCACTTTTAAAAGAAACGCATCAACTAAAATATTTTTTCAAATAAATCTCTTAATTTAGTTGGCAAAAAAGAGTTTAAATTTTGAGGAAAATAGTTGGGATAAGTTTAGTTTTAGTTCACAATTAAATTAGAATATAATTTTCTGATTGGTTCTCTTCAACCTAGAGAAACAAAACAATTGTTTTACATATTTTAAGTGGAGTATTTTTTAAATATAGTTATGCGTTCTTCATTTATTACTACCTACTCTCTCTTTTTTTTCTTCATTACGACCTACTTGTTTCCAAAAACCAGCTAAATACGCATATAAAGTCTATAATGCATGCAGTTGCAATACACATGTGTCAATCATTTGTGTTGAAATATATGAGATTCCATACCCATTCTATAAAAAAAAATGTAAAACAATACTAAAGATTTAGAAAGCATAATAATCAAATTTATTTATATATCTAATATAAAAACACACACATGATATCCGAATTCTATGTTTTCAAGTTATAAATATTTACAATTTTGAATTTGCTTAATTTTGTAGCTAGTATAGATATACATTATCTTAAAAAATGTTGAGATGGCGGTGGTGGATGATCGATTAAAAGTAAGGTAAGGTACTAGAACATTGTCGCAAAAGATCACGCGTGGCGAAATTGGTCACTGAGTCATATGACTCATTACATCATCCAAAGTCCAAACACGACCAAACGAAACGATCACGTTCTGCGTCTTGGAGCCTGTAACAGCCGGGACAATTAGTATATGTTATTGCCTTCTCGCAATTGGTCATGCTTTTAATTTCGATTGGTTCGAGTTTTCAAGTTTCAATTAATTTTATACCAATAAATTAAGAAACAAGAGAAAACAAAATTTTTAAGAAAAATAACGCTAATATTTAACTATCTTTTATTCAAGTTTTGTGTAACATTAGGCAAATTACACCTCAATTCAAATCTGGTAATTACAAAAAAAAAACATTAAGAATAACGCTTTTATTTTGGGCCTAAAAGGCCCAAGATGCAGTATAATTCCAAAAAGCCTCACGTTTACTCAGTCTGATGACGTTGGAAACATGCCACGTGTCCTCGTCTCCTCGCCACCTGTAACCACCGCCTTGTTCATCGCAGTTCAAATCTCTCTCTCACGCTCAGACTCTTTCTCTGCCTCTCTCTATCGTGCTCTGTGCCTTCTTGGTTTGCGATTTGGTGTGTTAAAATCTTTCCAAATCGACGAAATCGAAAACATTCTCAAGATTCTGTGTAAAAATGGGTATTGGATTAACAGAGTTTTTGACGAATAAACTAGCAGCTGAGCATCCTCAGGTGATACCAATCTCAGTGTTCATCGCCATTCTCTGTCTCTGTTTAGTTATCGGCCACTTACTTGAAGAGAATCGATGGGTTAATGAATCCATTACCGCCATTTTAGTCGTAAGTTTCTTCAAAAATTTTGTTTTTTTTTTTACTTCAGCTTCCATAAAGTTTTGAGCTTTTTTTGCTTTTAAAGAACAATTTTGTCACTATTTTTTATTGTTTTGTTGTAAACAGGGAGCAGTATCAGGAACAGTGATCTTGCTTATTAGTAAAGGAAAAAGTTCACACATTTTGGTGTTTGATGAAGAACTCTTCTTCATTTACCTTCTTCCTCCAATAATTTTCAATGCTGGGTAAGCTTACTCTGGTTTTGGTAACTATGTTGTGTTGATGGGTTATCATAGAGATAGACTGAAGATTTTTTGGTTTGTGGCAGGTTCCAAGTTAAGAAAAAGAAGTTCTTTCACAACTTTTTAACCATCATGTCCTTTGGGGTGATTGGAGTTTTTATCTCCACTGTCATTATTTCGTTTGGTAAATATTTCACAATAATCAATCTTGTTTTATGACTTGACCATATGATTCAAATTTATCATATCTGAGTTTCTGCAATCTTATAATCTGAACCAGGGACTTGGTTTCTGTTTCCCAAGTTGGGATTTAAGGGATTGAGTGCTCGAGACTATCTTGGTGAGATCTCTCACAAAGCTTATATCGTCTTTTATCAGCATATTGTCGTCAAACTATGTTTCTTTTCATATCTTGTATGGATAGTTAGTACTTGTCAGTTTATGAGTGAATGTTTTCTTATTTTGATTCAGCCATCGGGACGATTTTCTCGTCAACTGATACAGTCTGCACTCTACAGGTTCTTGTTTTGAATTATTATTTGTCCTACTATTCCTTCTTATAGGGCTTGTTTATATGAAAAGTTTTTTTACATTGCATCTTAACTTTTACAGATTCTCCATCAAGATGAAACTCCATTGCTATACAGCTTAGTCTTTGGAGAAGGAGTAGTGAATGATGCAACCTCGGTTGTACTGTTCAACGCCGTGCAAAAGATTCATTTTGAAAGCCTAAACGGTTGGACGGCTCTCCGAGTGTTTGGGAACTTTTTGTACCTCTTCTCAACAAGCACTCTTCTCGGAATTGCTGTAAGCTATTGAGTTGGCATAGTTTTTTACTCAGTTTGAAGCATATCATGAGTTCTCTTAGAAATGTGAATGTCTTACAGGTGGGGCTAGTAACGTCTTTTGTCCTTAAAACCTTGTATTTTGGAAGGTAAAAAAGTACACCAAACTTACAAAATTTCATCTCAAGCTTAAGTTAATTGTTGTCCATAATTTTCAGTTGCATTCTTAAAATGTGCCTTAATATTGATTTATTTAACTAATGGTTGCGTACAGACATTCAACTACACGCGAACTTGCCATCATGGTTCTAATGGCTTACCTTTCATATATGTTGGCTGAGGTAATACTCCATTACTGCAATAGACAACTAGTTAAATCCAACTTTAATCATAGACTGGTCTCATACTTTTTAGTGTTCATTTGGATTTTAAATGCAGTCTTTCTCTATTTTAACTCCATGTAGTTGTTTTCTTGCAGCTCTTCTCATTAAGTGGGATTCTCACAGTTTTCTTCTGTGGTGTTTTAATGTCGCATTATGCATCATATAATGTGACAGAGAGTTCGAGAATCACTTCCAGGCATTGTTTCAGACAATTGTTTTCTTACTCTGAAGTCTCAATCGCAAGAAATGTTTTTTTTTTTTCTGACTGTCCATCTCTATTTTGCAGGCATGTATTTGCGATGATGTCCTTTATTGCGGAGACATTCATATTTCTGTATGTTGGAACAGATGCTCTTGATGTTACCAAGTGGAATACAAGCAGCTTAAGGTATAATAAAGTCGTATCTGAATATCAGGTAGAGCGTTTAAGGCGTTCTGTCAAAACAAAACACAGCATTGTGAATTTATGATATGAACCTCGTCTATTTCTTCATCATGTTACTTAAGCTGTGGTGATGACATGAAAGTGCTGAAATCTCTTCCTAATGAAGACTTATAACATTAATCATCTTTGTGCAGCGTTGGGGGTACTCTGGGTGTCTCCAGTGTCATAACCGCATTAGTGTTGCTTGGACGAGCGGCGTTTGTATTTCCGCTCTCGATCTTAACAAATTTCATGAATAGACACACAGAAAGAAACGAGTCTATCACATTTAAGCATCAGGTTTAGCTTTTATTTCTTTCAGATACATTATCAGAATCACTACAGCTCGACTCGAAATTTTACAATTAATGGTCTGAGAATGGATAATTTTCTGTTGTGAAGTTTGCTCTTTGTATACTTTATAGGTGATCATTTGGTGGGCAGGGCTAATGCGAGGTGCTGTCTCAATTGCTCTGGCTTTCAAGCAGGTTTTTTTCTTTGGACATTCCCACGGTCTTTGCGGTGTTGCTTTTATTGGATTAGTGATATTTCCATTATATCTCATTTTTTATATGTTTGATGTGCCAAGTTCACATACTCCGGTGTTACATTGGATCCTGTGAATGCTGCCATGGTCACCAACACCACTATTGTTGTCCTCTTTACTACACTGGTAAAACAAACACTAATTCCTTTGTATATGAGCCTGCTTGAGTTTTCTGTGTTAAGATTAAAAGACTGTCTTCTTTGTCATGTAACAAAACAGGTCTTTGGTTTCCTCACAAAGCCACTTGTGAACTATCTGCTTCCTCATGATGCAAGTCACAACACCAGAAATAGAGGTAAACGCACTGAGCCAGGTTCCCCAAAGGAAGATGCGACGCTTCCTCTTCTTTCCTTTGACGAGTCTGCTTCCACCAACTTCAATAGAGCAAAAGATAGCATCTCCCTTCTGATGGAACAACCTGTGTACACCATCCACCGCTACTGGAGAAAGTTCGACGACACATACATGAGGCCTATCTTCGGTGGACCTCGTCGAGAAAATCATCCAGAATGCTAGGTATACCCTCCATTATTACCACAAGTTACTACTCAAATATATAGATTTTGCAGCAAACGCACCTCACTTGATCAAAGAATGTGTAACTGGATTAATAAGTACATCCGGGGCAGAGGTGCCTACGATATTCATCATGATAAGCGAACGATTCTCTCTTTTTGTTTTGCAGAATTGATTTGAGATCTCCGCGGGGAAGGCATGATGAGTTAGTTTTTTTTATAGTCAACAAAGTAGGATAGTTGATGTAGCTAAAAACAATATTTTAACGTTTTCTTTAAATGTATAGAACGTGGTTCATCTTTTTACACAAGCTGATCGAAGATCATTTCAAGTTTGTGATTTATTTGGATCAGAAGACTAAGATATATTGTAAGACTTCAGATCACTTTCAGGACAAGATCGAGCGAAGTCTGCTGTAGAGCGGTCTGTCTCCCCCTCAGTTCTTCAAAGCTGCGGTTACAATAACAACAGCAAAATAAAAGTAAGCCTTTCTTTACTTCATATCAGAATCCTCCTAGTCGACCGTTTTCCAGTATCTTTATGGTATTTTGATTTTACCTTGGCAACCAGGAGGGATTGTTGTAACGCCACATTTGCTCAGAAGAGCCTGGACTTTAGATGGGTAAACCGCTAAAACGGGGAGAAAAGACTTGAATCTACAGATGCATTCCAGATTAGCGGCTTGGAGGACTTCACAACATTCTTTGCGTGGAGATGGTGGGTTGTCTCCAGTTATGGCTGGACGACATTTCTCCAAATGGTTTGCGTTGATGTTACATGCGGGAATGCTCGTAGGTTCTTCCATCAACACCAGGGCGGCTAAAACTATTACAAGAGCTGCAAATTTCACAAGGGTTCTGGTATTGTTCATATCCATTCTCTCTTGACTCTACCATAGGATCCTTAAATCTGATGAGCTTATTATACAAGTTAGTGCTATAAGTGATAGTTAGATTGAGCGTATGATATGGGTTGCAGACTCTCTAGTCTTTCTAATCAAGTCGTCTTTTTTTTTTTGTTCAACCATAAGTATGATATGGACCATAAGTCAAGTCAAGTCGTCTTTTGAGTTGAAATGTCTGCAAATGTGGGAGACTTATGGTCACTAACGATCATTGTCTTATTTTTGCTCCCTCTCTCTCTTTTCATAAATTATGTAAGAAGATTGTTTATGATTTTGTATTTATATATATTGGTAAAAAAAACAAAGTACATTTCGACATTGCTAGTAAATTCCTAGTAGTAATGATTAAGACAATTTTAGATTTCAAAAGTAATGTTAAGAGTTAAGATGCTATCATATTGTGTACAGTCACTTTTCAGATATTGTCGACTACAAATGCCTAGTAATGTTATGTATTGCTCTTTTCTAATGAAAATATTGAATTATGTTACATTTCTTAATATTATGATATGGGTTCTTTGCAGGGAAGAGGCAAAAGGGGTCAGTTACTTGTCTAGATAATCAAGGAAGGAAGTAGTAAACAATGGATTTAGGTGTAAAACCAGTACTTTATTCATTTCATTAATATGTAGAACATGGTTCATCTATATAATAGATAAGGTGACTGAAAAAGCATTGCAAAGTTGATATTTATTCGAATTAGAACAGCACAAGACATATTATAGCTTGGAGACTTCAGGGCAAGACAAAGTTTGCGGCAGACCGGCTTGTCTTCAGCTCAGTTCTTCAAGCTGCGTGTTACAACAGGAACAACAAAAGAAACGTAAGATTTTCTCTCTATACAGAAAGAAGTGAGCAAATCCTGAGGTTACTTTGATTTTTTACCTTAGAAACAGGAAGGACTGTTTAGGCCACAATTGGCAAGAAGAGGCCTGACTCTAGATGGGTCTATCCCAACAGTGGAGAGATAAGGCTTGTACGGGCAGAGGCATTGTAGATTAGCAGCTCTGGCCACTGTGTAGCAGTCCGGTCCCGGATGTGGAGGGTTGTTTCCAGTGACGGCTGGACGGCATTTCTCCAAGTCGTTTGTGTCGATGTTGCAAACGGGAATGCTTGTAGCTTCTTTCACCATTATTGCAGCGGATAAAACTATTGCAAGAACTGCAAATTGCATGAGGAATTTGGTGTTGTTCTTACCCATTCTCTCTCTTTTTTTAATCTTCACTCTTTCTCTCTCAACTCTATTGTGATATGTGAAGCTCTTACATGTAATGACCTTATTATATAGCAACGTTAATGATAAGTGAGAGCTAGTACAAGGTAGACTCACGGGTATTTTTAGCCAAGTCGTCGTCATTTGAGTTAAATGTGTAAACAAACAGACAAATGTGGGAGACTTTTAGTCCGGTTGGTAAATTACAGAGCTTGTTCCTTTTGCGTGATTAATGGCTTTTGGTCGTTTTTATCTTGTTTTGTACTTGTCAAGTCGTGTAGTTTTCTGTGTAAGACTATCAAGAGACTGTCTTCTTGTCACGTAAGAAAAGTCATTGAGAATGAAACGATCAAAGGAAATTATGAGCTGTGGAACTTAAGAAACACCTCTGGAAAATTCCAGGCCTTGTGACATAATATAATAACTTCATATATAGATTAGAAAATTCAAATCTCCAAATCACACACAAACCCAAACCCTAACCCTAACAAGTCTAAGGATCCAGAAAGGAACAACACAAGACACAAAAGTACAAGGCTGGCCCAGATCCTAGCTAGAACTCAGAGAAGAGGTCGAATGGATCCAGAAAGGGACGACCAGTGAGGGTTTACCAAAGCGATCGAACTTGAATGGACTGTTTGTACCAGAAGCTAGATCGTAAGAACCAAGTCTAGGGCCAAGGTAATAGATGGAGTTAGGTTTGAGCCCCGGGGACAGGCTTGCCGTGACACAGAAGGCTTCACTCCCGCTAAGGAAGATGCAGAGATCTCCAATATCTTCAGTATAACAGAAGTCTTTGCTCGTCCCATCTTGCCTAAAGACCATGAACCGCTTAGTACTGCTGTGGATAAATTCCAAATCCCCATCTTCGTCCTCTTTGTGAAGACACTGTGTGTACCTAGACAGAGAAACAAGTAGCTCAATATCTCTTACTCTACCTTGATTTGAACTCTTAAAAAAATTCGAAAAATACGTACCACTTGATGAAGAAAAGTTCACCAGAGGGAGATTCCACTAAGTGGTTGGTCAGGGAACATTTATCCAACATCTCCCAACCTGCCTCTGGAATCTTAGGCAGGTTTCTAAGGCGTATCTCTTTATACTTGATCTCGTCGTTGTTACTGAGATACAGAGAACCCATGTAGAGACCCTTAAAACTCGTAAAGTGGAAAGCTTTGTCTCTCTTGGAGTACATGAGCTCAGAGGCTGGTAAAAGAGTGTAACCGGTCCTGTTGTGAGTCCACTCAGAGCTCTGTCGAGGCCTACATACGCTTACATGATAGTCATTGAACTTTGCAGCCACATAATAGTCGTCTTGGACAGGATCAGAAGAAGAGAGACACACTTCCGTGGCATGAGATGAGGGTTTATACTCAGACCGGAGTGATGGTAATGATATGACTCGTGGAGATGAGACACAAGGCTTGTACAGATCCGTGAGATGCACGGTAATGTCTTTCTCCTTGTAAGAAGCGACCCAACCTTTCGATGCTCCCAGAAGAGGAGCTCCACGAAGCTCTTTGGGATACTTCTTCTCCTTGCTGTACACTTTCTTTTCTGTTGTCGGGTCGAATAACTTTTGATGCACGATTAGGCCCTCCTCTGGAGACTCTCGCAACTTCTTAGTGGTCAGCACCAAGCATGGGGACTGAGGCAATGATGAGAAGAAACGAGCATTGTTCTTGCGTGCCTGTCAATTTCCATGAACCAAAAATCGGACTTAGTAACCAAGGATCAAAGAAAGTATTACATAGGGAGGTTCAAGATAGTATCTTACAGAGAGCTTTGAGATTCGGCTGAAAAACAGCGCCATTTTTTTTTTCTCTCTTCTCGTTCCTACGTCCAAAGAACCCTAATTTCTCTTCTCTCTTATAATTAGAAAATTTTCCATATTTTTGTTTTTTTTGTTTTCCATTTCCCTCAATGAACTCGAGATGCGAAATCCCAGAAATGGAAAGCTTTCATATCGATAATTTATTAGTGTATTTTGTGGTTTTCCTTTTGATTCCTTTTTCCGCACAAGCCAACTACATACTGTACATCATTCAATTCAATTACGCATTTAATTTCTTCATGCCCATTTGAAATGCTTATGTTTAAATTGACTTTGTTATAATGTTTAAATTACATAATTATATAAAAAAAAGTAGTCAGAAGATTGATTATTTAGAGTAATATAATGCAAGTTAACTTTAATTAAACAAATACTAGTACTAGATGGATCACTCGTGATAATAAGTAACACAGAAACAAACAATACATTTAAGACAAATGACAAAGAAAAAGAAAAAACATATATTTAAAACTACCAACAAAATGAAAGGAAAAGACATTGAAATTAGTATTTGCAGCCACAGCAACCACCGAAGCAATAACGGCAGCCACCGCTACATCCCGGGCATCCGCAACGAATGCATCCAGGGCAACCATTGCAACCACCATATTCTGTTATCTTGTTTCCCTCTTCGTTTTCATTGTTGGTCTCGGTGGTTCTTTGGTCCTTGCTTTCCCCACTGCTTATTCCGTAGTCGTAGTTCATGTGGGTCCCTTGCCCAAAAGAAGACGTGGCGCCCCCAGAGGATTTCTTGGTTTCTTTCTTCCCATCGACCAAAAAGCCACCGCCGATGCTCTCGGGGAAAGCAATGAACCTCTTCCCCTTGAGCGACCACTCATCTTCTTTTTCTACTTCTTCCTCTTTTCCATCTTCTTCTTCTTCAAGATCTTCGTCCTTAGGAGGAGGAATGGTAGAATACCATTGGCTTGATGCCATGACACGATCTTTAGACCTTGAAACTGTGGCTTTAGCTACACCACTGAAAGTGGACTTTGATATTCTTCGCATATCTCTCTGGTTTTTTTCTTCTGATTTTTCTCTGTGATAAGAAGATTCGAACCGATCTGCCTTCCTTATATCTATCTCTGATTTCTGGGTCAACATCCATTTCCACTTCGGGAAACCTTTAGCTTTTGCTAGACTGAAACCAGAACTGGTAATCTATTTATTCATGTGTTATAAAGATCGGGCATGGAATATCTATAGAACCATCTCCTTCCAATAACCTTGGTTTTCGAAACTTGTATTCACTACAAGAAAAACTTACATTCTTAGCGCGGAAAATATGCTATCATAGGTAATACATAGCGAAATAACAACTGCTATGATCTCGGCAGCTATGGTAGATGCCCCACCTACGATAGCATTAATTTTGTCTGCTATAGTATGTTCATATACAATAGCACTTTGTTAGTGTTATTATTACTTTTTCATAGCAATAATTTAATGCCATTATTTAGTTGTTTTATAGCATTTTTATGTGCTACATTATGAAACGATGAATTGCTATATTATTCCAAATAAATATATTGGAAATCCAATTAATTATATGCTACAGAACCAATTTGTTAAAAGCATGTTTCTTTCAATAGATCATCAAAAGATACATAATTGTAATTTTACAAATAACATCATAAGTACTGCAATTTTTCAAAGGATAGGATATACAATTAAAATCAAAGACCATAGTTCAAAACCTATTTATTACGGCTTCTTATTAATCTATATGTAGCCGTTAACAACAAGAGCCTCTCCATATATCCTCAGCACAAAACCTCTTTACGCTAGTTGTGCTGCTCCACTTTGAACACCTCCACCATTCAATCTCTTGGGAGAACAAAAAAAAACAATATATATGAACCTAAATTTTAATTGTTGATAGTTGAAAATACAAGTAGATACTGAGAGCCATTAAAGGTAAGAAAAAATTAAACAACGGGTCAACAAAACAGAGTTAGAGACAAAGACACAGGATCACACTCAAGCATGTTCCTTAAGACAAGAATGTAACTCAATAAATCAGGATTTCTAAACTGAAATCAAGACAGAACAGCGAGTGCGAAGTAACATGTACTTGAGAATCAGAAGACATAAAAAATCTTGAAAAAGAAACCAATACAGAAGCATACTCTAAGGTACCTCATCACCAATTCTTTTATGCAAAACCTGATTTCTCTCAAGTGTTTTCCCTGAAATCGTGTTGAGCAAAATACTTTTGAATCTGAAATATAACCAAGAACACAATAAAATTTACCAAACTCATATAACTACAAAGGAATTAAGAATTCACATGGTTCAGTCATTTTCTCAAGAAAGCAGTAGACACAAAAAAAAAAGTATATCAAAAGAAATATATAGAAGAAGACAACGACCTCATCACAGAGAGGTTCTAGCTCTAAACTCTCTACCGTAGCTTGTCTTTCAACCTTCTCTATTGAATTTGCAGATTCTAACTTACCATCCACCTGCAAACAGGAATGAGGATAAGTTTAACGTTTGTATAAAACGTTGGTTGTACTCATAAAAAGAGAAAAGATTCCCCAAACAAAAAAAAAAAACCCACAAGAGCTTACAAAATTGAATCTTTCACTTACATTTGTATTCAGATTGAGGAAATCAAACCAAGCTTTAAAGTCAGTTAACTCGTACAGGGTCTGTTATGCAATTTACACATTGGTTACGATTCGTAACTTACGAAACAAAGAATGGAACTTTATTAGTCGTAGCCTCGTAGGAAACCAAAGGAGCAAACTTAAATCATTTTTCCCCAAATAGTCACTCACCTAATTTCAAATTGGAGAGAGAACGATCGCTTTCCTTTAATCCACACAAGAGATTGCATTTAGAGGTCTCAAGCAACTGCATCATCTTTGTCGTTTCAATTTCTTTCATCATCTGAATAAAAAATCAGCGAATTAAAGACATTACACTTCAAAATTCTTAAGAAGAGAGCGAAACCCTAAAAACCCTAACTTTATCCGAAACAAGGAATCTAAAAAGGGGTTTTTACCAGAGAGAGTCGATCCTCGTAATTTCGAACATCCGTGAGCCAATTTTCGTGCTTAGTCTTGATTGAACTTTCAATCATCTTCCTATCCTTGAGAAGTGAGTCGAGCTGGTCCTGTTTTGTCTGTAGAATCTTGACCAAAGTCTTGAATGTTTTGTCTGGGTCGGGGGAATGGGAGGTGGAGGAGGAGGCTTAGGAGAGACAGTTGAACCATAGCAACAGAGACAGTGGAGGAGTAGATCAGAGGCGGCAAGGATAGAAGGAGGAGAAAGAGGGTTTTCCTCGAGAGAGATTTCCCCCTTTTTTTTTTTTAGAGCTTTTTTTTTCGCCAAACAACTTAAAGATAATTGTGTTTTTTTTATTTTAGTGAGTGCTGGCTTCTATGTTATATATTACGCTCGGACTGTTCTAGATTAGTGAAATTTCGGCTTAGCATTTTTAAAATGCTATAGTAGACTACTATAATCCGGCGTATCTTCTTTAATAGCAATTACAGAAATAATGCTATTGTAATGTGCTATGAATACTCACTTTTTTTGTAGTGATTATTTTTATTTGAAAGTATACTTAATTAGTAGGGATTCCTAATTAGTACTCTGTATTAATTTGACCAAAAAATAAAAAGAAATGAATATATAGTTTAGGATATCAGACTAAAAGTTTTATGGGGTATAAATAATGGTAGACCTCTATTTATACTCTAATAGCTCAAGTAATGTATTATGTATACGGTCATTCTCCAAACCAAATCTTATAATACACTACGTACTTACACATTACCAACTACCAATATAACTTTGGAATTCTAGAAAGTTTTCGATCGAAACTGTATTATTTTTATTTGAAAGATATACTTAATTAGTACTCTATATTAATATGACCAAAAAATTAAAAGAAATGAATATATATAGTTTATGATATCAGACTAAAAGTTTTAATTTATGGGGTATAAATAATGGTAGACCTCTGTTTATACTCTAATAGCTCAAGTATCTTGGTTGTATACTGTCATTCTCCAAACCAAATCTTATAATATTACAAAAGTTTATTATGACCATATATTCAACAACAACATAAATCATTAAATTGAGTGAAATGACGTACAAATATAAGTTTATCTTTTTTACGAAGTATATTTCGAAAGTTTTTTTTTTTTTTTTTCTTCTACTTCTAGTCTTCTACCATCATAGTAATGATCTGGGAAAAGAAAAAGAGTGAACATCACTTATAAATGTTGCGACTGACACTTGTACAGTTGTGACGTAAATACAAGTAAAAGAGGATCACACTAAAATTTTAAAGTCTCCTTTGTCATACAATATATACATTATTTTTGGTCGAAACCATTAGAAATTTCATTAAAACTTAAAACAGGTGAGCAGGCGATAAAGCCTCCCAATTACAAAGAGCTTGCTTAGCTATGGCATGGAATCTGCCATGAATCAAAAGGAGATACAAGTGAAAGAGGATATCATTAAAATTTAAAGTCTCCTTTGTCATACAATATTATTAGTTATACGTACTATATGTGATATGAGTAAATCGATTTTTGTAGCTTTCTTTCCCTATTATTTAAGGAAATTATAAGTCTTAGTTTCTCATATATACATTTCCCAAAAACGTGTGTTTTGACTTCTGATAAAGGCGTGCTCTGTTACACACTGCACATCTCAGTAAAAGTTTTTATTGTTGCGTTTATTTCTTACCAACTCTTTTCCATTGCAATATTGTAGTATAACAAATAAATCCCCTTAGCATTTATATCACTTTCTTTTTCTTCATTTTTTAGTTATTGGTTTTATCTTTCTTTTTCTTTAGTCTTTTTTTTTTTTTTTGGACAAAACTTCTTCTTTAGTCTATAAAGTTAGAATATATACTAAACTGAGTTTCATAAAGTACCCTCTTTAAATAACATAGTAATTGTTTAACAGATTTTTTTACACTGGGATTCACTAATTATAGACATAGTTATTCACTAAGTGATCATCGTGCCACTTTGTTAGGGTTTGTGAGAATGAAGATTTGAACTAATTTAATTATGTATGATCGGGGGTGTTGTGTTTTTTTTTTTTTTTTCGAAGGAGTTGGTTTACGAGTGAAAATTTATGATTCAAATTTAAAATACAAAAAAAAACTAGTAAAAGATAGGAAAAACCTTATTAACGATGGTGTTAAAAAAAAACCTTAGCTAACGAATTTTGTTGTCAACATATAGACGTTGGAGAGGCTGGGATCAACTATATTCCATGAACATGTAGTCATGTACTCTCATATTTACCTCTAATTTATTTTAAGAGTTATTTGTATCTTTAAACTAAAAAATAGTATAACGAAAATTCGAAACCAATGTGCAGAATCATAGCATGTACAAGTTATGCTATGTTTCCTTCTATCCTGTAGCTATGCGTTTTCTTTTTAACTTTGATCTGTTTATTTTCTAGCTAATTTGTTTCTGTCTTATGCACACATGACACATTCCGCTGAAATTTGATCCTTTCAAGTTTGTGTTTTTTTTTCATAGTTAATAGTATATGTTATGCTTTCTTAGTTGGTTATATTTTGTTTGTAACACTTTTTTTTCGTGTCTTCGCTAATTTGTAACCTAGCTAACCCGGTTTCTTAGTTGGTTATACAGCATTTTGTTTGTTACCTAAAATTATTTTATAAATTTGTTAATTTTTAACATGGCGTTTTGACGGTGTTTATGCATGTCAACTATGTTTGTCTAAGAGTAGTGGCGGTTTACGTACGTAAAAAGAAAAAGGAGAGTGGTGATTGGTGAATGCATGGTTTACTAATTAGTGATAGTGATTAATGCATTGAGGCTATTAGAGAAGCAGGTGGATGGGCTTCCATAGAACGTGCATGCATGTTGTAATTGTTCTATATACTTCCATTGTTGTTGTTGAATGTTGATGTGGATCTTTTGGAATATTTGGAATGCAAATTGGGATATTATGAGCATATATATAGGTGTGTTATTTTAGCTGAGGGTTCGTGGTGATCCTAGTTAGATGCCTATATCTCATTTTGTTCTTCTTCGAATCCTTAAGTATTGGATTTATTTCTTCCTCTTTTGATGAATATAATGCTTATATACACATGTAGTTTTCGATTTAATTTTGACCATGGTTGTAAGGATGCGATTTAAGGACCATGGTTTTAACGTTGAGGAACTTATGCAAGCCAACGGATGTTTTCTGACTGGTTTCATGGAGATACCAAATCATTGTGACGTTGTAGATGATAGCCACCGCAAACTTACTTTAACTAATGACTTGAATTACAGCCTCGGTAGTGTAAAAGTAAATGAATTTTATTCGATTAAAATGTGGAAATAGCTAGTAAGATGATTAAAAAAAGAAGAAGATGATTTATGGTTACGGCCTTTACGGTACGGGTATAAGATATTTGCGAGGTTAAGGACTTTTAAGGTGATAAGGCTGTTTAGTTAAGACAGTACTATTGTTTTGTTTGGTTTTTAAGGATTTACCAGTTATGATGTTTGCTCTGAAAGCTTTTAAAAAAAAATAGTTGTGATAATAGAGCTCGTAGTTTCGAAAAAAAAAATAAAGACAATAGAGTTCGTAATTGTAATTAAATTTGTAATCCTTGATCTAAATTAAAGTCAATAAAAAGAGTTTTCATCCTTATTTATTCTTATCTCTTTATCTCTCTAAAGATAAAGAACTCACGTGTGAAGCTGGTATATAAGTTAGAATATGGTTTTAGAAAATATTTTTTTCTATGATATAAAATGTATATTCTTTGGCTTTGAATGTCCGATATTGTAACTTTATTTTCATTTTGTGTTATATATTTATTTTCCTCTGCATGATTGAAGATTGCTCGTTGGCTTAAACCCAATCACTCTTTTTAGTCTTTTGTATGCGTATCATATCAAGTGAGGCAGTATTTATTTGATTTCTAAACTTCAGAAAGGATGGTACTTCCTAGTTCCTATCTCTCGAGGACTTGAAATAAATTACTCTTTCTAGTTTCCATACTGCTTGACATGTTAATAATATTTTTTTAAGAACATAAGTTATACTATGATTTTTGATCGATTTACTTTATATACCTAACCTATATAGCTTTTAGATAGAAAAGGAATGATTCTCAACGATTGAGATTTCAAGCATGCATGAATATATACATTAATTGCCTCCATATTTAGCAGCACTTTTTATCATTTTCTTTGTTAATTATGTAAACCACAAAACAACTGGACATTCCCTTTTTAAAGTTGAACATATATACACGTTCCCAAATTGTTCATGGAAAAGTATATAAGTTATAGTGATTATAAAAAAAATTACTAGTATTAATTCAAATATTTGAGTTGACAGAATTTGCGATACGTTTTATTTACATTAGTTATAGCGATTATCGCAAATATTTTACACAATTTTCTAGTAAGTAACTGCACATAACAACAAATTTACATTTTACTAAAATCGATGAAAATCTGGATTTAGGTTAAAAATTTGACATTTCATTAACTTTAATTAAGCTTACTACACGCATCACACCAAAGAGTCAAAGACCAAACAATGCTGACAAAGAAAAACACATTTTAAAAACTAAGAAAAGAACACAGACATATTTAAATATTTAAAACTACATTTATTAGTTGGAGCCACCGGAGCGGTAACGGCACCCACCGTTACATTCCGGGCAACGACTGCATCCATGACACCCACTGCAACCACCCCCATAATCTGGTTTCCCGGTCCCCTGGTCGTAGTTCCTGTGGGTCCCTTGCCCAAAAGCGCCCCCAGAGGATTTCTTGGTTTCTTTCTTCTCATCGACCAAAAAGCCACCGCCGATGCTCTCGGGGAAAGCAATGAACCTCTTCCCCTTGAGCGACCACTCATCTTCTTTTTCTACTTCTTCCTCTTTTCCATCTTCTTCTTCTTCAAGATCTTCGTCCTTTGGAGGAGGAACTGTAGAATACCATTGGCTTGATGCCACCGCACGTCCTTTGGATCTTGAAACCGTGGCCTTAGCTACACCAGTCAAAGATTTTGACATTCTTCTCATCTTTCTTTGATTTTCTCTTCTGATTTTTCTCTGTGATAAGATGATACAAACCGATCTGCCTTCCTTAAATCTATCTCTGATTTCTGGGTCAACATCCATTTCCACTTCGGGAAACTTTTAGCCTTTACTAGACAGAAACCAGAACTAGTAATCTATTTATTCATGTGTTGTAATAAAGATCGGGCATTGTATATATTAATATATGTATACAACCACCTCTCTCCAATAACATTGGTTTTCGAGACTTGTAGTATTATTTTCGAGACGTAAGCTATAACAGTACACTATACTAGTTTGACCAAAAAAAATGAATATATATATATATTTTATGATTCTGAAAGTTTTATAGGTATAAACACTATTTTTCTTTATAAAAAGTTATCGATTTATACTGTTATAGCTTACGTCTCGGTTATATACGGTCCAAATAACGTTCAAATAACTCATTACGTACTTACTACAAACAACACTTTGAAAATTCTAAAAATGTGAAATTTATTATGATCCTCTTCTTAACAAGTAACAACAACATAAATTGAGTGCAATGACGTTCAAAAACCTAAATTACGAAGTTTAATCTATCTCTTATCAGGTTTTGAGTGAAATGACGTTCAAAAACTTGAAAACAAAGTTTAAGTTTATCGTTTTTACAAATTGTATTTCGAAAGATTTTGATATTTTTTTTCTTAAACAGCTGTAAATGGACTACATTACTACTTAGTCTACTTCTACCACATAATGATCTGAGGAAAAAAAAAGTGTGAGCATCACTTAGACTTATAAATGTTGCAACTGACACTTGTACAGTTGTGACTTAAAAGTCTGCTTTGTCATACGATAATAAATGGGATATGAGAAATCGATCTTTGCATCTTTCTTTATCATATCAGGAAATTGAAAGTGATTTTTCACAATGAGATAAAAAGTGATAATTTTCCACGTTATCTTCTAGTTTAGTCAAAGAGATGATTGGTTGGTATGATCAAAAGTTCAAAACTAGTTATTTGAAAGGGTGTCGTGAGTTGTTCACGAAGTGATTATCATGCCACTTTTTTAGGTTTATGAGAATGAAGATTCTAACCTTTTCAATTCAAAAAAAAAGAAGAAGAAGATTTGAACTTTTAAAGTAAATAACTATGGTCTATGTATTTTTTTTATTTTATTTTATTTCTTTTTTTAAAAAAAACTATGGTCTATGTACGGTCGTGGGTGTTGTGTGTTTTTAATATTCCTTCGAAGGAGTTTGTTTACTAGTGAAAATTTTATGAATCTAATTCAAAATACATAAAAAAAACTAGTAAGAGATATGAAAAAGTTTTGACTAATTAACATTGTTAATATTCTCAGTCAACTTCATTTTTATTCTTAAGAACTGAGAGTGAAAAACTAGTAGTATTCATTTAAAACCTCACTTTTGGCCTTTGGGCATGAAGTCAATCGTTTACAAAGGACCAAAAGTGGGGTTTATCAAAATATTGAGAGGCCACTTTCCCCAAAAATTATTTGGATCCTAATATGGGCTTAAACGAGGACAGATTGTTTCGTAGCATAAAGCCTTTTACATTTTATTTTTTCCGGAATTCTCTAGTAAATTTTGCAGAAATCGTATTTCATAATTAAATTCTGAAAACGACAAGCAAAAATATATATATTCTTTTTCTATTTTTTTTTTTGTTGTACCAACTACCAACTCTTTATTTACTTTGCTCCGAGTCATGTAAACATATTGCAAGTTGGTGATTTATTCGAATTAGAACACGAAAAGACATATTATAACTTAAGAGACATCAGGTCGATCGAGACAAAGTATGCGGCATACCGCATACCGGCGTGTCTTCACTCTTCAGCAGTTCAGCTCAGTTCTTCAAGCTGCGTGTTACACAAGGAACAACAAAACAAACGTAAGACTTTTCTCTATTTGCATAAAGAACAGTAAAATCCTGCGGTTACTTTAATATTTACCTTAGAAACAGGAGGGAGGAGTGTTTACACCACAATTGGCAAGAAGAGGCCTGACTTTAGATGGATCAATCCCAAACCTGGAGAGAAAAGGCTTGTACGGGCAAAGGCATTGTAGATTAGCGGCTTTGACCACTGCGCAACAGTCAGGTCCCGGAGGTGGCGGGTTGTTGCCTGTGAAAGCTGGACCACATTTTCCCAAGTCATTTGTCTCGATGTTGCAAATGGGAATGCTTGTAGCCTCTTTCACCATTATTGCAGCGGTTAAAACCATCGCAAGAGCTGCAAATTGCATCAGGATTCTGGTATTGTTCCTACCCATTCTCTCTTTCTTTAACTTCTCTCAACTTTATTGTGAAACCCTTTAATAATCTAACGAGCTTACTATTTAGCAACGTTAATGCTAAGTGAAAGCTATTAAAAGCGTAGACTCACGGGTCTTTTTTAGTCAAGTCGTCTTGGAATTGAAATGTATAAGAAAGTGGACAAATGTGGGAGACTTTTTTCTCACCGATGGCTTTTGGTCGTTGTATTTTGTTTTGTCCTTGTCAAGTCGTGTAGTTTTCTGTGTACAAATCAAAAGACTGTCTTCTTGTCATGTAAAAACAAGTCTATGGTTTTGTGATCTGCTTCCGTATTATACAAGTCACCAATTTCAACAGAGCTAAAGAAAGCTCGTGTCACTATCCACTGCTACTGGAGAATGTTGCCTATCTTCTATAACCACAAGTCAACAATCAGATTTTGAAAAGAATTATGATTTATAAAATTATAATCATGAAACGTTAACGTATAGCACACGGTTCTTCTACACACATAAGGTGAATCTAAAATCATTAAAAGTTTGTGATTTATTTGAAACAGAACACTAAAAGACATTTTAAGTTCACTTTAACGAAAACAACACATTGTAAATTTAGATGCAAGACAAGATCCAGCGAAGTCTACAACACCATAAAGAGACCTATCCTCAGCTCATTTCTTCAAACTGCGCGAATAAAAAACGTTACACTCTTTCTTTACTTTCAAGATCTTACCACAAATTCAATAATCACATGAAAATACCTTGGCAAGAACGAGGGACTGTTGTAACACCACATTTAGCTACAAGAGCCACGACTTTAGATGGATCAATTCGCAAAATTGGGAGATAAAACTTGAATCTGCATAAGCATTCGAGATTAGCGCCTCGAACCACTACGCAGCACTCGTTGACAGGAGGCGGGGGATCGTTTCCAGTGATGGCTGGACGACATTTCTGCATATCATTTGTGTCCATGTTACAAATAGACATGCTTGTAGCTTCTTTCACCATTATTGCAACGGTTAAAACCATTACAAAACCTGCAAATTGCATAAGGAATTTGGTATTGTCCTTACCCATTCTCTCTTTTCTCTAGAGTCTACTTGTGAATCCCCTTATGATCATGGGCTCGTTTATAAACAAGCTAAAATGCTAACTAACTAAAAAGGTAGTAGTAATTTAAGAGCGTAACGTAAAAGATAAGTGTGGGTGATGTGATCAGGAGTGTTTTGAGTTGATGAGATGTGTGAAGAAAGGGACAAATGTGAGAAAAGACTTAGTTGTTTTGCATGCCATAGTTTCTGGGCGGTGAATGACAAAGAGATTTTTGACTCTTTCTTTGCGTGACCATTGTGGCGCCGTTTGTTTTGATCGTAATTATTGGCTTTTAATTTGTAATTTTGTTTATTATCATAATTCAGTATAGTGTTCAAAAGTTCTATCATCACTTGTTAAATAAAGATTGGTTTTCAATGATTTTGTATTTATGAAAAAATTAAGATCTTTTATTGATTGTGCTATTTAACATGTTAATAATAGTTTTTAATAATATATATTAATGTTGTTTTGCACTTCTCAACAAATTAATATCTTTAATCTATATATAATAGCAATCTAATAAATACCATTTGCACATCTGAACGGTTGCATCTTTTTATCGCAACCTTTCGTTTAAATCGGTTATTTTGGTTGCGTCTTTTTATCGCAATTTTCGGTTTAATCGGTTATTTTTTTTACGGATATGTCGTTTCCAATAAATACCATTTGCACATCTGAACGGTTGCGTCTTTTTATTGCAATCTTTCGTTTAAATATTTATGGTTGTTTTTCTTAAAGTTATTTTTGTACGGTCATGTTGTTTAGTTGAATTTCTTCTTACGTAAACCAATAAACTACATATAAAATTGGTTTTATTTCATAGTTTACATATGGATATATTTAGTAGTATAACCTCCTTAATTATATCATTCATTTAACATTTACGTGATATCATGGGAAAACAAATATAATAGCAATCTCAATAAATGTCATTTGCACATTTCAACGGTTGCGTATTTTTATCATAACTTTTCTTTAAAATATTAGCGGTTATTTTTTCGGTTGTGTTTTTTATCGCAACTCTTCGTTAAAAAGATTGACAATTACTTTTTTTGTTTACGGTTATTTTTCAGTTGTGTCTTTTTTATCGCAACTTTCCGATAAATATTGGCGGTTACTTTTTTCGATGCTGTCTTTTATCGCAATTTTCCGTTAAAATATTGATGGTTATTTTTTCTCAGTTGTGTCTTTTTATCGTAACTTTCCGTTAAAATAACGGTTATTTTTTCTCAGTTGTGTCTTTTTATTGCAACTCTTCGCTAAAATATTGACGGTTATTTTTTTCGTTGACGGATATTTTTTAGGTTGTGTCTTTTTAAACTTTCCGTTAAAATATTGATGGTTACTTTTTTCGTTTGTGTATTTTATCACAACTTTCGGTAAAAATATCCACGGTTATTTTTTTCTCGGCCATGTCTTTTTATCGCAACTTTCTGTTAAAATATTGACAGCTATTTTTTCTCGGTTGTATCTTTTATCGCAACTCTTCGTTAAAATATTGACGGTTATTTTTCTCGGTTGTGTCTTTTTATTGCAACCCTTTGTTAAAATATTGACGGTTATTTTTTCTTAGTTGTATCTTTTTATCGAAACTCTTTGTTAAAATATTGACGGTTACTTTTTTCGTTGACGAATACTTTTTCGGTTGTGTCTTTTTATCTCCACTTTCCGTTAAAATATTGACCGTTATTTTTACGGTTGTGTTTTTTATCGCAACACTTCGTTAAAATATTGACGGTTATTTTTTTTGTTGATGGTTATTTTTTGGTGGTGTTTTTTTTTCGCAAGTTTTCGATAAAATATTGGCAGTTATTTTTTCTCGATTGTGTCTTTATATCGCAACTCTTCGTGAAAATATTGAAGGTTACTTTTTTCGTTGACGGTTATTTTTTCAGTTATGTCTTTTTATCGCAACTTTCCGTTAAAAAATTAACGGTTACTTTTTATGTTTTGGTCTTTTATCTCAATTTTTCGTTAAAATATTGATAGTTACTTTTTTCGTTGACGGTAATTTTTTCGGTTGTATCTTTTTTATCGCAACTTTCCGTTAAAATATTGACGGTTATTTTTTCTCGGCTGTGTCCTTTTATCGCAATTCTTTGTTAAAATATTGACGGTTATATTTTTTATTGATGGTTATTTTTTTGTGTCTTTTTATCGCAACTTTCCGTTAAAATATTAACGGTTATTTTTTTCGTCTGTGTTTTTTTATCGCAAATTTCCGTTAAAATATTTAGAGTTATTTTTTTGGGATAGTTCTATTTGTTCAATTATAGTCGTATTTTTTCAGTTTACGGTTGTGTCTTTATAGTTGCATCTATTCATTTAAATACGTCTCTTCACTATATTTCATTGTATTTTTTCATCACAACATTTTGTATGAATAGTTGTCTATTTAAATTTTCATGACTTTTGAACTCTATATATTTTTCCTTCTTCCTAAGTAGTTCCCAAATTTTTTATCTTTAACATAAATTATTTATTTTATGATGAATCTAAAAAAAATAATCGGTAAAATGGCTCCAAATTCTTTATTCTCTAAACTATTTCTAAACATACATCATTTTAATATTAAAGAAATTCTTCACATTCTTGATCTAACTTAAGTTTTTTCGGAATGATTATAAAAATGGAGAAGCATTAATCAACTTTACATATAACATTCTAATGAAGTACCAACAATTGGACGGATTATATAGTGAATTTTTTTTATCTAACTATTTAATATAGTAACAATGATGTTTTCTATTTTAAGGCAATATATATGGGTTATATACAAAGAAATATTGATGTTGCGTTAACACTATTACAAAGTCCGAATATGAGAAGAAATGCTCATATGACGCTTGTGATTGGGTGTTTTAAATTTGGTAAGCGTCAAATAAACTGTTTCAAATGGTTTGGTAATCGAGAAATCTTTTACATTATTAGGAAAAAAACAATGCTTCCAATTCGTCAAATGTTATTCAAGAAAGAAGTTTTTTAGTCAGTTAATTTATCAATATAAATACAAATTTATGAGATCTTGTAAGTATTTATTTTTTTGTTATAGATGTAATTTACGTCATCAAATTTTATATTTTCTCAAATATATATAATAGAATAAATATTAACTTTATATTTAAAGAACAGTGGGCAGTAAAAAAACACCAATTCTCTGGCGAAGTTCTTAGTCATCCACAAGTCATTCTGAGTACTGACTCCATCCGAATTTTTGAGTTTTGTCCTGCTAGAATTTTTCATCTCTATATTATAACTCTTCGTTATGTATTTTGTCACTTATAAATAATTTACATTCATAAAAAATATTTCAAATGTGTTTTTAATCATAATTCTTCTTTTTATATTTTTATTCATAAATTGTTTTAACATCTTTGGAAAATATTTATGATATAACTTTAAAACATAGTTAATTTTATATAATAATTCATATATTTGAATATATTATCATAATAATTTAAATCATAAACACAATCAAATATATTTGTTGAAAATGAGTTCCCCCGCGACATCGCGGGGGTTCATAACCTAGTTTTAATAATAACATCAATAATAAAACATCAAAATACTGTAACATCTTAAAACGATTATTTGACTATTTATGTCTTAGCCTTAAAAAATATTTAGACGGCAAAAGTTATGGAAATCTTACCATACTGTTGAATTGTATAATAGACATTTTTGTTTGACTAAAAACTATGGTGTAACACTTTTTTTACATATTCTTTCGAATTTGTACATAGAGAGATTCGCGTTCTAATAAAAATATTAAATTCAATATCACCTAGACCGAAGTTATTATCACACAATTTAAATAGTAGGCCGTCGTGCGAACCACACATGGTTTTTTTTTAAGAAATCAGAAAAATATTTAAAACGTCGGTGGAGAAGATCTTTGTTTCGTTCATAAAATCTAAAATTCCCATAAATAAGTAAACAAAAAATTTAGGTTTCGCCATATATTTTTATCAAATATTAATATCTTCCGAAAATCATTCACCTATATATGGTTAGTTAATGTCATTTTTTAAAATTTATGTAACGAAGTAAATAGAGAAAAACATTTAAGTGTCTAAAAGCGTACAAAAATTGTAGTCCATTTTAGAAATGACACCTACACAAGTCGTTAAACCGTGAGGTCCACTGTTTCTTCCACATGTCGTCATCAGACAGCGAGTATTTAAATCCCAAAATAAACCCTACTCGCGATTCTGATTAAGCATTCAATTTCACAACCATAAACTCGTTTTCTCTTTCTTTGCTCTCACACGAAGCAAATAACGATCCTCTCTCTCTTTCTCTACCGTATCATCTTCTTCTTCTTCTTGTTCACATTGTGGTTGTTCGATTCTTGCTTCTTAGTTTTTCTGGAAGAAAGAAACATTAACATCGATTGAATATACATAGAGAAGAACTTTTGATTATTGATTCTTCAGAGCAGAATCTCTCATTTCGATACATTTGGGGTTTGTTTTTTTTATTCTCCTAGATTTCTGGAATCGAAAGTCTCGTTTTTACCTAATCTAACTGTTTGATCTTGCTGTAATGTTTTTAACAACATTGCTATTTTAAGTATGAAATCTTTGGATCGATAAAATTGGTTTCTTTTCGTTTTTATCCCAAAGTTTTGATTTTTCTGATTCTTACAGTGATTCTTCTTTTGCAGGGAGAAGTTTTCTACATTGGTGTGATTTTGAAGATTTTCTTCCCCGTGGATTGTAACGGGGGAGATGTCTGGTTTTGTGGGTGTTATTGTTTCGGATCCATGGTTACAAAGTCAGCTTACACAAGTCGAGCTTCGGAGTCTTAATTCCAAGGTTAAAGTCACTCTCTTTTTTTCTCATTGGTTTAAGTAATTTTCATGGAGGCAATCCAAAGAGAAGCTTGTTTTGATCTGGATATAAAACTTTTGGTATTTGTGTTATTTTAGTTTGTTTCGTTGAAGAATCAGAGTGGTAAGGTTACATTAGAGGATCTTCCGTCTGTGTTGGTCAAGGTGAAGTCACTTAGTTCAGCATTTAAGGAGAAAGAAATCAGAGAACTCTTGGGAGGTTTGGGTTCTGATTATGAAAGTGATGATGATCTTGATTTCGAATCGTTTCTCAAGGTTAGTTTCATCTTTCTGTGTTGTGTTGTGTTTTGTTTGTTCCTGTGAAGCTATTTGATGAATTTGATGTGTAATGTGTGTGAAGGTATATCTAAACTTGCGAGATAAAGCTGCTGATAAATCTGGTGGTCTTAAGCATTCAGCTTCATTTCTTAAAGCCGGCACAACGACTCTTCATACCATTAACCAGTCAGAGAAGGGTTCCTTTGTTCTTCACATTAACAGATATCTAGGGGATGACCCCTTTTTGATGCAGTTTCTTCCTTTAGATCCGGATTCTAATGATTTGTATGAACTTGTGAAAGATGGTGTGCTTTTATGGTAATGAACTAATGTGAAAATTTGTGTTTTGGATTTCAGTCTCAACATTAGTACAGTTGGTTTTGACTATTGTTCTCCCTTTTTCCTTTTTTTGGCACAGTAAGCTTATAAATATAGCAGTTCCTGGGACAATAGATGAACGAGCCATCAACACGAAAAGGGTACTTAACCCATGGGAGAGAAATGAGAATCACACGCTCTGTCTCAACTCCGCGAAAGCTGTTGGCTGCAGTGTGGTTAATATTGGGACTCAGGACCTGGCTGAAGGACGAGTATGTTTTGCTTGCTTAATTTTCAGTATAACATAATATATCGGTTGATACGAATATAGAAGATTCTGACTGCTGATGTATCATTGTTTTTGCAGCCTCATCTGGTGCTTGGATTGATCTCACAACTCATAAAGGTCCATACTTGTTTGCTGTGTTCATCTTCCTTTGTGTTTGTGCTTGATGATTTACTAACTAATGTTTGGAACTGCAGATTCAACTGCTCGCTGATCTTAGTTTGAAGAAGATGCCTCAACTTGTTGAGTTGGTGGAGGACAACGAGGTAATGACCTGCTAATCTCTTTGCGAATTTCTGACCAAACTATAACCATGTCGTAAATAATAGTAACGAGTTTCTGTCTGTTGCAGGATATAGAAGAATTTCTGAGATTACCTCCCGAGAAAGTCTTACTCAAATGGATGAACTTCCATCTCAAGAAAGGTGGTTACAAAAAAACTGTTGGAAATTTTTCATCGGACCTGAAGGTATTTGGCTTTCCAAATAGCAGTTTTAGGAACAAATCTTCTTTGTGTCCCTTCAAAAGCTTCATTCAAGAGATTTACAGATTCATCATGTGTTTTTAAGACGTAGTTCTCTCCAACATGCTGAAGCAACATCAGTTTGAATAGGGAAAATCACAGCTCACTCATTAGTTATGAAAATGTTTGGTATTTTTTCTTAATCTTGATGGTTGAGATTGTTGACTATGCAGGATGCACAGGCCTATGCTTATCTGCTTAATGTTCTCGCACCAGAGCATTGCGATCCAGCTACTCTAAATGCAGAGGATGATCTTGAAAGGGCTAACATGGTCCTCGAACACGCAGAGAGAATGAACTGCAAACGGTATTTGACTGCAGAGGAAATAGTTGAGGGGTCTTCGTATTTGAATCTCGCATTTGTGGCACAGATATTTCACGAAAGGTCGGTAAAAATATTAAAGAGTGGTTACTCTCTTATGCACTGGTTTTTACACACTAGCTTCTCTGTGCCTGATGCAGGAATGGCCTTAGCACTGATGGTAGGTTCTCCTTTGCGGAAATGATGACTGAGGATTTACAGACTTGCAGAGACGAAAGATGTTACCGGCTATGGATTAACAGCCTCGGGATTGAGAGTTATGTCAATAATGTGTTTGAAGATGTTAGAAACGGGTAAGCATTTGGTATGGAAAATAATTTATAATCTATTGGTTCAGAAACGTATCATAAGTTTCAGTACTTAATATTTCTGATGCAGATGGATTCTTCTGGAAGTTGTTGACAAGGTCTATCCAGGCTCAGTTAACTGGAAGCAGGCTTCAAAACCACCAATTAAAATGCCGTTTAGAAAAGTAGAGAATTGCAATCAAGTCGTGAAGATTGGGAAAGAGATGAGATTCTCGCTCGTAAATGTAGCTGGAAATGACATAGTTCAAGGGAATAAGAAGCTTATCCTCGGTAATTACTTCGCTTAGCTATCTACAATATGTTTATTTTGATAAGATGCTCTACAGTCTTAGAAATTGTATAACAGTGGAGGTGTAAATACATGTCTCAGGCTTCTTATGGCAGTTGATGAGAACCCATATGCTCCAACTTCTCAAGAGTCTCAGATCTCGGACACGAGGAAAAGACATGACCGACTCAGAAATCATAAGCTGGGCAAACAGGAAAGTCAGAATCATGGGGCGAAAATCACAGATCGAAAGCTTCAAGGTTCCATCTTTTACTTTCAGCAAAACTAAAGAAAAAATCAATTGAACAAGCTTATGTTGAATAAAATCTGTCTTGCTAAACTTCAATAGGATAAGAGTCTATCCAGTGGATTATTCTTCCTCGATCTTCTATGGGCGGTTGAGCCAAGAGTTGTTAACTGGAATCTTGTCACCAAGGGTGAATCAGGTCCTTACTCTCTCTAACTACACTCACAACATCTTTACTCTCTTTCTCCTCTCTGTTCAAACTGAATTTGCTTAATTGTTCTTTTTTGGCTATGGAAACTTTTTACAGACGATGAGAAGAGATTGAATGCTACATACATTGTCAGCGTAGCAAGAAAGCTTGGTTGCTCTGTCTTTTTGTTGCCGGAAGATATCGTGGAGGTAAAGAACGGAATCTAAATCTTCCTAAACGAGGACACAACATATATCAAAATGTAAATCTGAGGTTTTTAATATCTTCTGTTGCAGGTGAATCAGAAGATGATACTAATCTTAACGGCAAGTATAATGTATTGGAGTCTTCAGCAACAATCATCATCAACAGAGAGTTCAAGTTCGAGTTCGGATTCATCATCAACTCACAGCACGACTACGACATGCACTAGCACATGCACGAGCACTGATGCTTCACCAGCTCCATCTGTCACGGGTGAAGACGAAGTCTCTTCTTTAAATGGCGAAGTCTCGAGCCTAACCATCGAAGAAGACAATGAAGTCTCGAGCCTAACGATGGAAGAAGACAATGACGCAGAGATTTTGTCAGATATCACCTCCATCTCAGAGGAAGCAACCATTGAATAGAGCAACAAGACTACTGAACTAACAGAGTTGCGTTGTATAATATTTTTCACATCTCCTCTGTTTGTGTTACTACTAAATAAAAACTATATTTGTTACCACTAAGAATAAGAATAAAGATAAAAAGAGAAAAATATTGTTTTTTTTTTTGGTAAGTAAAAGAGAAAAATATTGTGGAGTACATTAAAATGTCATTGTTTTTAATTTTTCATGAAAAAAAAATGTCATAAAAAAATCATAACTGCTGATGACTGATTTTAAAGTCAAAAAGTTATTTGTAAATCAATAGATTCAATACTATTTGTTGATTTGCAGTTTTTTTGTTGGTTAGCAAAAAAAACAAAAAAGAGATATTTAAGAATACCTCAAATAGTTAAATACTTGTTGTGTGTGTTGGTTGGTTGTTGTTTGTGCTTCTTCTGTCTCTCACTGTTATTGCCTGGCTCGAGCATCGAACCCGTCACACGTTGGACATTAGAGTGCCATCGCAGACCAAACGAGCTACTAGAGCCAGGCACTTGCTCTCTTGGATGATTTTGTATCTAATGAAACCACCTGCTTCGAATAATAATTATCCTCTTAACGCAAAAAATGGCACTAAAATAGAAAAACAACTTTTATTAAGGAGAGGAATAATATATAGTATTTCCAATATTGGTTATTCTCGGTTTCATTCGTATTTATGCTGAAGATATTTATATCGAAATTTAAGGGAACAAAAAAAAAAAAACTAATTATGTTAAGAATTTAGCATATTTAAAAAAAAGGAAATTATCATTCGGCTCACACAAGTCAAACCCAAAAAAAAAACACAATCTCAGCGGCGTTTTGCTTGCACACGTGCCGCGAATATATAAACATGGAAAAAAATATTCTCTAGCAGTTCGCAATTTTATGACGACGACGACGATTCTTACTCTCTTTTGATTCAATTTGCGTCACAGTACTATCAAATCCACACACACAGAGACGAGAATTCTCTAAGGTCTTTTATCACTTCTCTTCTTCTTCTTCTTCGTTCGTTTACTTCTTCAATTCCGTTTTCTCAATTTCTCAATTTTTGGATGTTCCATTTTTTTGGGGACTTTAAATCTCCTGGCTTTTCGTTTTCCTTCATTCTCCAATTCATGTTCATTGTATCTCCTAAAACAAACCCTAAGTCGAATTTTTGAATTCTTATTTGTTTTAGGGTTTGGAGAAAGTTGTGATTTTGGAATTTCCCCTTTGATCGTTTGTGTTTTGAAATTTCGGATTAATGGCGTTCGTTGACGATGATGAAGAGGAAGACTTCTCTGTTCCTCAATCAGCTTCGAATTATTATTTTGAAGATGACGATAAAGAGCCTGTTTCGTTTGCTCGTCTCCCAATTCAATGGAGCGGCAAGGACAAAGTTGATGGAAGTGGTTTAGGTTTTTACTTGCGAGGAAGATCTGATAATGGCCTTTTGCCTCTGCATAAGCTTGTCAAGGCTTGGAGATTCGACCTTTCGAACTTTAGACCTGAGGTTTCTGTTCTTACAAAGGATAATATCTGGATTAAGCTTGAGGAACCGAGGAAAAGCTATGGGGAATTGATAAGAACTGTTTTGGTAACGTTGCATTCCATTCAGTTTCTTAGGAGGAATCCCCAAGCCTCGGAGAAATCTCTCTGGGAGAAATTAACTAAAAGTTTGAGGTGATTTGTGCTTTTCAGGTCTTTTGTTCTTCTCTCTGGGAATTGTCATTCTTTTGGTTTTTTAACTCTAGTGGTTGGATGTTGTTTGTAGGTCGTATGATGTGAAGCCATCGCAGAATGATTTGGTGGATCACATTGATTTAATTGCTGAAGCTGCGAAAAGAGATGTAAATTTGGCGAAATCAAAGGTTAGTAATGAGAATTTTCTGACTTCCTGGTCTGTTGGATGTTTGATTTAGAAGAGGCCATTAATTCTCTTATAGGTGTTGTAGCTTCTGTTTCTTGAGAGCTTGTGATGCCCATATCTGTTATCAAGAGTTTTGTTCGCTTTCTGGCTTCAATGTTTTCTGTATATGTATCATCTTCTTACCCTGATTCTCTCCTAATTTTGTGAAGTTTCTTGTGTTACTAGGTTATACTTGCATTTCTCACAAAAAAGCCTACCAAAAGGAGATTACCTGACGATGTTCGAATCTTTTATCCCACTTGAGTACTCTTTTTCCTAATGTGCCGTTTCCCTTTTTTTCCCTTACTTTCACACGGTCTTAATTTCTGCTACGGATTTGTTTTTACTTATTAGGACATTGCAAAGGATGATTTCATAGTTGGAGATGAGGACACTTATGTAGCTTCCGATGAAGATGAATTGGATGATGAAGACGATGATTTTTTTGAGTCTGTTTGTGCAATATGTGACAATGGTGGCGAGCTTTTGTGGTATGTTTCTTTGCTGGATATTGATCTTATAGTTTGATTTTCTCTGGTAGTTCTTTGCAGAGTTAGTCTTCCACCTTGTACTTTCTTTGTTAAAATAAGGCCTTGATTATTTGTTTGCGTTTATGCCGGCGTTTGCTTTTACATTTAGTGTGAATTTTCTCCAAATGGTCTACAACCTTTAGCGTCTTAACAAATTCCTTTGCTAATTTAAACTCAAATGTATCTTCCGTTTGTGTTTGGCTTTTGCAAAAATATTTTATGAAAAACTGAAATTTTTTAATATGTGAAACATGCAAACACAAATGCAAAAGGTTCTGAAGATCTACTGTCTTTTTCATGTATTTGTTACTATTTCCCTGAACCAGATGCATAATTCTTGTGTTCTGCTTTCTGCAGTTGTGAAGGAAGCTGCCTGAGATCATTTCATGCTACCAAAAAAGATGGTGAAGATTCACTTTGTGATTCTCTTGGCTTAAACAAGATGCAAGTGGAAGTATGTAACATATATGATTTTCTCAGTTCTGAATATTTCTGAGCGTCTTGGTTTTCTTGAGTAGGCATGGAGTTAATGTTTATGCTGTTTTATGGATTGTTTTCAGGCAATTCAGAAATACTTCTGCCCAAACTGTGAGCATAAGATACATCAATGCTTCATTTGCAAGAACCTTGGCTCTTCTGATAACTCTACTGGGGCAGCAGAGGTATGAAATTATGATCTCTAATGTTGAATGCTGTTCAGATGTGTTTTGTTGATAATGCTGATTGTCAAGTAATTGGATGAGCTTTGTGTTTTAAACATGTTCATAGGTTTTCCAATGCGTGTCAGCCACCTGCGGCTACTTTTACCATCCTCGTTGTGTCACAAGACGGCTACGTTTAGGAAATAAAGAAGAGTCTGAAGCACTAGAGAGACAAATCATTGCTGGAGAGTATACATGCCCATTACACAAATGCAGTGTCTGTGAAAACGGAGAGGTTAAGACAGACTCTAATTTGCAGTTTGCTGTTTGCCGACGTTGTCCAAAGTCCTACCATAGAAAATGCCTGCCGCGGTATATCTTCATTCATTTGTCATTCATTTTCTATTGCTATTTCTGAACTCTATTTGAATAACTGTCTTGTTGGTTTCTAGGGAAATTTCTTTTGAAGATATTGAGGACGAGGATATATTTACTAGGGCATGGGACGGACTCTTGCACAACCGTGTACTCATATATTGCCAGTAAGATTCATATATGGTGTATCTTAAATTTATAGTTATACTTACCTTGAGACACTTATTTTGAATTATATCCCCTTCCTAGAGAACACGAGATAGATGTCGATCTCCTGACACCACTTAGAGACCATGTTAAGTTCCCTTTCACCGAAGAGAAGAAGGTCTTCATGAAAGAGCAAAGAAGGATACTGGAATCACATGTGGGACGAGATAAAGCAAGACCTAAGGTTAAGGATCCTGCCTTACAAGATACTTGTGGAAAAGCTTCAGATAAATCCTTTAGAAGTTCGTTTCCTTCTTCAAAAGATGGTTTCTCCACAAAGAAGCATGGATTAGTTTCATCCGTACCAGACCATTCGAGGAAACGAAAGGATATTGATCCATCCATAAAGCATAAAATGGTTCCACAAAAATCTCAGAAGATGATGGAAAACTCCCGTGAAGCTGGCAAAAACAAGCTGGGAGTAAAAGAGGCACGTGAAGCTGGTAAAAGCAAGGTTTCACTGGGTGAGAGGTTGTTTAATTATATCCAGGAACCTAACCTAGTAAAGCCTGGGCGCGTGATTCCTTTTGATAGCAAGCACAATAAGACTGACTCAATTGCCTCCAAGGAGCCAGGAAGTGAACCAACATTAGACAACGACTCTCAAAGGAGGTTAGCATTTTGTTGTTTGAAATTTCAATTTCAGTTTCTCTTAAAATCTTTTTGGGACTTATTAGTAAATTTCTTCCATTGTATCTACTTCTGCCAATGTAGGCTCTTGGCGGTGATGAAAAAAGCTACGGAAGAAATAACTATGGGGACTATGTTAAAGAAATTTAAAGTTCAATCTACTATGAATACAAACTCCACAAGGAATGTTGTGGACAAGACAATCACTATGGGGAAGGTAGAGGGCTCAGTTCAGGTGGGCTAAAAATCTGAACCCGATCGCTATCTAGCCTCTCTTAGCGCTCTATTTATGACTTTAAACTTTTGTGCTTCAGGCTATCAGAACAGCGCTAAAAAAACTTGAGGAAGGAGGAAACATTGAGGATGCAAAAGCAGTTTGTGAGCCAGAGGTTCTGAGCCAAATCCTCAAGTGGAAGGTCCTAGCCTAGCTTTTTCTACATCCTTTTTATTTATCTCTGCTTGCAACTAGTACTTTTTGCTAATCCTCTAGATGTTTATTTCTTTTACTTCAGGATAAGCTCAAAGTTTATCTTGCTCCTTTTCTCCATGGTGCACGCTATACCTCCTTTGGTCGTCATTTTACTAATCCTGAAAAACTTCAACAGGTAATATATCCTCTTAAAAGCATAAATAAGATTAAGGTCTAAGCATCCTGTAAGTTACAAGGATTTTCGGTTCATACTTAGTCAACAAGTGAGAAAGAAAAAATTTCAAGGAGAAATGACTCTTAAAATGTAGGCTGTTTATGTCTTTTCGATTAGCTTACTTAATCTGTCTTCTGTGAGGATTATGATGATGTTGGCTTACACTTCCTGTCACCTGCGTGACTAGTGACTATCACCTGCTGTTTACACACTCTGTCAAATTTTAACTCCTGTATCTGAAGCTTGATGCCTGACCAGACCCTATTATTACTTTGTCATGCAGATTGTTGATAGGCTGCATTGGTATGCAGAAGATGGTGATATGGTGAGATTTGCTCACAAACGTTATCTGTTGGGTTTAATTTTATTATTTTGTTTACTTTTCTTCATTTTGTTTTTAATTCTGAAGTGTGATCTTCTAGTATAATGATCAATGTCTTGTGCATAAAAAATGATATCTGGTTTCTGGTATCTCTTCCAACAGATTGTCGACTTCTGTTGTGGTTCTAATGACTTTAGCTGTCTGATGAACACGAAGCTTGAAGAAACAGGGAAGAAGTGCTTATATAAAAATTACGATCTTTTTCAAGCGAAGGTAATGACTTGTGTGTGTGCCTTCTATTGTCGTAAGTTGTAATTTGTAAAGTCTTATCACTGATACCGAAGCAACATATGTTAGATCGTGGTGTGTTCTATTCATCAGTCTTCTAGGATTACTCATAGAATTATTTATCTTACTTTCAGAATAATTTCAATTTTGAGAGAAAGGATTGGATGACTGTAAGCAAAGATGAGTTGGAACCAGGTTCAAAGCTGGTAAGATACAAATTTCCTTTTAATATGAACTTTCTGTAAGCTCCCGTGTCATTGAAGTAGTTTGAGTAGTATCTGACTATTTATATTTTTGGCATTATGAGTAGATTATGGGGCTAAATCCACCATTTGGAGTCAATGCTTCTCTTGCAAACAAGTTTATTACCAAGGCTCTTGAGTTTCGCCCAAAGATTCTCATCCTCATTGTTCCTCCAGAGACTGAAAGGTTTCAGTTTCCATCTATCTCATCTGCTCCTCTGTACCATTCCATAACACGAAAATAACGACTCCTCTCTCCCTCTCTTGTTAAATCTAACACTTTTCTCAACAGGTTAGATAAAAAGAAGTCATCATATGTGCTTATATGGGAGGATAAGACGTTCCTATCTGGAAATGTAAATCATTCGCTTTTCTTTTGATTTACCCCCTCTTTGATTTTGCTTTCTGAGAGATTGAGCCTTTATTGAGTTTCAGTTACATGTTTTTCTTCTTGTCTATTCCTTTCAGTCATTTTACCTGCCTGGTTCTGTCAATGAAGAAGACAAGCAATTGGAAGACTGGAACATTGTTCCTCCGCCACTTTCTCTCTGGAGTCGGTCCGACTTTGCAGCCAAGCACAAGAAAATAGCGGAAAAGCATTGCCATTTGTCTAGGGATGTGGGGAGCTCAAAGTTAAAGATAGTTGAAGAAGAAGCAAAAGCATCTTTGCATCCTCTTGGAGCTTCTGATGGCATGTGTGATGATATTCCTATGGAAAAGGATGAACTTGAGGTAGCTGAATGTGTTCATAAAATTTTACTCTCTGAGAAAATCGAAACACCGGAAGCTGTCGCACGTGTACATCAGTCAGATCACTTGTCACAGAGAAGTCAGCTGAAAAGGGAGGAAAAGACCAAAGACCACTCCGGTAGGAAGCTTGGGAAGTCTGTGGATTCTAATAGTGTTGATTGGAAGAGCAATGACATGGAAGAGGATCGAGGAGAGGTGACTAGAGCACCGGAGAGCATCAAAGTAAAAGTTCCTGAAATGACATCTGATTGGCAGAGTCCTGTTAGGTCTTCCCCAGATGATATATATGATGTCTGCACATCAATTTCCAATACAACACCTCAAAGATCTCGCGAGTCTGTAGAAGCATCTCTGCCTGCAATAACAAGGACAAAAAGTAACTTGGGGAAAAATATTAGAGAACCTGATTGTAAAGTGCAGGGCAGTGGAAAACCTGAAGTGACGCAGAATAGGCCTAGCTCTGTAAGAACTTCTAGAGAGGACATCTACACTGTTCGTCCATCGCCAGAAAATACGGGTCAGAAACCGTTTGAAGCTTTTGAACCATCTTATGGTGCAAGTTTGTCCCATTTCGACGATGGTCTTGCTGCTAGGTATGGTTTTGGTGGAGGTTACAGAATGCCGGATCCTCCTTTCCTACCGGATCAGTTTCCATTGAGAAATGGTCCTAACGAGATGTTTGATTTCCGAGGATATTCTGACCTCGATAGAGGGGTTGGTCAAAGAGAGTATCCACAGCAGTACGGTGGGCACTTGGACCCCATGTTAGCTCCTCCTCCTCCAAATCTGATGGACAATGCATTCCAATTGCAACAACGTTATGCGCCTCATTTCGATCAAATGAATTACCAGAGGATGAGCTCTTTCCCACCTCCGCCTCCAATGCAACCTAGTGGACACAATCTCTTTAATCCTCATGGCTTTCCACTGCAACCGCCACCACCTAGTGACTTCGAAATGAGTCCAAGAGGTTTTGCCCCTGGCCCGAACCCAAACTACCCTTATATGAGTCGATCTGGCGGCTGGATAAATGACTAGACCAGCACTCATTATCCTTGTAGTTGCAACATTAGTAGTTCGATTGATCTTTTGTGTCTGACTCCACGAAATTGTAGGAAGAATAGAAGAAATCTAGAACTTTTCTCTGCCACTCAAGTCTAGCTAGTGGGCCTTTTGGCTGTTTAATTAATATAAAAGAAAAAGAAGCCAGCATCTATTCTCTTAAACTTTTTAGTCATCTTTTGTGGTAATTCTTTAATACAGGACAACGTCAAAGTCTGCTGCTTCCACAGAATTAGCAAACCGACAGATCTGAGATATGGAAGAAAATTTTAGAAACTTAATCGAGGTATGGATCTCTGCTTTAATCTCTCTATCTTACTGTTATTACATATCATCTAAAATCTCCAAAGGTGTTCTTCGTCTCCTCTCTATTCTTCCTGTCTGCATTTTGTTTCTTCTTCTTCCTCTGTTCCTCTCTTGTGTGCACTTTTGCGCCATTTCAGTTCTTTTTCTCTCATGGCTTGCAAACTTCAAGCTTCTTCTCTTTGCCTTTGATGAAGGACCTTTGTTCCCACTTCCCCCAAAACTCTCCCGTTTCATCTGCTTCGCTTGTTTGCCCATCAAAATCAGACATAACCCTTCTCCAAATGCGATTACAAATCTTCATCTTCGTAAGCATGAACCTATGCCTAAATGGGTTTTGGCTGTCAAAATTTTGGTCTTGGGCGTCTTGTTACATGTCTATGAATACAGGGACGGTTTGCCTCGGTTTGTTGTCTTGGCTCTCTATTGTCTCCATATTTACCTTGAGGTAGAACTTGTCTTGGTGTTTGTTGGGGCTGTGGTATCTACTCTTCTGGGATGTAACATCGAGCCAGTGTTCAATGAGCCCTACCTAGCTACCTCTCTACAGGACTTCTGGAGCCGCAGATGGAACCTCATGGTTTCAGCTGTCCTACGCTCAACTGTCCACATTCCCGTTCAGCGTTTTTTCAAACGCTTGCTCAGTCCAGACGGGGCTATGTTTGCTGGGGTCATGGCCTCGTTCTTTGTCTCGGGCTTGATGCATGAGCTGCTCTACTTTTACATGATCCGTAAGCCGCCTACTTGGGAAGTCACTTGTTTCTTTGTGTTGCATGGTGCTGCCACTGCCACTGAGATAGGGGTGAAGAGAACACAATGGTGGAGGCCACCGCACCGGGCTGTCTCCGGTCTTGCAGCTCTGACGTTTGTGAGTGTGACGGGCGTTTGGCTATTCCTCCCTCAAATTCTGAGAAACAATGTCCATGAGAAAGCGATTAGTGAATGTTTATTGGTTCTTGACCTTGTCAAACGCAAGTTATTAACTTCGTCATGATTCTTTATTAAAGGCCAAGAGCAGTAGCAGAGCAACCAAACTTATTAGTTTCTCTTCATTGTGTGAAAACATATATAAAAGTGTGAGACACGTTGGGTGGTGTGAGACATTCATTACATGGAACTAAATTGAATCAAGCGCAACAATTTTTTAAAAAAAATATGGCGTAAATGTTTTCTAACATGAATATATAAATGTCATCAGAACATTTCCAATCTATTTGGGTTTCTTGAGTTTATAATGTCAAAGAATGTATAAATGTCTAAGATTCTTTCTTCTTAATTTTACAGTTTTACTTGGGAAACTGAAATTCTAGAAAATTTGTTAAAATTCATCCTTGTATGTTATTTCAAAATCATTAATTAATTGAATAATACAAGACTTAACTTAAGTCCGGACAATAAACCCTCTAATTTCGAAGTTCTTCTATCCTTTTATCTCTTTTACAAAAAAAATGAAATAGTTTTTGAATGATCCAAAATAAAAATGACGCAAACTTGACAAATTCGAAAAGTATTACCATTTATGGATTTTGGCATTATTCATGTTCTTGTGGTTATGGATCATATTATTTAAGTCGCATCCTTATCACAATTAGCAACCAAGAAAGAAAAATGGAAGAAGAGTTGAGAACCCTAATCAAGGTATGGATCTCTGCCTTAATCTCCATCATCTTTCTTCTTCTTCCTCTCTTCCTCTCTTCTGTTCACTTCTGCGTCATCTCAGCTTTCTTCCTCACATGGCTCGCAAACTTCAAGCTCCTTCTCTTTGCTTTCGATCAAGTTAACGTATCTTCTGTTTCGCTTGTTTCCAAATCAAAACCCTTCTTCAAATCGATTCTACAACAAACATATGTCTAAATGGGTTCTTGCTTTCAAAGTTTTGATATTTTCCGTCTTATATACATCTCTACTTTAACAATTACCATTACCGTCTTATATACCTCGGTTTGCTTTCTTGACTATCTTATCCAAATCTGTTAACAAAATGTGTAGCTGTCGAAATCATAATTACTCAATTTTATATTCGAGACATGTTTGAGTCAGTCTTACTGTCTTACTATTATTTTAAATACACATGAAATAAAGTCAAAACCATCTTGATTGGAGAAGAAAAAGAAGATCTAGAGAGATGGAGGAAGAACTCAAGAACTTCATCAAGGTTTGGGTTTCAGCAATAATCTCTATATCTTATTGTTACTACATATCAACAAGAATCAAAGCTGGTGTCTTTCGATTACTCTCTGTTCTTCCCGTATGTGCTCTGTTTCTTGATCTTCCTCTGTTTTTCTCCTCTGTTCACTTCTCTGAAGCCGCAGCATTTTTCTTCACGTGGCTCGCAAATTTCAAACTCATTCTATTCTGTTTCGATCAAGGTCCTCTTTTCCCACTTCCCCCAAATCTCTCCCGATTCATCTGCTTCACTTGCTTCCCAATCAAGCCTCAACAAAACCCTAATCCTCAAAATCAATTCCCCAAATGGGTTTTCGCTATTAAAGTTGCTGTTTTTGGTATGTTGTTACATATGTATGAATACAAACAATATCTGTCTCCGACTGTGCTATTGGTTCTCTATTCTCTGCATATATACTTGGAGCTTGAGTTTGTCTTAATGCTTGTTAAAGTTTTGGTCTTTATCACTCTTGGATGCGATCTAGAGCCACAGTCCAATGAACCATACTTAGCCACCTCTCTTCAAGACTTCTGGGGTCACCGGTGGAACCTCATGGTCCCCGCGATCCTTCGGCCGGCCGTTTACACCCCGGTCCGGCGACTTGCTGAACGGAAAATGAACTCCGATCAGGCTATGTTCGTGGGAGTTCTTGCAACGTTCCTCGTCTCTGGTGCGGTTCACGAGCTGATCTTCTTCTATATAACGCGCGAGATGCCTACAGGGGAAGTCACTTGGTTCTTTGTGTTACATGGAGTTTGCACTGGGGCCGAAGTGGCGGTGAAGAAGAGGACTTTTGTGGGGCGGTGGAGAGTGAGTCCGATAGTGTCACGGCTTCTCACGGTGGGGTTTGTGGTTGTCACGAGTGGTTGGTTGTTTTTCCCTCCTCTTATAAGGAGTAGCATGATCGAGAGACTTGCTAATGAAGCCTTTTTGTTCATTGATTTCGTCAAGCACAAGGTTATCACTTTTAGGTGATGAATCGCTAAATCTTGATTCATGGGTTGATGTGTTTCTATAGCTGGATTACAAACAAGAAACCCTCTATCTTTTTGTCTTTTTTTTTTTTTCTTTTACAACATTTGAAATGTTTTTTGAACAATCCAAAAATATAAATGACACAAACTTGACAAATGTGAAACGTATTACTAATCTACAGATTTGACATTATTAATGTCCTTGTGGATAATATTATTTAAGTCCCTGCTGCACACAGTCAGAAACCAACAACTGAACCAAGAAAGAAAGAGAGAGAGAGATGGAGGAAGAGTTGAGAAACTTAATCAAGGTTTGGATCTCTGCCTTAATCTCCACATCTTACTGTTACTACATCTCTTCAAAGATCTCCAAAGGTTTTCATCGTCTCCTCTCTCTTCTTCCCATCTTCATCATCTTTCTTCTTCTTCCTCTCCTCTTCTCTTCTGTTCACTTCTGCGTCATCTCAGCTTTCTTCCTCACATGGCTCGCAAATTTCAAGCTCCTTCTCTTCGCTTTCGATCTAGAACCATTAAGCCCACTTCCCTCAAATCTCATCCGTTTCTTCTGTTTCGCTTGTTTCCCCATCAAAACAAAAAAAAACCCTTATTCTAACCGAATCTACAAAAAACCTATGTCTAAATGGGTCCTTGCTATCAAACTTTTGATCTTTTCCTTGTTATTACATGTGTATAGTAACTATGATTCGGATTTATCACGGTTCGCTTTCTTGGCTCTCTTTACCATTCATGTTTACCTGGAGGCAGAACTTATCTTAGTGTTCGTCGGTGCGTTGATGTCTACGCTTCTTGGTTGTGAAATGGAACCGGTCTTCAATGAACCTTACTTAGCCACTTCTTTACAAGAATTTTGGAGCCGTAGATGGAACCTCATGGTCCCAGCCGTACTCCGTCCAGCCGTCCACATACCGGTTCAGCGGTTTTCTGCACCGTTACTCGGTCAACACCGGGCTTTTTATGCTGGAATGTTAGCCACGTTTCTTGTCTCTGGGTTAATGCATGAGCTGATTTACTTTTATACGATCCGTAAATCTCCAACTTGGGAAGTCACTTGCTTCTTTCTGTTGCATGGAGTTGTAACTTGCGCGGAAATAGCGATGAAGAGGATGCGGTGGCTTCCTCCGCCGCATCGGGCTATCTCCGGTGTTGCGGTTGCGGCGTTTCTGCTCGTTACGGCCGGTTGGTTGTTTTACCCTCAAGTGTTGAGAAATGATGTGCATAAGAGAGTGATAAGTGAATGTTTGTTGGTTATTGACGTTGTTAAACGCACGTTGGTCCGTATTTTAATGTAACGCCTAATTTGAAGAAGAGCTTCTCTTTATCCTCATCATTGTTATCATCGACAACACTTTAGGCCCACACATGCTTTACAAATTTGGACACTCCGATCTACATAGGAAAATGGTTTTATTCGAATACATGTCTATATTAGTATGATAAAATCATATAAAAAATACTAAAATAGGATAAAATGAGTGAATGACGATCAAACCAATTAATCAATTTATAAAGTTCTCAAAACAATGAAATGAAATTTTTGATATTTGAATATTAACTGTTATTTATCCAAAATTATATGATTGGTGAAAAATCTGCAGAATGACAAACCCATTCTATAATTGTTGAGGTTCGTGCATGATAAAGACCTGTCAAATGCGTCCGCTCACATCTTCTCTTCTCTTTCAAAATAACGATGCTTCACTGGTTTATTTGTCCGAATCTGTTAACAATGTTATAGCTGTCAGCCTGTCA